ATAGGGCTACACACCTTGATTAAATTAGCTGCTGAGTTGAGGGGAGGGTGTGTAGGTTAAAACACGAGCACTGCTGATTATATGTATAGATTACAGTCTGGGGGCGGGGTGGTGTGAACTGTTGCGCTGTGAGATTAGGGCGGAGCTGAGCTTGTACGACAACATGCATGAATGACTAAACAGGACTGGATAGTTTCAGTCCATTGTTTATTTCACTAGCTAAATATTTAATAGACATGGATAACCACTTTCACAACATATACATAGACTATATTCACGACGACGACAGTGTTACTTCCAGACTTTTTTCACCGGAGGGGGGGGGGGGGGCTAAAATTTTCTATATAAACTCCATTTCGATTCGGGGGGGGGGGGGGGGGGGGGCGGTAGACTCTCTTCGAAGAGATGACAGGAAGAAACACTGGACGACAGACGAATACTTCTACACCCTAGTACAACATGACGAGGACTGATCTAACCTATAATCCCCCAGCCACAAGATCCTAATCTCAAACTTCACATCCTTACGTAGTTCGTCACAAAGTCAAAATCTTTAGTAACATAAATCATTCCACAACACACATACTCTCATACCTTTGCAATACCTAAGATACCATTCATAAATTCATAACAGTGACTACCTGTCCTAGTGCAAGGGGAGATCTACTTCGCTAGGTCTCCTAAATTCCAATACAACAATTTCTGATGAATTTAGAAGCAGTGGCGTCACTAGGTCGAGTGTCACCCGGTGGGGTAACTGAATTTGTCACACAAACAGACACCCCCCCCCCCACACACACACCAGAGGCGTAGCGGCCCCTCCCGGCGCCCGGGGACAAAATTTCAATTTGGCACCCCCCCCCCCCTATATTTTTTATATTTATAATTCAAAATAGCAGCTAAAATGAGCTTATTTTGGCGCCCCTAGGGTCGGCGCCCGGGGACATATGTACCCCTTCCCACCCCTGTCTCTACGCCTCTGACACACACACACACATACATACACCATCCAACAATTTTCATTTTTTGATTTAGTGTCACCCTCCCTCCCGGTACCATTTTGTTATTTTAACTGAATAAAAACAATATGCTAGAAAAGTTTTAGTTAAAAACCGAGGCCACCGAAGTCACTGAAATCAATCCTTTTGTATTTATTATCCTCACACTTTTTACCACCAGTTATCTCATAACAATGGTTAACAAGAATTTCTGTCAACACGGCATTTTAACCTTAGCTGCGTACCAACACAGTTAACAAAACGTCAACCCCAACACATCCCCAGGCCGTTGTTAAACAACCGCCTCGCTCCCTGAATTGGATTTTGTTTTGCTGGAGCCTGATCCGATTTCCGCTTCCATCTTTTCCTTTTTCTCTCGGTATAATTGATTCATTCTGTAACAGGTAGATATACGACTACGTTTGTAGGTCCTGATCCGTTCTGACCTATTTCTGTAGGTGCACACTCCACCCCCTCTTCACCCCCCCCCCCCACCACACACCACATCTCACACTACCACATGTGCCTGTCACCTTTGTAGACCTGGAACTACTGGTACTTTACCTCAGATTGTACACCAAGCTCGGAGTAAGTTTAGCACCCATGAGTTGGTTTAGCTTTCAGCGCATCCAATCGGCACCAAGAATTTCTTTTCACAGGAAGGCATGCAAAAAAAAAAATGAAGCCGTCACTAAAAGTATTTGGTCTACATTACCCGCTTGTTTGCGAGTTGAGTTGCCAATAGTAATTGTGTGAGTAGCTACCGCTATTTACACGCTGGGTTAATGTCACTACACACCAACTCGCTTGCTCGTTTTAGTTTTCGTGTTCATTTCTGTGTGTTTCGATTGTTATTTGAATTATATGCACATTCGAATGTCATGTGTGTTGTTTGAATGTCATGTGGGTCATTCTAATGTTATGTGTGTGCATTCAAATGCCATGCAAGTGGCATTCAAATACTAATTTTTGAAATGAAATCTATTTTAAAAAGTAGCGTTGTTTTTTTTTAATTGCCAGATGAGTCACATTATGTAATAAAGTCTTTGGAAGCCTGCCTGAGATTATATAACAATTACAGAAACCTCCCTCAACACGTTCGCACACGCACGGTCACACACGCTTCCCCCCCCCCCCCACACACACACGCGCGTGCACACATACACTCGCCTTCACGCACACACACACAGAACAATAAATTTACGAATAGTTTATGAGAAGCATATGCGTGAGATACCTGTTAATGTTCTGGAAATCTCGTTTTAAAATTAATTTTACTTACAGTTCCGGTACGTTTTTTTGGGAAATGAAAGAGTAAACAGGAAACATTTAAGGAAACTATTATGAAAATTTAATAATACAAAAACTGTTGAACCAGAACTTTAAACCACTACCCATCTAGATATTAGACATAACAATTTGATACATTACCTAAATGATACACCCCTAAAGATATACTATAATGTGAGCGGGTTCCCTAAAGCAGTGTTTCTTCCAGACTTTTCTCCGGGGGTGCACTTGAAATTTTCGGGGGGGGGGGGCTGACACTGTCAAAAGTATATATTTTCTATATAAATTCCATTTTTTTTCGGGGGGGGGGGGGGGGGCGGCAGACTTTCTTCGGGGGGGGGGGGGGGGGTAGACTTTCTTCGGGCACCGCCCCCCCCCCCCCCCCGAAGAGATGCCTGGAAGAAACTCTGCCCTAAAGGTATTAATGCATTTCCTACTCTCACCCACGTTTGCTCATAACAACATGCATTGAAACAGCAATTACTCACGCCTAATTACTTGTTTATTTAATCTGACCATTTTCGATTTGTGCATAGACTGCACATTTAAATTAATTACAACGTGTGAGGTCGCGTAGAGTTTGTAATAAAAATGTGTTTTGTTTACCAAACTTATACAAACATCTAAATAATTGATTTTTTAATTATTTTTTTTTCAGTCTTTGAAGATTTGACTGTTTAAAATACAGACCTCAATAGGGACTGAAACTTCTTTTTGTTCATTAATCTAGAACGTTAATTGATTTCAAGATGGGCCAGTGTGTTGGATGCCTCAAGTACATACTCTTTATCTTCAACTTCTGTCTTTGGGTGAGTTTTGATTTAGATAAAAGTTAAGAAAAGTGTAGTTTAGTTATTTTGGACTAGAGATTTCACAAGGCAAAGAAAGTAACGTGAAATGACGTCATCAAAAAAGGGAGATTACGCCTACGCTGTGTACAGTGTAGAAGCGTATGTTTTGGTAACGGTAATGCAAACAATGAGATGGGAAGGGGAGAAGGAGTTCATTGTTATCTGCTAATCTACAGGGACACGTAGCGATTGTGGTGGGGGCGGGGGAAAGATGCTGGGAGAAAGTCGTTAAAGGCTGTCTTATTAATTTAAGACTAAAATATTAATTTTAACTGGAAGCTCCCCCCGAACCGCCCCCAGGTCAGGTTAACCTTGAAAATTACCTTACATAACTACCGGACAGCCCAAACTCTTGATTCTCTAGACTAGATAATACACAGACTTGCGATAACTACATATTCACATAGTACCACAGATCGACCTCAAACCCAACCCTTAAGCCACTAATCTTACTCATACATAAATATTGTATTTGTCTAAATATTTTCCATGACTAGATATTTCCATTTCCTAGTTATTTCCCTTGCCAAAATATTTCATTGCCTGTATTTCCATTACCTAGTTATTTCCCTTCCCTAGACATGTACTCTCCCTCTCTCCTCTTCCCCCCCCCCCTCCCGCCTAAATATTTCCTTTGCCTAGTTTTTCCCTTGCCTACATATTTCTCTTGCCTAGATATTTCCACAGCTTAGATATTTCCCCTGTCTAGATATCCCCCCTCCCCCTGCCTAGATATTTCCCCTACCTAGTTATTTCCCTTGCCTGGTAATTTCTCTTGCCTATATATTTCCGTAGTGTCTGTTGTCGTTAATATAAGGTAACCCTGTAGGACATAATAGTCAAAAAGTAACATTAGAAGGTGCCAGGTCATCCCATACGCTTACAAGTCCCAAGCAATACACTAACACTTTCTCTAACTGTGTTTATGTTTCATTGTCAAACCAACGTGTAACAATTGATCCTCACACAAAGGGACTTTAATCCCAGTAGATATTTTAATGAAGACAAACTTGTAATAACACCGTTAGAACTTCAGCTAAAAAAATTCTACTGAAACGAACAAGTTATTCTGCTGTATACTGATCTTTCCTTGAAGAACTCTTCAGGATAAGCTGGAATATTCGGTTAAATTTGAATCTCTTGGCACAGCTAACAGCTCACTGCTCGAACCTGAATTCAGCAGTTTTAGTGTAATAGTAAAGTAGTAAGGATACGATTGTGTAAAGGGACAATACCTCTCCGATGCTATTAACACCAACGGATGTATTTAGAAATGCCAAGAGCAATTTATTTTATAGAAAGTCATTAAATACGTTTTGGCAGGATTTCAATTTTTTTTTATGTTCAATAATGAATTAGCTTCGTTTATGTAATAAGTTGTCAATTTAAAAATAAATCCAATTATCTAGACTTTCTCTCCTGTATATTTTCTTTGTTTTATTAAAGTTTCTTTAACAGCCCTGTAAGTTTGCCTTCATTAAAACAATTAGTAATAAATTTGGCTTCATTAAACTCTCAGTAATAAATTTAGCTTCATTAAACTATCAGTAATAAATTTGGCCTCATTAAATTCTCAGTAATAAATTTGACTTCATTAAATTCTCAGTAATAAATTTGGCTTCATTAAACTCTCAGTAATAAATTTGGCCTCATTAAATTCTCAGTAATAAATTTGGCCTCATTAAACTCTCAGTAAAAAATTTGGCCTCATTAAACTCTCAGTAAAAAATTTGGCCTCATTAAACCCTCAGTAATAAATTTGGCTTCATTAAACCCTCAGTAATACATTTGGTTTCATTAAACTCTCAGTAATAAAGTTGGCTTCATTAAACTCTCAGTAATAAATTTGGTTTCCCGAGCAGCTATAAATCTGGCTTACTTGACCAGTCAGATAATATATGTTGGACTTGATCTAACCCTTTTTTATATGACTCACATTCAGTTTTCTCACTTGCTCTATGCTGACTGCATACATCCTGTTTGACTCAATTTATTATCTTATTTACCTGACTTCAATAGCTCTCTAAAACGACTCCCTCTTACCGGAAAGCCTTCTATTTTAACTTCTCTAGAATAACATTTCTCTATTTTGTATTATGCTAATTATCGCTGGACTACAAAGTAAAGTGAATAACAACATCTTGAACTAACGACACCTGCGGTTTACACTAAGCCACAAGTTAAAATCTACATTACTCGTTAGTTCACCTCATCACTCATAGCATCATACCTCCTTCCACCACTTCCCCCCACACATACACATAATCATCATAACAATTATTTACTTTACTTGTAAGCACCTGCTTACACTCACAGAAGCAAAACAACAACCGTGCAAGTCTTCAAACACACTTTTAAAACACACTTTTACACATATGACTCCCGCCTATTCTCACGAGAGGGCCAAGTTTTTTTATACTTGACGAAGGAATAATAGAATCCGGTTTAGTTATGGTACACTGTACAGTGTGAATGATTTAAGCATGTTATTGAGATACACGGTCGTGGTCAGATGGTAGAGCTTACGACTGCTAACCCGAAGCCTCGAGTTCCGATCCCCGGCTCGAGTCTGTTGGATGTCCTTGAGTCCACCCAGCTGTCAGGGTTATTTGCTCACATTGGGGTAACTAAGTCGGCTGGACATTGTGCTGACCACACTAGTCAAGGTCACTGAAACAGAATAACTCTACTTCATCTGGCCCATGTGTCTTGGTAACGAACGGGGAAAAAGATGACGATTCACAAGATACAAATTGTGCCGTCCTAAGTAGTAATTGGCATATAGATCTATGACTTGTTTCTGGAAGTCGTGTTGCATTAATGTGCATTAAAAAAACCAACAATCTGTATGTTGGTTGTTGTTTTTTCTCCTCTATATCTTATTTTACTTGATTTTACTTAGTTTCGTTTTTGTAAACCTTCTAAATATTAATATAATAAACAATATTGGCAACAGTAAATTATAAAGGCCTACTTCATTAATAGCATTTAATTTTCCGCCTCCTCATAAAATGGGTCGTGAGAATTGTCGTTCTTTTTGGTGGTTACGTCCCTTATGAAGGGGAGAAAAATCTGTTGACTCAAGCATTTATCAAACAACACATGCATTATTTGACGCTTAAAATATATTTTAAAAATGGAATAAATATAAATCTACTTGACAATACATACAGATTACTTTCGTCTTAAGTTTTTTTTTACATGGTAACAAGAATGAAAACTTCACCAGTGTAATTATGGCGGGTATGAAAGCAACACCCGAACATGCTTTTGTATGAGGTAGAGGAATAGCCTCGGTTCGAATCTTTACTGGAAATAGAAAACGTTGGTTGTACTGAATTTTGATTCTGTGTTGTTGTGGTTGTGTTAGAAAATAAAGTCTAATCCAGTTATTGTTTACGGTGCTCATTACTAAACGGTACAGCGCGAGGCAAAATTAATTTGCTTATGATAGGGACGATTAAAATAGCTTTCTCGGTCTAACTTAATATGGAGTGGGTTGTTAAGGTATATTTCAGGATAGCGTGCGTAAATGAAAGGGTTGTCAGGATGAGGAACGTAAATAAAAAGGTTGTCAGGAAAACGAACGTAAATGAAAGGGTTGTCAGGATAGCGTGCGTAACTGAAGGGTTTGTCACGATTACACATCCAAATGAAAGGGTTGTCAGGATTACACACCGAACTGAAAGGGTTGTCAGGAATACACATCCAACTGAAAGGGTTGTCACACAGGATTACACATCCAACTAAAAGGGTTGTCCGGATTACACATCTAACTTAAAGGGTTGTCACACACGATTACACATCTAACTTAAAGGGTTGTCCGGATTACACATCCAACTAAAAGGGTTGTCCGGATTACACATCCAACTTAAAGGGTTGTCCGGATTATACATCCAACTAAAAGGGTTGTCCGGATTACACATCCAACTAAAAGGGTTGTCACACAGGATTACACATCCAACTTAAAGGGTTGTCCGGATTACACATCCAACTAAAAGGGTTGTCCGGATTACACATCCAACTAAAAGGGTTGTCACACAGGATTACACATCCAACTAAAAGGGTTGTCACACAGGATTACACATCCAACTTAAAGGGTTGCCAGGATAACCTACGTAACTGAGGTGGTTGTTAGGGTAACAATTTCTAGAATGTTCCACCCCTATCCCCAGCTGCTGGGATGCGGGTTGCTGTCAGTTGGGATATGGCTAAAGATGGACGACCGTGGTGATCACTACGTGCAGGCGGTGACCGAGAAGGTGATCGATGGCTACAAGATCAGTTACAGGTGAGTCTCACAACCTGAGGAATTGTTGCTTACCTTATCTGCAATCTCAGGGTCATGTTCAGTATCTTAAATTCGCAGTTCACCTGATAAGGAGCTTTTAAACCACGCCATTTTAATAATTAAAAAAAAATAAGTTATCTTGGAATAGTTGAATTGTTAACTATCATTTTTCTCGATGTTTGCTAATTAAAACCCAATGTTTGAGCCCCAATTAATTTTTTTTAAAATTAATCGATGCCTAACTAATTATTACAACCCCCCCCCCCCCCGCTCCACCAAACTGTCGAGTTTCATTCAGGCATCTTTCTGTTCTACCTTACACGTCAGGAAATTATCAAATCTTCATTACGGCCCTTAAGTCAGACAATTATCAAATCTTCCTTACGACCATAAAGTCAGAAAATTATCAAATCTACCTTATGACATAAAGTCAGAAAATTATCAAATCTACCTTATGACATAAAGTCAGAAAATTATCAAATCTTCCTTACGACCATAAAGTCAAGAATTTTTTCTCAATGTTTATTTTTATTTCCCCAGTGACGTAGGGGATATCAACGTTGGTGACGTCATGATCTACTTGCTGATCGTCTTCGGCATTATCCTCATCCTCGTGACGTTTATCGGCTGCTGCGGCGCTGTCAGAGAGAACATGTGTTTACTAGTCACGGTAGCAGTTTAAAATTTTTAATATTAGTCGTGGTAGCAGTTTAAAACTTGTAATATTAGTCACGATAGCAGTTAAATTTTTTTAAATATTAGTCACGGTAGTAGTTTAAATGTTTTAATATTAGTCGCATTAGGCGTTTTAACAATTACAGGGTAGCTTATATTTTTTAACAGGGTAGTAAGCAGTGTTTCTTCCAGACTTTTTTCTCCGGGGGGGCACTTGAAATCTTCGGGGGGGCGGTAAACTTTCTTCGGGGGGGCGGACACTGTTAAAAGTATATATTTTCTATATAAATTATATAAATTTCATTTCGTTCGGGGGGGGGGGCGGTAAAAATTTTTCGGGGGGGGCTTCGGCCCCCCCCCCCCCGAAGAGATGCCTGGAAGAAGCTCTGGTAGTAAGAGTGGTGGTGTACGGCAAGTGGCGTGACTATGTCGGGTGTCACCCCCATCCTTTCCAACAATTTAGCATTTTCGGTTTGACAATACCCCTCTCCCTTTACTTTGTTCATTCTTTTCTGGATAAAGCATAATTTTGTCTGTACATTTAACAATTTTATATTTGGCATTGCCCCCCTCCCCCCCTCCCTCACCCGAGATGGTGTCACACCCCCTCCTTCCTCGCCCCAAGTTCAGTACAATGTTCTTTATATGATACAGTGTTTAACCTATCAACCTAATCATTTTATCATTTGTTTCTTCAGTTCTCCATCTGCCTCTTTATTCTAATGGCGGCCTTGCTGAGTGTTGGGACATGGGCGTTCATCAGCAAGAAGAATGTCAACACTCAAACAGTAAGCTCCCCTTCACGCCCATACATTTGAATAGACAGATTACCATAGTGTGAACTTTTCAGCAGTAAGCTCCCCTTCAAGCTTTAGACTAGAATAGATAGATTACCATAGCTTGAACTTTACAGCAGTGAGCTCCCCTTCAAGTCCATACATTAGAATAGATAGATTACCATAGTGTGAACTTTTCAGCAGTAAACTCCCCTTCAAGCCCATACATTAGAATAGATAGATTACCATAGTGTGAACTTTTCAGCAGTAAACTCCCCTTCAAGCCCATACATTAGAATAGATAGATTACCATAGTGTGAACTTTTCAGCATAAAGCTCCCCTTCAAGCTTTAGACTAGAATAGATAGATTACCATAGTTTGAACTTTTTAGCAGTGTGAGGAAGTTGGTCCCAGATGATCCATAAATATGTATACGAGTAAATAGTTATAACCCTTCAGATTAAAATTATATTGAAATGTTCTTACGTCTTGGTAAAAAAAAAAACTATGCTTATTTTTTTTTAGTTTTTCTAAATTTAGAAATATATTTTATTTTTGTCTTTTGGGATTTTAAAATATTTAAAAATATATATGTGTATATACATTGTCATAATTTCGTGTCAAAACTCTAAAGTGTTATTTTAAAAACTAAAACGCTTTCAACTCTCTTTGTCCGAACAACCAGGATGACCTGAGGGCAAAAACGACTGAAATCTTGAATAAAGCAGTCATGACGTATGATAATGACCCTGAATCTATGGAGCTGATGGACCTTGTACAAAATAGTGTAAAATATTTATTTTATGAATTCACTTTATATTGTTTATGTTTTTGTAGCAGGCATATACAAATACTTAGTTGATTACTATTTGTATTGACATCTTTGCCAAACTTGAAAGCGTGTTGGTGTGTTTGTCTTATGTGTATTACTACACCTTCGATCAGATCGCCATGAAACTTTCAGAAGTTGTTGATTATATTTTGGGAAAAGTGTGCGATTTAAAAAAAGAAATTTTGGAGGAGTGGCGCCCCGGCTGTAGGGTGTGGTTTAGGGCATAGACTTCACCAGCGACTATCTTAGCACCTGGGAACTGTTGATTAGGCGCCATGCACATTGTGGGTTGGAGGGGGTCAAAGGTCAAACTGCACCAGGGGCGTCCTCCGTCGACCCGACGGTTGGGCGACCGAAGCACCCCGGGCACCCCCACGAGCACTATGGCGCCTACATTCGTTTTAAAGAGCAACCTACACTTCAATGACTAAACCGAACCACGTTCACACCCTGCGATAGTGCAGCCAGTGGCTCCCGATAGAGCCCCGCGACGCTCTTGACACCTGGTCCTATAAGAGTGTGATTAAAGTACACTCAATGCTTTCGCACAGCACACCCTGGGGCGTCTGGGCGGTAGTGTGGTCAAACCAACGCCCCAACAACTAAGATCAAAGAACTGTAGCGCCGGCTTTGATGAGACAACGAGGCCAGGCGTCTAAAAATACACGATTGGTCACGTGTTTATGAAACGCTTATAAAATATCACGCCACTTTGATGTGTAAGAATAGTTCGCGGCAATGGGTACGATTGTACATTTTTTTTCACGTTTTGTTAGAAATTCGCGCGTTAACATTGATGTTTATGTTTTTATTTATTTTAAATTAAAATCAGCTTCGCTGCTGTGGAGTGAATGGAACCAGGGACTACCTGAAGAAAGTCCCACAGAGCTGCCCTAGTCTAGCCTCTACCAGAAACAGAATACAGGTTGGTCGATGTTCGGTGATGTGTCTCGTTTTTTACTTTCTCGTATATACGTAGTATAGAGAAAGTATTGTAATCGTGCAAAAAAAAAAATCGAGATTTTTACAAATCTCGACGTTTTACACCTCACTGATACGGAAAAACATAATTTTGCAATCTTGTCCGTATGTCTGTGTGTCTGTGTGTGTGTGTGTGTGTCTGTGTGTGTGTAAACACGATTACTTGAGTACCGTTACAGCTAGGTTGATGAAATTTCATATATAAGTATTTTATCAAAATCGTAGATCCGTATCAACTTTTGAGCGATTTCCGATAACCGGAAGTGGTACTTTTTCTACTTTGAATTTTTCAAAAGCCTATAACTTGAGTACTATTTCAGTTAGATAAATGAAATTTCACATGTAAGTAAAAGATCTAATTCTCTACCTTCTGTTAAATTTTGAGTAATTTCCGTTGACGGAAAGTACTAATTTACGCTATTTCCGATTTCTCAAAAACGCATCTAAATTTATAAAGTACTAATAATATTGCGCACCATTATGAACATCTTTATTCGGCGTTCGCTTGGTGTGCAATACTTTTTTCTATGAGATTCTATTTTATTTTTAAAAGTTTATGTATTTAAAATGGATTAAAAATGATAACTATATCCCGAGTTCCCATCCCCTGTTGTTTTATATAAGAATATTCGAGAAAGTTTAGGGGAGATCACTCCCGGTTTATTACATTTATCAATTCGTTTTAAATATTTATGAAAATGTGGTTTTAAAACGAATAGCAAATTTAGACTGCATGTTTTAAAAATGGGTTGATAGATGACTACTATCAAGTTAAACACTGTATTGGAAACTGGTCTAAATCCAGTCATTCAACAGTGTTCGATCTTAGTCATTGGAATGTTGGTACAACGCAATCAATCTTTGTCATTAGAATGTTGGTACAACGCAATCAATCTAGTCATTAGAATGTTGGTACATAGGGATCAATCTTAGTCATTAGAATGTTGGTGGTTAGTCTTTTACAGAAGCTGATGAATCAATCCAGTGTTTCTTTCAGATTGTTTTCTCCAAGCGGCACTTAAAACTCTCAGGAGGGGGGGGGGGGCGGTCACTGGTAAAAAAAAATATTTTTATATAAATTTGGTTCGTTTGGAATTTGAGAAGTGTTACCTTTATATTTTTTGAGGATCTAACCAGTGTTGTGGCAAAGAGCTATGGGATAAATGTGACGGGGGAAGGGGGGGGGGGGTGGAGTCAGTAAAAAAAGGGGGTCATTCATTGACAATGCCTCGTGCTCTCATGGCATTGTGAGTGAATTTCCCAAAAGTATACCCAGACTACTTTTACATGAACTACTTTTTGACCTAACGATCCATACTTTAGACTTTAGACGAAGTAGATTTCATATTTTTCTTGACCTCATCGCAACGTGAGTCAAGTACTCACGAGAGCTGGGTGGACCCTAGGACGTTCTGCTGTCCCGAGATCCGAACTCGAGGCCCTCGGGCTAGCAATCCAGAGCTCTGTCACCCTTCCCTGCCGTCCAGAACATGAGTTAAAATAAACTTGTCTCAGACTTATCTGCAATAATGTATTCATTTTTTTGTCACAGGGCTGTAGCTGGTACTACTTCTATAGAGTAGCAGAAGAGATCAGAAAATTTCTCGAGAAGCGCTTCAACATCCTCGCTATTATTTCATTTTGTGTTGGATTTAGCTTGGTAAATATTTTTAAAACAGGATCGAAAATACTAATCATTGTTTTACAACACTCGATTTTTCAAAAATGTTGACCAATTTTTATTTTATAATTAAAATGTATAAAACCATTTCTAGATAAGACCCCTTTGCAGCTTTGATTTTTTTTTTTATTTAAGCTCCGTTATTTTATACTAATAATTATACATATTTAAAGTTTTAATTTCACATTTATTATTCCAGGGCCTAGGTATCGTGATTTCAATGTTGCTCTGTTTCTTTGTGAGAAAATCAACAAGGCTTGTCGTTTCGTAGTTCATTAGCATGTGGTGTAGGCGGGAGGTTCAAGACTTCACGATAAAGGAATAAGACTTTAAGTTAACTAGTGATGAGGACAGTACTAGTTATGTCACAACTATGGTACTTTTTTAAATGCAGCTTATCGCAACACTTTATTCATTGTCATATATAGGAAAAAACTTTTTGAATACTGAAAGTAATGAAAGATATATTAGTTATTAGAAAAATTATAAAATGTGCACAATTCACCAAAAACAACACTTTTAGCTAGGACTCCACATTTAACGTTCTGTAGATTTTTTTAAAGGAACTGACTAAATATCTTATAGATATGTCTACTAGTGGGGTCATGCAGAGATACTCACTACCCATGGGACTGATATATGTATTACCTTTGGTCAGAGATCCCTTTGGGTTAGAGGTCCCTTTGGGTTAAAGATCCCTGCTCCCTTTGGTTCAGAGATCCCTTTGGGTTAGAGGTCCCTTTGGGTCAAAGATCCCTGCTCCCTTAACTTAGGGCCAGTGATACATGTGGGTTAGAGATCAATGACAACTTTGGGCAAACGAACAAAGATCTCTGCTACCCTTAAGCCAGGAATGACTGCTATCTTTGGGACAGAGATCCCCACTTTATTTAACTCAGAGATCCCTGCTCTACTTAGGTCAGAGATTCTTGAAATATATTTAGGTTAAGATCCCTGAAATATTTAAAACAGATCCCTGCTCTATTTAGGTCAGAGATTCTTGAAATATATTTAGGTTAAGATCCCTGAAATATTTAAAACAGATCCCTGCTCTATTTAGGTAAGAGATTCTTGAAATATATTTAGGTTAAGATCCCTGAAATATTTAAAACAGATCCCTGCTCTATTTAGGTCAGAGATCCGTTATATTTGGGTCAGAGATCCCTGTTATTTTAGGTCAGTGATACTTGTTAACATTAAAGCATATTTTCCCATAGAAGAGATCATAACCCCAGTTAGCTAAGTGCATAAATAGTATCAAGGAACCTTAACTTCTGTAAAAGTCGGTTCCCTATCAAAAGTCACATTTAAAAAATGGTTATCGTAAAACAAACAGAAAGCATATGGAATACCGGAAGAAAAATATATATCAAACAAAATACATTTGTCTATGTGTGAATACACTTTGGGAATTTTATCTTTTTTTTAAGGGATCGCGCATAAACGACGTCACTCCTAAAAAAAAGGGGAGGGGGGGGGGGGTCTGAAAGTTGTGATATCGGAACTTTTTGTGGCACTTTTGCTTTTTAAAAAGTAAAGTTTACCTGTTATTTCGCGTTTTTTTTTTTAAAAACTTGTAATTTGTAATGGCATTGCTCAATTAGGACCAAGCTCAGTAAATATCTCTGAAGGAATTCGACGTTTCGAAAAATAAAAACTTCAATTTTGATTTCGGGTGGGGGTTTCGGCTGAGATATGACGTCATTTTAAAGGATATCTGGCTTTTAATTACGCTTTGTAATGGGAGGGAATGGGAGGGGTAAAAATCGTCAAAAATAGCGTGACGTCGTTTATGGATGACTACTTAGTTCTAGTTTGTAAAACTATTTTTTTAAATATATAAAAACAGTATAAGCCAACTTACTTATTAAATTATGTTTAAACAGAATAATGCAATCATTACATATTTTAATGGAAATAATTTGTAAAAAAAATACTATTGCTGGATGTGTTGTTTTAGAATCTTTTAACTACACCAATTTTCGCGGATTTTTTATTAACATTAAATTCATTAATGAAAAAAATTGTTTGTGTGTGTGGATGATTTAAGTCGTCAGATATTTTTATAATATATTTTGATGTACCTCAGACTGATTTTGTAATGACCAGTAGCTTTTTTTTTTAAATGAATGCATGAACTATCCTCTATTTGTACTTAATGTAATGTATGAATAAGTATTACTGAATCATTACTATTACTGAATCATTACTATATATATTTACTATTACTATTTCTGAATTATTACTATTTCTGAATTATTACTATTTCTGAATCATGACTATTTCTGAATCATGACTATTACTGAATCATTACTAAATCTATTTCTAAATCATGATTATTACTGAATCATTACTATTACTATTACTGAATCATTACTATTTTTAAATCATTACTATTAACGAATCATTACTATTACTGAATCATTACTAGATATATTAGTGGATTGTTACTATTTCTGAATCATCACTATTAATACATTACTATTCCTGAATCATTACTATTTCTGAATCATGACTATTAATAAATCATTACTATTCCTGAATCATTACTATTATCTTCTAAGTGTATTAACTAACTAAATGTGAGCTTTAATGGGGAAAAAATAATTACGAATGAAACTTTACATGCTGTTGTTATGAAGCATCAAAAATGTTTAATCATTCAGATTTATGTATATGATGGTTTTTTTTTAATAAATAGCCAGGAAGTATAATAATATAAAAATTAGATACCAAAAATATTGAAACTTCATTTTTTTTCTTTATTGCTTAGTTGAAAATTCTGAAAAAAGATATATTAAAGGTATATTTTTAGATAATTTGCTTTCCTAATTGTTATTAATACATTAAGATTATAAAAAATAACCAAGGATTTAAAATGTACATATTTTCCGATGCTACTACTTTTTAGCAACTACTTGAGATGTGTATTAAATCCCCTCCTTCCGCTGTCTGCACTAGAAAGACTGTTGTGATGACGTCGTTGCCGTGCTTTCTTTTTTGTTTGGTCTTTAACTTTGTTTTAGAACACTAGGCAGTCATGTTTTATATATAGAATATCTAATGTTTTAAAATCTTGTATTTATACTACACGATTTTCAAAGCTTTTTTTTTGTTTGTTTATCTCTATTAAATACTCTGATATAATGTATTTCAAATAGAAAATTAAAAAATCGTAAATCTAACTAACATGTTTTCCTTTTTTTTTTTCAAATTTTTTTTAAAGACAACTTCATAATGAAGTAGCCTATTGTTGAAAAATTGTTAACACAAATACAAATTGTAATCATGAGAAATAAAATGAAATGTAAATATTTAAAATGTGACAATAGACAATGTAAATTCTAAAAGAGAAGTTGTAGACCTACTGTCAGTTGTCACTTAAGGGCCTTTTAGTCCCCCCCCCCCTTATTTGCTGTTACATTTCATAATGATAGACCCTCTGTTGTTTTGTATGTTAAACCATCATTGCAACAAGGGAACGTGCACATATTTTTATGGTCCCTCACATAAAACTATGGCCGAGCAGTAGAGCACTTGACTGCTAACCCGGGATCGAGTCCATAGGACGTCCCTGAGTCCACCCAGCTCTATTTGGTGCCTGACTCACGTTAGGGTAAGCAAAGGCTGGGCATAGTGTTGACCACGCTGTCCCCTTGCATATCGAGGAAATTGAAACGGATGAACTCTACTTCATCTGCCCCAATATGTCTTGAGTACGAACGGTAAAAGATAATACACAAAAAATCTTACATTTTTAACCACCACTCCACCATTCATAATGTTACATAACAATTTCATAAAACAATACCGAACAATAAAGAGGAATCATTAAACAGAAAACAAGAGAAATGTTAGAGGGAAAAAAGAACGTTTGAGTGTTATTGGTCTATAACACGGTTTGTACTAAACTAAATACACTATAATAAAATCATAAATGGCAATAAATACCTACCCCATTCTTTATGTTCAGCGAATAAGAACCTATGAAACTTACAACTCGGTACCACAATAACAACTTAAACCACAAGTATATACTGTTAGTGCTCTAGACAGTGGCGTAGCTAGGATTTTTGGGCCCCTATGCAAAAAGTGTTAGTGGGCCCCTCAGAGGCGTAGCGACTCTTCCCGGCGACCGGGGACAAACTTTCGATTTGCACCCCCCCCCCCCTCAGACTTTCAATTTGCAGCCCCCCCCCTCAAACTTTCGAAAAAGGGCCCCTATTTGCTTTGGGCCCCTATGCCTTGCGTACGCTAGCTTTACGGTAGCTACGCCACTGGCTCTAGAAATGTTGACAATAAAATTTAACGACCAACGCTATGGAGCCCAGAGAGCGACTCAGAATGCCACTCGGTGTTGACGACGTATTCCCTCGGCCTCCTAGATCTGCAGGAAAGATGAAAAAATCCTGCCGGGTGTTTTACAATCTCTAGTTCTGCTGGGACTATCATTGGCCGTGTCATGACGTAAACAGGCTGGGATAACTCTGGCCGCTTTGGGACAACTCTGCAGGAAGACGTCACAAAAATGGCAGTCACTCAGTATTCTAGCACCACTCATTAGTTTAAGCTAATCATAACATATAACACAACTTCAACTGTAGCACTACTCTTCAGAGGCGTAGCGACCCTTCGCGGCGCCCGAGGACAAATTTTCAATTTGCACCACCCCCCCTCAAACTATAATGCAAATATGCATCTAAAATGACATTTTAATTTGTTTTTACAACCCATTTTGGCGCCCCCTAAGGTCGGCGCACGGGGACATATGTACCCCCCTGTCCCCCATCGCTACGCCTCTGCTACACTTTATTCTTACTTACAATGTGTCCCCATCAGGAACTCCTCGAATTACGAACAATACTGACAATGAAAGATCGGCCGACGCGATAGTTCGTGACTTGGTTTGATTATTTCTGCGCGTGTGCAAACCAATCATTATGAAATGTATATTTGTCTGCCGAAACCTGTTCAATGTGTACCAAACACTAGTGTCAATTCCAGTAGCATGGGTCCTGTATCCATGGCAACTATGGGACGGCGTGGTCGGATGGTAGAGCGTACGGCTTATACCGAGCCTTGAGGTCTGATCTCAGGCTTGTGTCCTTATGCCGTCGTTGAGCCCTCTCCAGCTCTGATGGTCAGTATTGGTTAGGCCTACCTGACTCACTTTAGGGAAAGTAAATGCGGCTGAGCATGGTGCTGACCACACTATCCCTTCACATGCCTAGGTCACAGAAACAGGTGAACTCTACTCAATCTGCTCATGGACCGACAGATTAAAAAATGCAGCTTTACCATAGCAACTAAATGAGAAGTGGTCGACAATCGTTAATATTTCCTTTATATCGTATCTATATCGATATATACTAAAAAGTTTAAAAAATTAATGAACAAACGTATGTGGCCTATGCGCGTATAGGACATTACCCCTTGTTAATCACCACACACATTGGTAAACACTACCAGACATAGCCCCCACCCCCCACCCCCCACCAATGGTGATAACCCCAACCTCGAAAATAATTAGAATGTGGCATTCAACCAATAAAATGTCTGAAAGGGACAAAAAGACTAAGAAATCTATCGTATTTTGTACTTTGCCTAGGAATTCTATAGGATGCCCAACAGGGGAACCAGGAAAGTGTAGGTTGAATCTATTCCAGCCACTAGATTGACTAGTCCTAAACTACCCCCAACCTTAGCCCTAACGCTAGCCCTACCCTAACATTACCCTAAGGTTTGGGATAGGTTTAGCGGCAGGAATATTTTAGGGTCATATTGTATTTGAGAAGGGGGTAATGTCCAGCTCAATTTTTTTGTGAGAGGGTAATATGCAGTGGTGTAGTGTAGGGGGGGGGGAGGGAGAGGGGGTCCTGTCCAAAGACAATTGCTTACTTCTTTATCTCATTGTTCCACTCGCCCACGTCACGTGTCGGGTAACTCGGCAGTTTCCGGCTCTCCTCGTACACACGAGGGAGACAAAACAACGTCACACTCTTGGGCGTTTTCAGGCTACCGTCTGCTCGTCTCATATCCTCTGTTTCGTTGATATCTGGATTCCATGTTTTTGCTTTTATATTACTGCGCATGTGTTCTAATGACACACCTTTGCTGTGTTCTCTAGGGAGACTTGATTTTGACTTACGGCGCATGCTTGTATCCAGTTCGTTATGACCGAGCAATCCTAACGCCGTTTTACATTGAACTTGTCTAGTGCTGTCAGACAACTTCACAGGTGATCTACAGTTGACACAAATAATACCCCCACATTGGCAAAGTTCTCTATATAACTGTTGCTGGGTAGTAGTATCATGGGTTCCCGTTTTAGAATCGCGCAAACTCTTCCACAATTTCCGAATGGCTTCCGTTTCTGTAATAAAACAACATTCCACTTATTCATAATGCATCATCTTTTTTGTTTTATAAGGTTCTGTTCATTGGACTAATGGTAAATGTTGATACCTCTGGAGCAAACTAAACAACTATCAAACAAAAAACACTTTAAAATTAAAATAATTTTTAAATATACTTTTTTTGTCAAACAACCCTAAATAATTACTCTATAAAATATTTTGATTGTTTAACTATTAACAAACCAATGTATTGTATTTACGTTTATTTAGATCTAACAATTACGTAAGTTAAAAAGTATTGCCAATAGCCTCACAAGGCGGGATCAAGGGTGTGGACCAGACCAGGTGACACTATTTAGGGGTGACAATGTACTGAAACAAGCCTAACTCTACATCAAATATGTTAATGACAATAGCCTGACATGATCCAGGCCACACCACTATTCTGGGAATATCAAGACAACATCTCTACAGTCCAACACTATTCACCTCGCCGTTGTTTTTGTAGACGCGCCTCTCGAGCAGAAGCGTCCATGCTTGGATCCATTTGACACGTGGAAATAGCTCGTCTAAGGCTGGGCTTCGGCAATAGCTGTAGGTCCTGTGGATTTTAGTGAATTCTAGACATGCATTTGTGGTAAACAGCTCAAGAAGCATCGCTAGGGCGCGGAGGGGTCGCAATGTCAACGTATGCGCTTTTTAATATCTGGATGCGTGGTTGGGCAGGAGAGCGTATGATTGATAAATTCAAAAATCCTTAGCATAGTTGTTTTTTTTTTTGTTTTTTGTTTTGGGGGGGGGGGGGGGGGGGGGGGGGGGGGCGAGAGTTTTAAGTCCTGAGTCTGGACCCCTGGCAGATGAGACTAGGGGAGAAAACTGGAAAAACAAATAAATTCCTTGCAGGTTATTCTTGGGGTGGGCAAAGCTTATGAAAGTAAATCCAGAAAGAAAAGCAGGCTAAAGTGGGAGTAAACTGGTACTATTAGCGCATAAGATGTTGACACGAATAACACGTATTACTTAATTAGTATTACTTATACTACACGAACGGAGAAAAAGCCTAATTTTTTTTATACGTCGCTCTACTAACCCCCACCCGCGAAACATGTCGCCACAATATGTGCGCCTCCTTACACTACGGATGTGACGTCAGTTAATAACAACTTCTAAAGAACTTATATAAACAAGTTCAGCACATTAAAGATAATTTAAATCTATACTTAAAGGCAGTGAAATCAACACAAATTAATTTACCCGACTGAACTAATTAGGCTGTACGTTTTAAATAAACAAGAGGGGAAAAAACGTTATTTTCACTTAATTCGACTCCGTCTTAATAAAAATAGGAAAAAATATTAGAAATATGAAGAAACTTACAACATATGGGCTTGATATTTTGGACGCCATTTTTTTCCTGCTTGTTTTCGCGACCGAATAAAACAAGGGAAGTGTCACGAAGCAAAGAACACACACTAAACATGGGAGAGATATTGAGCGGTGTCCCGTTTGACAAATCAATTTAATTGTTTCAATAATCGGCTGGATCGATCGACCAACCTTGATACTTCGGTATTTAACTCAATGGACCGTAACGAAACGTAAAAATATAGGCCTAATGCTGTTACCAGTGGCGTAACTAGAGTGGAGCCGGGGGCGGGGGGGGGGCGTGGGGGGTGTCCAACTAGCAACAGCCTGTTGTGTGTTTTTCATGGCGAACGCATTTGCAGTTGCAGCAAGCCCAAATTATACTGATATTCATTAACACTACAGTTGGGGTAAAAACAAATAAGGGAAATATAATGAAATCATATCCTTAGATATATTGATGGGTGGGGTGAGGGTGGAGGCAGCCCAGAGTTTCTTCCAGGCATCTCTTCGGGGGGGCGAAGCCCCCCCCGAAAATTTTTTACCGCCCCCCCGAACGAAATGAAATTTATATAATTTATATAGAAAATATATACTTTTAACAGTGTCCGCCCCCCCGAAGAAAGTTTACCGCCCCCCCCCCCGAACGAAATGAAATTTATATAATTTATATAGAAAATATATACTTTTAACAGTGTCCGCCCCCCCGAAGAAAGTTTACCGCCCCCCGAAGATTTCAAGTGCCCCCCCCCCGGAGAAAAAAGTCTGGAAGAAACACTGAGGCAGCCGTCCTTGTGAGACCATTTTCAGATCATAGTCCCCCTTTTTCGAAGTTTGATGAAATAAAAAAAAAAAAAAACTTAAACCAAGTCAATTTAAAAAAAATCTTTCATAAATTACGAACTTGGAATCATCAAAAACTATATATGCCATGGCCTAACATGCCTGGTCTTTTTTAGGCCTACTGTTTTTTAGAAACGCTCGCATGCATTTTGTTCTTGTCGCGAGTACATTTGCCGGGAGCCTAAATGTCGGGCGCCCATTTGTCGGAAGCTTATACGTTGCGAGTCAACATGACTATGACGAGAGTACATTTGATGAGAGCCAGTATGTCGAGGCTTTTTTGACTGGGTCGTTTTTTTCAGGGTTGTATTGACGGGCTGTTTTGACGGTGCACAATACTTATAGGTGGTATAATTTCTATTAGCGGAGAATATCTCAAATTAAAAAAAAATGTCATTTCTAAAATTTGATATATGAGCCAGATTGGGGCCAAAATATCTTTGTTGCGGTTTAATATTTAATAGGAAAAAAAAACTCTTTACTAAAAATAATAAAAAAGGTTACGAACTTCTGATTTTATTTAACTGTAGGTCGTCCTTAAATATTTTATAAATGACGTTACACATTTTAAAGACGATTTATGAGAGCAGAGAAAATACCTTCAGTTCAGTTCTCTAACAATATTTAAGGAACGTTAAATTGTAAAATGTCCCTTTAGTTTATACACCAGCGACACATTCTATGAGCACACAGAGATTAAAATATGGGACTGGTACTGATTTTGCTCACGCCGAAATGTTTCTGGAACTTTCCTTTGACTTAATAATAAAAATTATAAATCGGCTTATATTATTATAATATATTATAAAATGTTAAAATTAGCTTAGAGACGTGCACAGTAAAAAATATTAATAATGGAAAATATTTTTTTTTATATCAGCAACAATTTGCATTGATTAAAATGCTAGTATTTGCCCGTTCGTTGGTTTCGGAATTCGTCGATTGTTTTCCGAAGCACAGCCGTGTTTCATTCATATTCATTATCAACCTTGCGCTTAGCGCTATTCACTGAATAAATTTAGATCAAGAGCAGCAGTTTAAAAACACACATTTATCAATGAATTTTGCTTCACTCATGGCAACTAGAACTAGATCTATCAGTGTGGCTTCTTTATTTGGTCGAAAAATTAAAGGGGTTATTTTAGACATAACAGGAGTTTTGAAGGAAGGAGGCTCTAATGGCGGCACTGCTGTTGCTAATTCCATAGAGGCTCTTAATCGGTAGATCTAGAATTCAAATTAATTTTCTTTTATACAATTATAATTAATAATTAATATTATTTATATAATATCTACACTACATCGGCGTTTCTTCCAGGCATCTCTTCGGGGGGGGGGGGGGGCAAAAAAAGTCTACCCCCCTCCCCAAACAAAATGGAATTTATATAGAAAATATAATTTATATACATTTAATAGTGTGTGTGTGTTCCCCCCCCCCCCCCAGAAGAAAGTCTACCGCCCCTTCTCCCCCCCCCCCCAGTAGAAAAAAGTCTGGAAGAAACATTGCTCTACACTACTACTACTGTAGTACTACACTTACATATTAAATTATATTTTATTATTTATTGTTCTATTTTTCAGGTTGCAAGATAGTGGGCTTGCTATCAGATTTTGCACTAATGAAACCACTGTCACACGAAGCACCCTGGTGGATATCCTCAGAAAGCTGGGATTTACCATTGATGAAAAGAAAGTTTTTCCCCCAATCCCTGCAATGTGCTGTATTTTGCGTGAGAGAAATTTAAGACCTCATTTACTGGTCCACCCAGGTATTACATAGAATAGTATTCACTCAGGCATAGTCATAACTGTTGTCATAACTTTAGTGTCAACACCCCAGCCCAACTATGTGTGTTGATGTATGTGTAGTGAGTAGTGCAGTTGCATCTCTGGCATGAGATGTTACTCATATAAGTTTATAGCATTATGTATTCAAATGAGTATAATTTATGATATATCTTGCCATGAGCTAAGGTTTTTGTCTTTCACATAAATTATATTGTTGAATATAGCTAGTCTGTCTTCCATGTGAAGTTTGATTCGTCAACATTTTAAAAAATAATTTTAATAAAATCTGAACAGTTTTACAGTTTCATTATACAATAAAACTTGATTTTCAGATGCGCTTCCTGATTTTGATGGCATTGACCAGACAGATCCTAACTGTGTTATTATTGGAGATGCAACACACCAGTTCTCTTATGAAAATATGAACAAAGCCTTTCAGTGTCTTATGAAGCTAGAAAAGCCAATATTGTTTGCACTGGGGAAAGGGTGCTGGTTTGAAATTTGTTTGTACTCAAAACAATTTACGCTTAAAATTAAGATTATTTAACAACAGCCAAAATAATCAACGCAATTGTTTGAAGCTTTTAAATAGCATCACCCTTAATTATTTTTAATATAACCAAATGAAACCCTCACTATTCTAAACACTAAATGAAAAATTATCATTTCTTGAGATAACCCAAATTATTTTTCTAGTCAGTTTTCTAAATTATTTTTAAGCTAAAAATTAGTAGAATCATTAGCTCTTACGATTCAATCAACAATTAAAGAATTAAATTTTTTTGTTAAAGCCATACCTTGTTGCCTGAATATTTGCAACGTATGGTATGAATCTTAAAAAAATTTTTGAAGTATAAATACTTTTTAAATTCTCAAAATGATCTTAAATCACTCTGATTTAAATAAAGTTAGACAACCCTCTACTAATTTTTTTTTTCAGAAAGTATTATCAAGAAGATGGTGAATTAGTATTAGATGTTGGGCCATTTTTGAAAGCTTTAGAAGTGAGTTTGGTTTAGTTTTTTTTTAAATTGATAAATAAGCCTTAATTTTTCATATTAGCTAATTTTGCTTTGAAAGCTCTTTCATGATGTATTTTTTGTAGTTCTAACAAAAAGTGTAAAGTGTACATTCTTTTAGATGCTTTGTTTTTTTTTGGTAATATATTTCAAGCCAATAATCTTATTTTTTACATTTTATCACTATTAGACCCATAGCTTAAAAAAAATCTGTCAATAACCATATATATATATATATATTATATATATATAAATATATGTATATTATCTCTCAACGCACTTTGGCGTACGACACATCAACAAATGAGACCATTAAATCCTGCCATTAGCTACCACTTCTGCCTCTTAGAATGTTAGACATCTCTCCTTCAACTCTCTCCACTGATCTTCTCATTTTCTCCTGCCCCCCATTCTTAGCAGATGACCCAAACATCTCCATCTCCTGTGTCTGATAACTACTGCTAATGGTTGAATAAGTGTTCTATTTTTTAACTCCTCATTTGAAATGTTTGGCCAGAAGATTCTCATCATTTGTCACAAGCAGTTGTTCTAAAAAATTCATTCTGCACAATAATCATTTGTAAAAAGCCAATTGTTCTATTGACAACTTTTAAAGTAGTTTCTAATTACATATTTGTGTTCTTGTTTTAGTTTAATTCAGGGGTCTCCAAACAACGGCCCGCGAGGCACTCTCATCCGGCCCGCGGAGATCTTTTTGTCCACAGATGTGGATGTCTAAGGTGATGTCTAAGGAACTTTGCCCAGATAAATGAAAGACATGCCGGAAGAAACTGGCCCCCGAACTGAAATTTGATAGTTAATGCGGCCCTCGGACTGAAAAGTTTGGAGACCCCTGGTTTAATTGGTTGCAGTGTGCTATTAAAAACTAAAATTGGAATAAAATTTTAACAAGTTTACAATCATTTGTTTTTTTAAGTATGCCACAGATGTAAGAGCTGAAATTGTAGGAAAACCATCTCCATCTTTTTATAAAACTGTTTTACTGGATATGGGTCTGGATCCATCTGAGGTAACTATGGTTTATTTATTTATCTTTTGTAAGACATAACATTTTAGATACATTATTGGTATAGAAATAAATAACTACTCTCATTGTATTATTTATTTTTTGTAACACATAATGTTTTTGGATTATTCCTAGTTAGAGCACTAAATAATTAACAATTCCTAGTTAGAGCACTAAATAATTAACATCGTTCTCATTGTAATAAAATATCATTATCACCATTGTCTAAAAAAACCCAACTATTTTAAACTTTTTTAGGTGGTTATGGTTGGTGATGATATCGTTGGCGATGTAGGGGGAGCTCAAAGCTGTGGCATGGCTGGTGTTTTAGTTAGAACTGGAAAATTTAGGTAATATAATTATGTTTTTGAATTATGAGAGTAAAACAACAACAAAACTTAATTTTGCTATTTTAAATTACTAAAAATTTGTCAATTTAATTGTTGAATAAATAATAAGAGATGTTTAAAAATCTACTGATTTAGTTCCTATTTCTCTTTTTTGTATACATAAAAAAAAGAAATACAAAATTAAATTAACTAACATGTCAGATGAATAAACACAATGGCAATTTATACCATAGTAAGTAAAAAAAAAATAAGAATTATGAATTATTCCTTACAGAAAACAGGATGAAAATCATCCAGATGTAAAGCCTGATGCAATAATGGACAACTTGGCACAGTTTGTTGATAAACTTTTAAGCCATGCTTTGTCATAGTAAAGATTTTACTTTGATTTGCATGTTGACTGTTTTCATCAGTATTTTTTTTGCTCAGCTATGGTTGTATATAAAATGTACTAAGTTTTTATTTATTACTTCTTGTAAGATATTTTGTTTATGTATGGATGTGGGATATTTTCTTGTAGAAAAAAAATATTTTTCTCATTGGTTTGCATTTTATATTGCAAATATTTGTGAGATTATGTTTGGTTATATAAAACCTGCACTGAATCAGGAATTTTTTCAACACTATGGAAAGTTATCAACATTTTTAATTTTTGTAGCAATCATCAATGACACTGTAGTTGTTTTTTTTTTAAGTATTAGTCTTATTTTTTTAATTCTAAAAATGGCATTAGTTGAAATACACAAACTAAAAATGTTCAGATTTTGTATTGTTTTATTTCACTGTATTGTCATTGGAGAACATTGTTACTATTTTACTTGTGAAATCATTTAAATGTTATCAACTACATATTTAGCATTTAAAATCTTAATGAAATGTTTTGTAATGAAATGTGAGTATACACATTGCTAAAAAAGTTGTAAAAATCTAGTCAATTTTCAATGAAAAAAAATTTATAAAATAAAAACTTTGAGAAATTTGTCTTTAACTTTAATTATATTTGTGAATAAATTTCTTAAATGTTTAAAAAATGAGTATATACATTGTCTGTCAAAAACTAAGTGTAAAAATGAATTATGTGATGTAATAAAAAGAGTTAACATTACTAAGCACAGCATACAATTCTAATGCTGTTGCTTCATTCTAGACTAAACACATCTCTTTTTTATCAATACAAATCAATTATTTGGTGGAAGTTTTCACCATATTTCCTTCAAATGCAACAGGCATACCGACACCATCAATGTTGGACTCCATAACACCTTGCAACCTGCCATTAAACTTCACAGGTATTGGTACATTGGTTTCACCTGTTTCAGGACTTTCCGTCATAGTTTTAAAAGCAGCAGTCAACATCCCACCATGCAGTTTTATAGGTATGGAAAGGCCTTCGTTTTTTTTCGATGCCTCACTCAGAATTTGATCAAGGCCCTGTGGGGTCATCATGAAGCCATCAAAGAAAACGGGGGTCAACATTGTTCCCTCAAATTTGGCCGGAATAACTTTAGGTTTTAAAATCTCTAGATTTTGATTGTCCGACTGAATGGTTTGCGCACTCCGCGTTTTGAATGTTTTGATTGAAGTCCTTGGAGTTCCAGGCTGTGTACTGACACTGTTCGTCTCTTTCACAGGTCTAGGTGACAGGGCTTCAAGCTCTGCAGCTTGGTCAACTTTAGAGCTTTCTTTTGGAGCAACATCTGTTAGCTCTGGGGTGGATACTGAGGATAAGTTCCCAACCAGTTTTATCTTAACAAATGAATGTACACTTTCATCCTCCTGTAATTCCTGGCCCTCTAAACTAACACCTTTCTCATTGACCATGATGCCATCAATGACAACAGAAGTTCTGATGATGTGGAAGAATTCAGTTGGTTCATGCAGTTTCCTTTTAGCAAATTCAACAAAGGAGATGCTCTCTACCTCTAGAAAATGTTAAGACGCATTAGCAAAACATATTTTAGATGATTGGCAGAAGTGTCTTATAAATTTAACACCAATATAAATGCATTTATTTAAGATGGTTACAATTGGATTCTTGCCCCTTTACCAATACTGTTTCTTCTATTTTATTGGTTCAGTTAAAGTAATAGAGAATAATTTTGCCAAGGTTGGCTGTTGCTATTGTGATCTAGTGAGAAATAAGATTAAACCAATAACTGTTTCATCTAAAACTAGTGGAACTCTCAGAAGGCTAGGCCTCAAGCACCAGCCATTTTTAAACCAACAGTTGTGAATTGAAATCTCACTCTGTAATCTTAAAAATGGGGATTAGTTGGTAATGGTAGCTTAATTAACTGATCAAGCAGAGATAATTCTCAAGAGAAAATTCATCTCTTCTCCAAATCTATAAGACTGGTAACAGAAGGAAAGCACTTACCATACTCATATCTCCTATGAGCAGAAATGTGTGACCATAATAATGTAAATCAAGTAAATGGTCTAAAATTTTCAGTTTGAGTAGTAAATCGACTGTGTTAGTTGTATTTTTTATTTTTTTTTAAATAAAAGTAAAAGGTTAAAACTTTTTTTTCTTAAACTGTACAACTATCATACCTAGCAGTGAAAGAAATATTTACAAACTAGGTGACCAATGAAATAATTTGTGAACAAAAAGAATTTAAAAAAACAACATCCACAGTAAAATTCATACCCTGCTTTAATTTATCACACAAAATCTAATGTTAACAAAGATAAGTACAGAAATGAAAGATTAATTATTAATAATTGGTGAATACTTACTCGTTAATACATTCATTCACACACACTTATTACATCAACATTTTATTTCATTTATAGGGGAACTGATTTTTTTTTATATTTAAAACAATTCTGCTTAGTGCAATAAAGCAATACTTGTATATAGGGTGTCTGTTTTAGTAATGTTATTTACCAACCCTCAGAAACATGAATACTATGTTTAAATATTTATCCAAAATAAGTGAGCATTTAAATTTTTTCTTTTAAATTGCCTTAAAATCATCACTATAGTTTTTGTATTGGGGAATAAAAACTGCATTAAAAACCATTTAAGTAAAAAAATTAAACAACTGTGAAACAAAAGGTAAAGATAAAAACATGAAATCTTAATAATTACCAGGCCCAGGTTCACCAGCCATTACAGACAAATTTAAAGCTGTTTATAGAAGGTAAATAAGTTTTTATTTACAAAATTGTTACACCAAAATTATTTGTTATATTCAGTATTATATCATCTTAGATTTTTAGATTGTTAACCAATTTTATTTTTTAAAATTTCAACTCAAGTTTGTAATTTAAATTCTTAAATTTATATCAGTGACCAAATTCTATTTAGCTTAATATCAAACATTAGCTAACATATTTCTGAATTGCTATGCTAAAGCGTTTTTTATCTATCTTAGCATGCAACAAGCTAACATTTTCACAATGTACTACAAAAATTATACCCACAAACCATTACATAGGATAAAACAATTAAAAAACTTTTTAAACCATCACTTGCAATACATTTTGACAAAAAAAGTTTGCATATTTAAGCTATTGTAATAATTTTTAACATCAGAAATTAAATAATTTAGTTTCGGTGTGTAATGTATACATGTTATTTAATTATTTAATTACAAATTCAACTGAATACTCTTCTATTAATTTGTATAGACGATTGGTTTATTGATAAATCAGAAAAGCTGCAGCAGCATGCTCTTATGCCATGGAAGAAGACATCATAAACTCAAAGGACTGACCCTATGTAGAAAATTAAAAAGATGTAGATATACTGTCTTTAATTAAATGTACTAAGCATTTGTGAACGGCTGTTTAAAATCTACACAGTCCCAAATGTTACTTTGATTTTTCCAGAATCTATTGCTAGTAGTAAAGTGTTTTTATTAAAATTTATTTATATTTTACAAATGAGTTAAAAGAATCTGTAATGCAGTTTGATTGAACCCCCAACATATTATTTCAGTGCACGCACAAAAAATAAGCTTAAGTTGTTTATATTTTTACAAGTGTTTGAAAAATTATAAATCAATTTGAAAAACCTAGGAAATTTACTGCAACTAACCACTGTAGTATTTATTTGAGGAAATACTACTCAATAATTATTTCACAAAGTAAAAAACAAGTTCAGAACTATCAAAAGGAATAAACTTAACATTAGATATATGATATTATTCATAGATAAAATATAATTCAATAATGGAGTATTAGTAAAAAAATTACCCAGATCAATCAAAGAGATTCATAAAACACAAATTCTAGTCAACAATAAGCTAATCCACTTTAATAGTACGCTTTTGCAGTTCTACTATTATGTGAGATGTGTATTTATGCATTACAATATCCTAAGTGTCTACACGCTTTTTAACAATTTTTTTCTACAGTTAAAAATGTAATCACTTAATATTTTTAGATATTAAATTTGTGAGGGTAAACTAAACACACCGATTACAAAAATGTTTTAATTAAAACTTGTTAAATACAAGAAATACTTTTAAAATACTAAAATAGAAAATTAGATCTAATTACTGGGATATGCACGAATAGCTTCATCCATTGTTTTAGCAACAAATGCCACATTTTTGGAGGTAAGTCCACACATACTGATGCGACCACTGCTTAACAAAAAAATGTTCTTGCTTTTCAAGTATTCCACTTGTTTCTCTAAATGAGGAAATGGAAACAAGAAGCAATAGATTAGAGCAAAACACTTAATCAACAAACTTTCTTTTTCTGGCATGCTGTAGTAGAGAGCTAACCTGTTAGTCCAGTGTAGCTGAACATTCCAATTTGCTTGGTGATGTGGTCCCAGTTGCCAGGTGTCCCAAGCTTCTTCAGGTTATCTAACAGCTCTTGACGCATTTTTTTTATCCTGCTGGCCATGGTCACAATCTGGCCTTTCCTAAAATGTGATTTATTATACATTTAATGCAACTGTCAATTTAGCTATAACACAACATAACCAAAAATAAGCTATGAAGCTATGATGTGCTTCTATTCTAAACCACATTAAACTGAGAGATGACACTATTACTAGCAACATAACAAGTGGAATTAGATGGGGCTTAAAAGAAGATAGTGCTTAAGTTATGTTTCCTTTGGATCTATAAGTCAGTGAATCAGAAAACCAGCCAGAAATTTCACTACATCCAAAAGAAAAAAAAAAGAATTTAAAAAAAAAAATAATTTAAACGTTGGTTTGACACCCATCCAAACTATAACAAGGATGACACCTACTACAAGCTAACAGGCCAGGATCAACAATAATTTTCAGACTAAGAGTGGGCCACAATAGAATGCCGCAATTCATGTTTCACAATATAAAAGTTGGTCACAAAACTGTTCATGTCAAACTTAATGGAATTGTGTTGTAAATACAATGTTATGTGCCTTAATTTACAGGCATCCAGACACTCAAGGGATAACGAAGATTCAAACCTTACTTGTTATCTAATTATGCTCTCCATCATTTGACTCTCTCACCACAGATGTAGAAAGTGTATTTTAACTAAAACATGAAATGCAGTGTAGTACTTAAGGCAACCATGTATCTTTTGAATTCCAATGGAATTCCACATAGGACAAGAGGCGTTGCTTCATATTTTAAGAGTAAAAAAATCTTGAACTTTGTTAAAATTTTAAGTATCTGCCTCAAACATGTCCTAATTTCTAAATAAATACACTCAAAGAATGAATGTCCAGCACGATTTTCTTATCAACATACAACAGAGACCTACCACTCTTCATAGTAAGTGCTGTTGTTTAGAACTGTAGCCACAATGCGTCCACCGTGGCAGGGTGGATTTGACCACATGATACGAATCTGGATCTCCATTTGACTCCTGATCTCTGCCAACTTACTAGGATCTTTAGTAACCACTACAAGGTTGCCAATTCTTTCATCTAAGAAAAAAAAAAGGAGAAACTTTTAAGATGAAATATTTTTTATGCACTTGTGAACAGCTGGAAGACAATTCATTAGCATTTATCAAACCTCTCCTAGCCTCTTTGCAACATCAATTTAGAAACTTATTTTTTAGATATTGAAAGCTTGAGTAAAAGATTGAAATGGAATTCATTTATTACTTTGTTAAACAGTCTGAATTTGTAAGATCTTCACTGAGTACTTACTGTATAGCCCAAAGTTTTTAGAGAAAGACTGTGCCACAAACAAATCTATGTTCTGATCAGCAAAGAAACGAGATGCCCAACCATCTTCATCTAAGTTTCCACTGGCAAATCCTTGATATGCGCAATCCAAAAAGACAAATAGTTTCTTTTCCTAAATATTGAAAAATAAATAATTTTATTTATCCAACCTAATAATGGTTCTTTTTACTTAAATCAGGTGAGAGTTAATATAATTTTAGACAAGGCAAGGGCAGATACTCATGTTTAGTACATTGCAAATCTGAGCTATTTTGGTCCACTGCTCTTTAGTAGGGTCAACGCCGGTGGGGTTGTGAGCCACACCATGAAGGATAATCACAGAGTTTTCAGGTGCATTCTGGAAACAAAAGATAGAAAAAGAAAAGATTATAAATAAATTTAAAATTGTTAAGTTTCTCTTTAGACCTAGCGATCCATATAGCAGATGAGGTGGAGTAAATGTGTTTCTTGACCTGGGCATATGAAGGGATAGTGTGGTCACCAATATGCCTTTCCTTTCCCAAACGTAAGTGAGGTACCCATCAGAGCTGGGTGAAGTGATGAATGTCCTACAATCACAAGTCCAAACCAAGATATGAACTCAAGACCTTCGGGATAGCAGCCAAGTGCTCTTTCATTCAACCATGCCTTCCCATAAATTGGATATTTGCTAAATTAAAATTTTTTGCAACTATCATAAACAGTTAATTTTTGAAAATGTTCCTACGGAAAGATCTTCACACATTCCGCTGAAGTTAAGGCCTCTTGTCTCGCTATCCCAGTAGCGGTAAGTTCTAACATCTGAAAATCCAGCACCCTTGAATACTCCATTATGGTTCTCTATATAAAGATAAGACACAGATTTCCAAGGTTACAATTTTTGAAAATTTTACTCAAAAAGCTAAATTGAATTACATCTCACTCTAATCTAGACATTTTTTCAAGTAAATAAAAATACCATACAATCATAAAAATGTTACTAGCAGGACTTATTCTAATATGCTTACCCCAAGTGGGATCTGAGACATATACAACATCAAAATTCAGCACATTTTTTAAAAAGCTTGCTCCAAGTTTTAAAGCACCTGTTCCTCCTAAAGCTTGGAAACTTTCTACCTGTTTTTTTTATAAATACACACAAATATTATTTTATTTGAATTGCCAAACAAAGTGAAAAAAAAGGTAAAACTTTGATTAGAGTTTTAAAAGTTTAAATTTACTTACCCTATTTTCAGCTATAACTTTGTGACTAGGACCCAATAAAAGTCGAGTAGCAGCCTGACGAAAATCTGGTAATCCTGCCACTGGTAAGTACTCATGGTTCAATGTTTTATCATTTGCCATCTGTAGCTCTGCTGTCTGAACAACTGGAAGAACCCATGGTTTGCCTTCTTCTGTCCTATATGCTTTAAAAAACAGAGTTGAAAGCGTGAGATAAAATAATGTTACTTAAAATGACAAAAGCTTCCTACTTTAATAGAAGGCTACTACCTTGACCAGATGGGCCATACAGTAAATGAAGGAGTTTACTGGCATCACAGCTAGTAACAAATTGATGGGTAATGTAGTGTTACGGTTTGTCACAGGCTGCTCCTGGGAGCTAATAGTTACATTACTACATAAGTGCTAGCTGCTACCTTAGCCTTAAGTTTTGGTTTAGTAATTGATTGTAAAAATAAAGTTCTCTTTTGGAACTTATGGTCCATGAGACAAGTAAAGTGAAGAGGTAATGTGAGTCAGTTTGGCTACCCATCAGAGTTGTTTTGACTCAGGGACACTCTACTGACTTGAACCTGGATTCAAACTTAAGACTTTTGGGTTAGCAATTTGTATTCTTTACTATTTGACATGGCAGTAATTGAATGTAATAGCCACCATAATTTTAGAGTCAGGGGCTCTTTAAACAACATGAAGGTGCCACAGTGCTTAAGGGGGAGTTCAGAATGCTCCAGACTGCCTGGATGCCAGAGGCTGACCTTGGTACAGCTTGATTGTTGCATCAAGATAATATTATCAATAGGCCAATGTGCTTTTATTTTTATAACTGGAACAAAATATTTAGATATAGAATCTAGATTCTTGATCTAGATTCTATTACTAATTGTTTAAGAAAATATCCATGTGCGTTCAACATTTATTTAGAAGTTAATAATATAGATTAAATAGGCCTATACCTAGATAAAAAAGATATAATAAATAGGCCATAGATAGTAGAAAGAGTTAATGTCATGAGTTCCATTTGCTGTGCCATTCATCAGGAATGAATCTTTCTAAGTTTCTAGTCAGTAGATCTAGACTAGATCTAGTAGTAGATCTATATAGATCTAGATCTAGTATATAATATATAAAGTACATTTTCAAAACTAACCATTCTAGAATATTTTAGATCAGGGGTCTCCAAACTACGGCCCGCGGGCCGGAGGTCCTCTCATCGGGCCCGCGGAGATCTTTTTGTCCACGGAAAAAAACGTGTGTTGGTGATGGCTGAGGAACATTGCCCAGAAAAATCAAAGACATGCCTGGAAGATACTGGCCCCGAACTGAAATTTTCAGTTAATGCGGCCCTCGGACTGAAAAGTTTGGAGACCCCTGTTTTAGATGATCTAAGAGGACACTTACTTAGATCTAGTACTTAGTCTAAGGTTATTCTAAAATCAAAATCTAGTTTAGATCTAGATCTAGATACAGATAGATCTACAAATCTAGATCCTAGATCCAGAGTGAGTTTAGAATCTAGCTGATCTAGACTCTAGATCTAGTCTAGAATCTAGATCTAATTCAGTAAATTCTAGAAAAAATCTTTTCAAGTCCTCAGAATCACAGAATGTCAGAATCAGATTGAATCTCTTACCTCCGACTCCTAGGTTAACTTTATTTGGGTCTGTTGACTCGGTAAACAGTTTTGTAAGTTGAAATACTTGAATGGGAGGGGCGTTCTGAACATCTTTAAAAACTGAATCGGACATTATTGTTAATTATAAGCAGGCAAATAAGGCCGAATTGCACAAATCTACAGACTGATCAACAATCTTGTTGGTAACAAGTACCTAAGTATGGTGGGCTAGATATAATGCGAAAGGACAAAGTTGAAGGTCGTGACCTTACCCCGGCTATCCCCTCCCCCTTCCTTTAAAGTGCTGTGCTGTGACAGTGATTAAAATTAAGATGTAAAATACAGTAAAAGGTAGGCCCATAAGTTTTTTTTTTTTTAAACAATGTGTGTGTAGATAGACTATATACAATTAAAATTATATATAAAGATCTATATAGCTGCTGTTAAATACCCATATTTTTGTTTTACTATGCAGACAGTGGTGTGAATTTTTTTTTTTATTATAAAAAAAACTCTATTTGGACAGAAAGAAAATGTTTGTTTAGTGTATTTACTTGTAAACAAAACAGTGACCCCAGCATGTGACATTGACATGTGTGATGACGTAGGCCTATCTAATCTCAACAAACGTTAACTAAACATACACAAGATTTGATTTCATGCATCAGTCTGTTTTAGCATAGATTATGTCTAAATTCTAATAACTGACGTAGCCTATTACAATTTAAAATTATGCATGTATCTGCAATGGTTTAATTAAAATAACTTAAATTTAAAACTCATACATTTTATGGCTCTTTACCTAATGGGGGAGGGGGGGGGTGGGGGTGGACGGGTAGTGGATATTGAACATTTTTGGTGTTATTTGGGGACCCGGATTGGCTGCTTTTTGTGGCTGTGACGATAAGTACGATGGCACTCTTTTTAAAATTACGCTAAATAAACGAGAGTGATTGGTTACTTTTATAACGATTTACTACTAGATCTAGCTTACACACTTTCATTTTGCAAATATTTATAGTATTGTTGCTGCCATTAGTCATATAGTAAATTGAATATGGATAAACTGATAAACTTAATGGACTGGTGCCCGTAGACCTAAAATTATAGGAAATTTAGTTGGGGGCAGTGTTTCTTCCAGGCTTTTTTCTTCGGGGGGGGGGGGGGGCGGACACTGTATAAATTTCATTTCGTTCGGGGGGGGGGGGGCGGTAAAAAAATTTCGGGGGGGGGGGGGGCACTCGGAATATTCGGTGGAGGAGGGGCGGACTAAATATTTCCGGGGGGGGGGGGGGCAGACACTGTTAAAAGTATATATTTTCTATATAAATTCCATTTCGTTCGGGGGGGGGGGGCGGAGCCCTCCCGAAGAGATGCCTGGAAGAAACTCTGCGCTCATAGGGGCAGTAGGCAGGGGGGTTAGGGGGGTCATAACCCCCCCCCCCCCCCATAGACCCCTCGGTATATAGAAAAAGTATGAGGGGGGTGCAAATTGAAAGTTTGAGGGGGGGGGGGTGCAAATCGAAAGTTTGAGGGGGGGTGCAAATCGAAAGTTTGAGGGGGGGGGTGCAAATCGAAAGTTTGTCCCCCCCCTTGAGACGATCCTGGCTACGCCACTGATAGGGGGAGTGCTTCCCCCCCTCCCCCCTTCCCAAGAGATGCCTGGAAGAAATTCTGGATACATCTAATAAATAAGTATCATAAAATTAACTTTATCATATAGGCCAATATAGGCCTAGTCTGCGGCCTAGTCAAATAGATCTATAATCTAGATTCTTCTCTATGACTATATCTAGCATAGATTCTATATCTAGATCTCGTTTTTAACTTCTTAACAGTCAATAACGATGATGTTATAAAATTCAATAGTTTTCCTTAAATAATTAAGGCTTAAATTATAGATAGGCCCCTAATACATTTTAAAATTTAAATAGATCTAGATTCTAGAGATCTAGTTCTATTTTCAACGTTGATAAATTGGATTGACTCATTAAACTGTTAACAGATACACAATTCGCCTTTTAAAGTTAAACTTTTTAATTTCAAGGCATTGTTTTGTCTTCTGTTCCGTGTATCAGTGTTGTATCTTGTCAGTTTTGTTTGGGGAATAAAAGTTTGACTTCTGGGTTATAGAAGAATAAATCGGTAAGCATTGTTGATTCTTAAAAATTAGGAGAGAAATCAACACTGTTGTGTTGCATTTTGTAAATATATCATTCGAACTGTTCGCCACTTTCTTATAGATCTCTAGATCTAGAAAAAGATAATCTAGAATCTAGGTCGGGTCGAGATATCTTCTCTCAGGTCTCTCTGACTTGACTGTGTCAGTCAGAGTCTCTGTCTACTCTACTCTTTCTAGACTAGTCTAGACTCTAGAGATAGAGAGAAGAGATCTCGAGACGCTACTCTAGACTATGGACTAGTCTCTATAAAATTAAAAATGCATTTTCTAGTTCTATTAAAATTTAGAAATAAGTCAGCTGGCATCGCAGCAATCAATTCACAGTATTTCACAGTGGGCAATAATAAAATCTAAAATCTAGATCTAGATTTCAAGATCTAATCTAATCTACTTCTAGATCTAGATCTAGGCCTTGTTGATCTAATGTTAACTCTAGCTAGATTCTAGATCTATTCTATTTCTATTCTATAGGTCATCCATAAATGACGTCACGCTTTTTTTGACGATTTTACCCCCCCCCCCCCTCCCCTCCATCACACGTCATCACAAAAAGCCAGACACCCCCCTAAAATGACGTCACACCTCAGCCTACAACCCCCCCCCCCCCTTAAAATTGCAGTTGAATTTTTTTAAACAGCTATATTTTTCCAAAATCTTGTCTGAACTCTGTCAAAATAGAGTATTTTAATCAATTGTTATTACAATTTATTAAAACAGTTTTCTAAAACGCAAAATGTCTAAAATTCGTTTTCTAACATTGCTTTTTTATAATGCAAAAGTGTGACGTCGCACCATCTGAACCCCCCTCATCACACACCATCACAAAATTGTGGACCCCCCTACGAGTGTGACGTCATTTATGGACGACCCCCTACTGACTATACTTAGACTATACTAACCACAACAGATCAGATGCAAAGAAGTAAAGTTAGATCTAGATTAGTAGATTTTCTAGCTAAGCTATCTAATCTAGAATCTAGATGTAAATTTAAAAGTACTGAAAGCTTAAATGAAGTTAAAAGTAGTAGGATGCAAATAGGCTAAATAGCAAAATTATATTTCGGAAAACTATAAATGACTGCCTTAACAAACAAAAAACAATTTCACTAGGATTAGCTACTAGCTAGGACCTAGGCCCATTATTTAATATTATGAGGTCTATGGCTATTCAATTTCAATTTTAGAAGACCTGGCCTATTTTATACTTAACCTTATTTTTTAGTACTTTTACTTTGTACTAGTAATAGTACACTAACACTTAACTTAAACATTAACACTACTTAACATTACTCACTACACTAACTACTAAACTACTAATAGCAACAATCAACTTATCAATCATCATCAATCGATACTCAACATGAGTCAATAAGCCTGACTGTTAATGATGCATATATGCACTAATTAAAATAAGGGCCTAGAGGCCTAGGGCTTATTTGCTCAATAAATATAATTGTTATAGGTATGTTTATATATTGTTATAAGTATATAGGCTATATGATCAAGTGAAATAGATCTAGCTAGACTACATTAGCAATTTAATAGCATATGATTCATTAATTTTTATGGCAATATTTAATACATTAATTTATAACTTGGCCCAGACATAGAAATAATTTTTTTTTCATTAGGCCTAATACAAATTTAATTTTAGCCATTGGATTCAAGGACATTCACAAGAACAAACTGCATTGCAGATAATTTAGAATGTTTATAAAAAATGTGGTCCCCTATTTACAAATTATGTAATTCATACTCATACGCTACCTACATTTAGTTTTGGTGTTTTACTTTTTTAGTTTTTTTATATCAGTTTTTTTTTTCAGTTGAGTGTTTTAGCATCAATAACTAACAGTATTGAATTAGTTAATTTCTCCATGGTGCTAAAAGAGGGGTTAATATTTCTTATTGGTCTTGTTGCAATAAAGTTTGCTAAATGGGATACTCCTTTAAAGAGCAAGGTCAAGTTACCTTGCCTAAGTCCTTATTTGCTATGGTGCAATAACATTCAACAAGAACTAATCAGGATGTTCTCTTTAAAGCCAAATCAAGTCACTTTAGACAAGTTGTTTTAAATAAAAATATCTCAGAACAATTAAATCTCTATTTATTTAGGGTGAATTTTCAGGTTGTTAGACCACTTACTTGGATTGTTTATTCATACCTTGACACAATTATAGAACATCTATTTGTTATCTCTTGCATGAAATTTTTTTTTTTAGGAAAAATGGATTTTTATTTTACTCCATTTTTATTATTATTGTTCTAGTAGTTTCTTGTGTAACAAAGCGGTGTCCAAACATGTCACTAGGATTTTTTTGACAATATATATATACCACCCCCTTTCCCATCGTTATAAAAAGAGAAATCACCCTGATCTCTTAACTAATAATTTCAATAATTTCACGACCCCTCATATTTCTGTTTTGTGAAACAGCCATAGCTGTCTGAAATATTAATTGAGCTTCTTCATTTTTTACAAAACGTCTTTTAAAATAAAATAAAATAACTTCAGAAAATTCAATTTATAAAGATTTTTAAATTGTCAAAGAAAATTCTCTTTTTCTGAACCAATTTTCCATCCCTCTCTTTCCAACCGGCCCCTTCCCCACCTCACATGGAGTGTGACGTCATTTATGGATGAACCCCAAAGTAGGAAAACATTTCTGAAACGTAGTTTAGAAAGTGAAAGACAAGCATACTTTAAAATCGTTTCCAAAACTTCAAATTGGGATACCATAACATATATTAAAAGTAAGCTTGTTTTTTATTGGCCTTCAACATAAAAAAAATATATTTTGTAGGAGAAACAAGTAAGGGAGGGGGGGGGGGGGGAGAGAACCTGCTTTTTCAACAACATCACACAAAAAAAATACTAACCCAAAACCCAACACTGTATTTGTTTCAGTGGCGTAGCCAGGAGCGTCTCAAGGGGGGTGGGGTTCCAATTTTTACCCGGGGACAAGCTTTCAATTTGCACCCCCCTCAGACTTTTGATTTGCACCCCCCCCCCTCATACTTTATATATATATATATATATATACCGAGGGGTCTATGGGGGGGGGGGTTATGACCCCCCCCCCCCTGCTCTACGCCACTGATTTGTTTCATTTATCTCTGTCACGATAAAGTGTAAAACTCGCGTACTTTACTTTTTCCCCTTCTCACTTGTTTCATTAACTCGTGACGTCTTTCAATGACGACTAGCTTCACATTTTCTTTAATTAGGGCCATGTTCAAATTGGGACGAAGTTGTAACTTTTTTTTTCTTCTGAAAATCATCTCCTTTAGTAAATGTCGACTTCACTCACCATGGCTAATTTGATATTTTCTATCAACTCTAAATATTCATGACACTAATAAGTGACTATGAATACTATTAGAATAATACTTTCGGTTAAAATAGTCGGATTTCAAGGGTGTCCTTGTGGACACACCCCTCCCCGATTGTTTAGGGGAAAAAAATGGGAGGACGCACATTAACAAATAGTTTTCTTGTTTGTAGTTGTTATATAATATAAGTCGCTTTGTTCTTAATATTCTGCTTATGGGTTTAGCCAACAACTCGTTATCGGCGATAGTGGTTATATGTGAATATTCATAGACCTTTTTAATAAAATAGGTACCCTTTTACATCTTTAAGTTAAGCGATAGTTTTAACAGGAAAGGATTTGTTTATCTTAAAGGTTTCCGCCGTACTATTACCCCCCCCCCCCCATGTGACGGCATAACACAACACATAGACGCTTTCTGTTTTGAAATAAGGGAAAACACTTGTCCGTTAGTCTATTTCAACAGTTACCGTGAATAGTCAGTAACTGGCTATCAGTCTATCCATTGGTGCCAGTATTCAAGCTAATCTGTTGCTGGGTAGCAGCAACCAAGCTAGCTGTGTAGCATAATCAGTTAACCACGGCAGTAAATAATCTCTCTATAACAACAGCGGGGGTTCATTTTTTTTTTAACTTCCTATTTATCTCTTAGTTCGGCAATCATTTCCGCTATCTGACGCCGTAGCCCACATATTTGAGGAAGGTCATAATAAGCCAATACAACGCTAGTGTAAATCTACTCATCCTTTCGCGGTGAGATAGCGTTGTTGAAGTGGCGCGCAATCAACAAGCGGTTCTCGGCGGACTTGGACCAGTAAGACGCTCAAGTAGTCAATGGAGAGCTTAATTAGTTTTCTATCATTACGTTCTCATGTGATGAACACATGGGAGTGAGGGAGGGGGGTATCTTTCATTTTTAACTGAGTAATGTCTGAATTAAGTGTTGGGCTACTTGCCTTGTTATATACAAACTAGCCCCCCCCCCCTTCCCCTAACCCTGACCCTACAACCCCCCCCCCCCCCCCCCCCCCCCCGTGAAAGCAGCCTCCTCTTAGTTACCTCCTGTAAGTTTAAAATCGTTTCAAACTAAATTATCTGCCCCTAATAGCCGTCACTAAACCCGGCTCTACTATTTGTAAACATTTAATTTAGCGTGACCACAACTCACCAGACCATGTGGGGGGTGGGGTGGTAGTGATAGTGATAGAGAGAAAGAGATGGGACTGTAAGGAGGCGCTTGCAGCTTGTTTTCTAAGGTCTCCCAGAAGATAATTATATATATAGATAGTGAGATGAGTCGTGTTCTCCCCCCCCCCCCCATACTCACCACTCGGACAGTTATTGTGAATCTCATCAAAGACACGCCCATTATCAAGTTTAACAAGGCATATTTATAACCTGCATTGAAATCTGTGTCGTATTCTAGTGAGCTTTTGAATTAAAAAAAGAGATGCATGTTGCTACACATGTCAAATTATACTCAGTGGTAAAATTTAATAAGGTTCTTCCCTCCTTCCTCCCTCCCTCCTTTTACCGTCCCAAAACTTAAATACTGTAGGCCTAGATATGGCTACTTTTCGAAGAGCCTAATGGAAACAGCAGCCTACTTTACTTGGGCGCATAATATTACAATTCTGAAACAGAAAGTTTAATATTAAAACGAAATGGTTTTGTGATATTATCTATGATTTCTGTGACTGATAGCCGCTTGTCAATAATCTACTAAAGTACCGTGCAACAGCAGGTCCCCCTTCACAGCACTGAGTAGAACCGTGCGCATTCGATGTGCAAATACCTAGCGTTGTGGTTCTACCCCTTCCACAGTACTCTGACTTTAAAAAAAAAATCCATGTACACGTATAGGCTACTGGTTTCCTTCTATCTGGTGGAATAAAGACGTTACTACAAATGACAACAAGCCTTTTTTCCTGTACGGCCGCCCTAGTTGGAGAGTAACTAGGAGTTTCTCTTTTGTTTGCATACCCTCCTGTGTCAGTTAGAAAAAAAATAATGTATAAGTCGCATGTAAAGGTCTTGGATATTTCATCAGTATATTAAGTCACATGTATGGGCATGGATTAAATCACTATACAATAGTCGTGGATAAGACACACGTAGAGGTAGTGGACCCAAGCAGTACTTTGCTATTTGTAACAGCGATTAGAGGGGTTGTAGAGGGTCCATTTATCACGTGTCCGATAAATGTAGACTGAAGCGCTTTTCTCTTGATAAACACACTGAAGAAATAAACGGTTCTATATTTACTTAATAGCATCTAGGCTCTAATAGATTAGCCATACCCTCAGATTTGTATTGTTGGTGTCTCAGATACCGATGATCCAACCCTTGGGGTTAAGGCTAGTGTTAGCAGTAGTTAAGGCGATGGCTAATATTGGGTTAATGGTCAGCTTTGGGTTTTGAAGTATTGGCAATACCAAAATAAATACACGAAGTGCTGCTTTTATCTCCGTTATTGCTGAAACGGTTAGTGTGTACGACTATCGTATAGCTGTTAGGGTTAGTATAGGCCTGTCGCATAGCTGTTAGGGTTAGTATAGGCCTGTCGCATAGCTGTTAGGGTTGGTATAGGCCTATCGTATAGCTGTTAGGGTTAGTATAGGCCTGTCGCATAGATGTTAGGGTTGGTATAGGCCTGTCGCATAGCTGTTAGGGTTAGTGTAGGACTATCGTATAGCTGTTAGGGTTAGTATAGGACTATCGTATAGCTGTTAGGGTTGATATAGGCCTGTCGCATAGCTGTTAGGGTTAGTGTAGGACTATCGTATAGATGTTAGGGTGGTATAGGCCTGTCGCATAGCTGTTAGGGTTAGAATAGGACTATCGTATAGCTGTTAAGGTTAGTGTAGGCCTATCATATAGCTGTTAGGGTTAGTGTATGCCTATCATATAGCTGTTAGGGTTAGTGTAGGCCTATCATATAGCTGTTAGGGTTGGTGTAGGCCTATCGTATAGCTGTTAGGGTTAGTGTAGGCCTAGCATATAGCTGTTAGGGTTAGTGTAGGCCTATCGTATAGCTGTTAGGGTTAGTATAGGTCTATAGTATAACTGTTAGGGTTAGTGTATCGATACTAGCAACAACTAACGTCTATGTAGGCGTGTATCTGATTATTTCGTGCTATACTGTTCATAGTAGTAACGTAAAGATTCATCTTTCGACCTAGTGATCCATTGGGCAGATGAATTAGAGTTCATATGCTTCTTGACCGCTGCATATGAATGGATAATGTATACTATTCATAATATTATTTTATAAATGCTGCGGTAATTGTACTCAAAGCAAACTGTTTATGTGATGCTTGTGCTTTGAGATTGAGAATGTTGAGATTAGCCCCGCCTCCAATGTGTTGCTGTAGTTCCGTCATTAGTTTAACCACGTGACCGCTAATAGACCGCCTCATACAAACTTATAACCCTTTGCTACTTTACTGCACTGGGACGTGATGTGAAATACATTTTTTTTGTAAAATCGCCGACGCAATGAATGTATTGTAGTAGTATGTAGATAGGGCTGTCTATTACGTACTGTGTAGTCCTTTCTTGTTGTAGGTAAACTCTATCGCTGCGTTTTTGGTTAGGCCTAATGGTTTCGTTTCAATGTGTTTTCTTACGAAAGGAAATTGGTTTAAACAGAAAAAAAAAATTACCAAGTGAATTTTTAAGATTGTTTTAACCAAGGAAGGCTATTAAAATAAGTGGTAAAACACAAAGGGGAATAACTCTAAGTTAAAGCCATGCATTAACGCCATATCTAATTACTTAGTGAGAATGTTGTAGTATGTTACATTTCAATAAAAAGCCGCGTCGTGTTGTTCTATCTGAGATAGGCCACCGTAAAGACACAGGGCTACAATTAGGTATCCTCATTGGCTTTACCGTTTCCTACACGTATGTGAACAAGGCTAACGGAGGAATGAACCTACCAGGAAGCGGGGTGTGAGGGGGTGGTTTAAAGTTTAACGATCAAGTGCTCTACCAACAAATCGCCCAGCCGTCTCTTCCCCTCTCCCGTAGATAAGTATAACGCTTCGTATACCCCCGCCTTCTAGGGCAGGTCAAGGCGATACTAGTATCATTGTTAGTAAGGGCGGGGCAGAGGGAGTGGGAGGTGAGTAAGCAGGGACATAGCCGGTACCTACTTAACCTAGCGTGGCCAGACCTCAGGTGCAAATCTGTGGAGTGAGTACAGGCTAAGCTTTAGCACCTGGATGGCTTTTTGAACTTTCACTTAGTGTTGTGCTCAGATAACGCCCTGACACAGTGTGGTATGTGGTTCGCCATTCTTGTACAGTGCTGTTTCCTAATAGTGCTGTACTTTACCATTCTTATACAGTGTTGTTTCCTATAAGTGCTGTATCACACCATTCTCATACAGTGTTGTTTCCTATTAGTGCTGTACTTTACCATTCTTATACAGTGCTGTTTCCTGTTAGTGCTGTATCACATCATTCTTATACAGTGTTGTTTCCTATTAGTGCTGTACTTTACCATTCTTATACAGTGCTGTTTCCTAAAAGTGCTGTACTTTACCATTCTTATACAGTGCTGTTTCCTGTTAGTGGTGTATCACACCATTCTTATACAGTGTTGTTTCCTGTTAGTGTTGTATCTCTCCATTCTTATACAGTGCTGTTTCCTATTAGTGCTGTATCACACCATTCTTATACAGTGCTGTTTCCTATTAGTGCTGTATCACATCATTCTTATACAGTGTTTTTCCTATTAGTGCTGTATCACACCATTCTTATACAGTGCTGTTTTCTATTAGTGCTGTATCACATCATTCTTATACAGTGTTGTTTCCTATTATTGCTGTATCACACCATTCTTATACAGTGCTGTTTTCTATTAGTGCTGTATCACACAATTCTTATACCGTAGGCCTATCTCACCATTCTTATACAGTTTTGTTTCCTATTAATGTTGTACATGATATTACCATTCAAATTAGTTCTTTATACTATTTATTCCTCAGGGATTATGTATAAAACTTCCCATTCTAATGTAAACAAAATATTTGATAATCTATGTACCCAATGATCCTATTAATTTCACAGGTTAACAGTTGTCATAAATATTATTACTGGTTATCCTGCCAGTAACCACTCATTTTAGCATGTTTGTTACTTATAGTTTAACTCATTAAATCACATTGATGTTTGTTACTTAAAGCTTAACGCCTTAAATTATGTTGGTTAGAGTTGGTGTTAGCACATCTAGTTTTTAAAGTGGTTAATGCCATATTATACACAAAGACGTTCCTATAACTGGTGTTTGTATACAAACTCCTTATTACAGTTACTTTTTAGATCATTGGAGGGATGGGGTGGAGGATAACCACTTGAGCACTCAATGCAAAGCCTAGAGTATGTTTTATGGTTGTCTATTTTTATCCTCAGGATATATAAGGCTAAAGCGGAGATGTGTAAAATTTGTACTCTAGATTTCTGATGAAATCTTTGAATGGAATATGATTCAAATATGCCCTATCAGGATAAACAAGGGCGCCTTTGTGGTTTCCTGAACATTGAAGAAACTGAAGGCAGTGGTAGCTTCTTTAGAAGGTTAGTAGAAGGTTCAAAAGATATAACTCTTTTTGCTGTCAAAGTCTTAATATATTTACTATTGTTTTCTATTTTATATGTTTGAATCAAAAGACTTTAAAATTGTAAATTTATAATGACAGGTATTTTGTGTTGGATCACAACAATGAAAAACTGGTCTACTATATGGATAGCCCTACTGTGAGTCAAATAAATACTTTTTCTATATTATCCTTACTTATTTATTTAAATGGCCTTGCTTTTGATTATCAAATATATTTTAAAAAATCTTTTAAATATCTTAAGTGTATCATATCATGTACAATTAATGAGAGTGGGTGGAGTAGAAAGAACCCTCTCTGGTTTCAAGTGTAATCTCTGTATATTTTAAAAGTAATTGCACTTAACAATTATGTTCACTTTAAATTGAAATAATTGAATAGTCAAGATACAAATATATACACATCATTAAGTAATTGCCATGTAGAAAGTTTGTTTCAAAATGTAAAAGCAATTTAAAAAAATAACACTTAAAAAAATTGAATCATATTAAGTAATTCTAGACTTTACAAAACATAATTGTTTATTTAAAAGTTTCAAATTAATTTCAAGCAGAAACAAGTTAAAACAATATGTAAAACATAGAAGTTGATTCTTAAACCTGGTTCTTAATTAAGTACAATTTTTTTTTTACTTGCTTGAAACTAAATATTTTATATCCGGCAAACATTTATCTCAATAACAAAAAAAATTTGTATAAATTTTATACTTCAAAATATCAAAACATGTAGTTAGATAAATGTAATCCATTCCTTTCACACAACATCCACACTAGGAAGCAAGCTCATAAAAAAATATTTCTGATTGCTGCTATCTCATATGGGTTTATCTGTAGAGCTAATCAGGCAAAGCTTGACATGTGCTGGGTCATTTTTCTGCCATAGCCATCATTCACTCAGTTCCAATTTTATTTATCACATAAGGATGGCTGCTGATAATTTACCAGTTATTTATTTCCGCGGTGTTCCCGTTATAAAAATGTATTAGCACAAGGAGAAAATATATATATATGGGACGGAGTGGTCTAGTGGTAGAGAGCTGGACTGCTAACCCTTAAGTATCGAGTTCGAATCCGGGTTCAAGTCAGTAGACCGTCCCTGAGTCCACCCAACTCTAATGGGTACCTAACTCACGTTAGGGAAAGTAAAGGCGGCTGGGCATAGTGCTGACCACACTATCTCTTCATATGCCGAGGTCACAGAAACAAGTGAACTCTACTTCACTTGCCCCATAGACCGCCAGGTTTGAAAGGGAAACTTTACTTTTTTTTTAAGGAGAAAATATATACATATATTTATTTATTTATTTATATATATTTGTATAATCTAATAATCATATTTGGAAATACAACATACCCTTGAAACAGGTGTTTATCATTTTATTCTCTAAGTCCAATCACTTCAACATCTGGAATGACTGTGTATTATGATATGTTTATAGATTCTTTATGCATGTGTTTAATTATAAATGTTCAACATTTTTTATGTGGACAGTTACTTACATTTTAATACTTTTTTAATTGACTAATTAGAACTTGCCTGAAGCATGGAAAAGTCCTGTAGGAGAGATATATATTCATAATATTTCCAAGGTATGTAGCGCTTTTGAATTTTTTTTTTAAATAAGATCATTATAAAATATAGCAACATAAGGTTTTAATACATACAATAAAAAATATTTTACTAACAGGTGAGTGATGGTTTAAAACAAAGGCCCAAAGTTCAGTATTGTTTCAGTAAGTATGGAGTTTTTTTTTTTTTATTCAGACATACTTATAAAGTTAGTGTTTTCTCTATTTAAATTAATTCACTAAAATTTTATATGTATATAATACATGGCTGTGACTTTCTTACCAGCTATAACTGTGACAGGACGTCAGTATTTCCTCCAAGCAGAACAAGACCCTGACAAATGGAAGTGGATAGAGGCCATCAAAAATGCCAGCAAAATTACGGTAAATTAAAATATTTATTCATATTATTTCTATGTTGACATCAACAACTAAACAAAAACTCTAGTTGTTTTGTTTTGTTTCCTTCAGGTACCAGAGAAATCAGATGGCTCAGTGGCCAAACAAAAAGATTGGCATGCGTGTGTAGAGCAAGAGGCTTATATTACAGAGATTGCTGGCGGGGTTGTTTGTAAAATGCCAGTGCAGGTCTGTAATATACACTCTGTATTAATGTTTTTAAACACTTTTACTCCTAATCACTGCTATCATTTATTTCCTTCAAAATCTTCTAAACCTGTGTTTGATTGAACCCCTGGGGTTTGGTGAGCCAGGGGTTCTGCGGATGTCAAGACACAAACCTGACTCATGAAACGCAATCTGTTTTTGTCAGTGGGGATAATAAAATTAGTAAGAAAGTTTGGTAAATAGGAAACTAGTGGGGTTTGGTAGGTCCAAGAAGGTTAAAAACCACTGCTCTAGACCAGGGGTCTCCAAACTACGGCCCGCGGGCCGGATGCGGCCCGCGAGGTCCTCTCATCCGGCCCGCGGAGATCTTTTTGTCCACGGAAAAAATTATTTGTTGGAGGTGGCTTGTGAACTTTGCCCAGAAAATTCAGAACAATTTGAAAATGTAGCTTTGGGTGCTGGGTGCAAATACCATTGCACGCCGTGTTGCAGACATCGATGAAAACATTGTGACTAAATACCGAAAAATGCAAGCAAGTTTCGCCATTCTTCAATTGCAATGGATGATTCGCTGAAATTTGGATATATTTCTATACAATTTATATTTCGTTAAGGGGGGGGGAGAGAAGAGGGGGGTATAGGCCTATGTTATTCGGTGGGGAGTGGGGGGGGGGGGGCTCCGCCACCCTCAAAGAGATGCCTGGAAGAAACTGGCCCCCGAACTGATATTTGACAGTTAATGCGGCCCTCGGGCTGAAAAGTTTGGAGACCCCTGCTCTAGACTGTATAAAAATCTGCATTATAACTATTCAAATATACATTCAAAGTAGTGTGTTATAAAAATAGAACCACTTTTCCATTGTGAGATAATAGCAAAAATTGATCCTCTTATTGATTGTTTTGCAGAGTAATAAACAAAGTTTATTTTCTTTTTTTTTTTTTATTTAATTCTAGACATTTTACTGAAAACAAAATTAATATGTATGCAAAAGTAGAAACAATTTACAATTAATCAGTATTGTATGCCAAAAAGCAAGCACTATTATTATTAGCTTTTATTTATTAGCTTTTAGATGAGTCCAAGTATTAAACATATAGCAAAAATTATTTTATTTTTAAAATCCTTTGTCAATTTATGTTGAGGGTTATTAAGAAATAGTAAAAAGAATGATTGCTTATTTATGTGTATTGACAGAGTGCTGATGCAGAGTGTGAAAATAACTACGAGGAGGAAGGGTTAAGAATCTCTCAGTTGTCACTACATGGTCAAAGCTTCGGCAGGGACTCTACAGGCAGCAACCCAGAACTAGTCCAGTCAGTGTCCAAACCAAACATAAAACCACTCAAAGCAGGCTATTGTGTCAAACAAGGAGCTGTGGTAAGTTGTTTTTTTATATTATGGCTAGTCTCAAGTTTTTACATCTGTTATGGTTTGATTTTGATAGAGGAAAGTGTTACCAAAACTAAAATAAAATTTTTAAATCATATATTATTTATGTATTCAATATTTTACTAACTACTGAACTAATTCCCTAAGAATGTTATGTGTCGTAAAGAGGTCCTGCTCACACATCACCAATCCTTCTATTCCCCCCCCCCCCCGTACCTTACTTATCAATTTAACACTTTTAATAACAATCACACTTCCTGAGTTTTTTCAATAACCACATAAGGTAATCTAAGGGATTTCAAGTATTTTGTTTTGTTGATTGGTTTTTAGTAGTTTTTAAAAGTAATCTCATTTAATTTTGTTCCTGCTTTTAAATTAAATATTTGTACCAGTGAACAGAAGTTAACAAAATAAATACAATTAATTTACTAATAATTTTTTTATTATTTCAGAGAAAAAACTGGAAGAGAAGATACTTTGTACTTCAACAACAATTTCTTTCATATTTTAAATCAGAACAAGTAAGTAATCTTTTTCATATTTTAAATCAGAACAAGTAAGTAATTTCTTTCATAGTTTATATCAGAATAACTTTAGTAAGTAATTTTTTTCAGATGGCTCTTCTTAGTTGTTTTAGAAGTACATTTTGATAACAGATAAAAATTTGATGTATTTTAGGAAAAACAACCACTTAGAACCATACCAATAGATGAAATTTTAGATGTCCGCCAGTCTTCTGATGGGTAAGCACTTTAAGAGAATCATAATTAAAAGAGAATCTTTTAATTAAAAATAGTGCTGTTTAACACTGAGATTACTTAAATATAGTTTAATGTAGAAATATTTCAGAGTAACTAAGAAGCTCTTGAGTAATTTATTAAAGTACTCACTAACCGAGGGGTGTATGATCTCAAATGTTTGTGATGAGTGGGAAATGGGAATTTTAAAAATGTGATGAACCATATAATCTTTATTTCTGAAGCACAAATATGATGATTATTATTTAACAAATTCTTCTATGTCATTGATTAGTGCCTAATCCCTGTATGCAAAATGTGTATCACAATTTAAAAAAAAAATATTCCTCAGGGTTCATCCAACAAGAGATAATTTATTTGAAGTCCGCACATTAAAGAGAATATTTTATATACAGGTAGCATGATTTAATTTTGCTTTTAGACTTTGTTTTTTCTATTGCTTTGTATTAATTCAAGAAATTTATGCCCATTCCTATTTGAAATATAATTTTATTTTATTGTTTACATATAAATCGTGTTTTGTTACATATCTTGGTTTATTTATATAGAAGTACCTTGGCTTCTCTTCGTGTGTGCTGATGTTTTTGTGTTTGACTTTCAGTGTGATACCCCAGAAGATATGAAAGGTTGGATCGATACAATACAGTCAGCTATGTCTCAGCGACAGAAACGTTTAGAAGAAAGAAAGGTAACTTAGCATTTAAAGGGAGACTACACCATTATTAAAAAATAGACTAATGTAACTAACCCATTGGGTAGTAATTAGACTGATTTTATCAAGACAATAAACTAAAAATTTTAAACATAAATTGTATTGGTATATCAGAGCTAAGTCACATGTAACTAGTTTTTAATTATTTTCACAGTCAATGCAAGATCCTCAAAGTCGTCACCCATTAGATGATGAGCTCAGTAGTGGAACATACCCATCCCCAATATGGGTATGATTTTAAATGCTTGGAGTTTCTAATTTGTTGCATGAGTTTACTGCATGGTGTTATAGTTTGGAGTTCTTCCCCTTTTCATGTGTGTGGTTGTGTGAAGAATGGAATCCGAGTGATACAACATATAACACTATAATATATGACTGACTGCTGTGTTGCAGAGGTGAAACTAGCTCATATGAAAGTAAACTTATCCCCAGAGACTTATCAAAGTACCAGTATAAGTAATGCATTTGTTCCCAGTGTAGCCAAATTGTACAGTAATAATGTAAACTAAACATATTGTTGGTGTAAACAAGTTGCCATTTAAAAAACTCTTTATTCATATATTTTTTTTATTTGCTTTCATGTATATTTCGCCTTGTTAGTTGTTACTTTGGGTACTTTTCAGTCAAGGATAGCCAATACTTTCATAATTCCAATTGTACCCTAGGAGACTATAGTTTTACGTTGGTCAAAGCAATAAAATTGTAAAGAAATTGTGTTGGGTTAGACAAGGTTACTGTTCTGTCTTTTGTTCTATAACACAGTCTAAGGGTCATTGCTTAAATAAAGAAAGCAGTATGCTTATATTTAAAAATATAGTTATAAACAAAAGCTTGATGTAGCTACTGACTTGAGATACAAACCATCATTTTTTAACCGCATTAAAAAACATTCTATGAAATTTCAAATAAGTTTTTGTTATGAATTTAAGTTTTTCTTCATTTGTTTTGTTATGCTGCTATAATGAATAAATTATTATTAAAAATATGCCATAAAATGCCAGTTTATTATTTAGCTAACCGAGGAGTAAAAAAAAAAAATGAAGAGGAATTTTGATTTTTAAAATATTTAATTTTTAAAATATAATCAGTTATAATCAAAAGAAGATGCTGCTTTATAATTTAGTTTGGTAGAAATTTTTTCACATCAGGCTCATACCTGTTGTCTGACCCAAGCTCTTTCATCATTTATAATAGCGATAGTTGATTTTGTGTATTATTTTCATTGGCTTTTAAGGGTTATTTCCTACCACATATACTTCAAGCAATTAGTGGGTAGACTTAACTGAAAAGTACCTTATTATCTAATCCTTGGTAAAAACCATGTTTGTTACCTGAGTTTTTTCATATAACAAGAAAATGGTTTATATAACTAATTGTTGGGTTAGGTTTTACTAAACACACTTTTATTATACATCTAAAGATTTACTTGGAAAGAACAACATGGATTGGAGAGCAGATATTTCTATTTCTGTAATTTACTTCTTTAAGGGCTATTATTTTTTTCCAATTTAATAACTTAAAAAAAATATTTTCTGATATTTAATGCAAAGGCTAACTTATAAGTACTGGTTTAAACCAATTGCTAGTCTTTCCCATTATAAAGAATATGTAAAAAGCATGTTCCCTTTTTCAAATGCCTGCATTTTTATATTTTAAAAACGACCTTATGATTTGTATTTTTGTGAATGTAAATTATAATATTTTAAAAGGCTGCAACATCTTTCATGTTTACAAAAAAATTATTATTATTATTATTAAGATTTTTTAGTTTTTGTTTTTACCAGTTTACCCCTGTAAAAGAACATAGATTTGTATAGTTTAAACTTAGGACTAACTGCTTTTTAATTATTATAGATAATCTTGGCTATTTTTTTAAATAATAAATTTACATTACAGATATCTCTATCTAAATTATTTTATTATTTTAAATTGTTGTTAATTATTTTGTAAGAATTATTTTGTATCTTTTTCTGTCTACCAAATACTTCAATCATTGTTTTGATGCTGTTGATTTTTGTACATAGTGTTGAAAATGTTGATTGGTTCTCATTGGATGGCAGTATAAATCCAGCCATCACATTAGCATTTTTTTATTCAGTAGGATGTTGTTTCGTTTTAAACTGCTAACTAATGTGATTTTTTAAAAAATATATACATTTTGCATTTTTAAGAAGTTTTAAAAATTATTTATATATTTTATTTATAAACTTGAAGATGTTTTTGTGCTTAAATTTTTCTTGGAGAAATTTTAAAACCTATTCTTTCATCTAACTTGATCTCTAGTTGAATTGGAATTTGTTATTGAAAGATGTACATGTTTTTATACCATAAATATACATATTGCTTCAGTACACACAGAAGTGCTTGTTTTCATCTCTGATTAGTTTATCTCAATTTAAAACAAATCTGAAAGGGCTTGTTTTACAGTTTGCAAAATGTTTGTTTTCTCAATTTTTCTTATAAAAACACCATCTTGATGAAAACAAGTAAGTGTATAAAAGAATTACCATTAAAAATTGTATTGTTATATTCACAGCAACAACAAAAGCCTTCATGTAAGCTGTAAAAGTTTACATTTTTTTTTTGTAAACAAAGTAGTTTTTTTTCTCTATTGCTCAATAGAAAACTAGATTTTTGTATTGTTAGTCATTGTCACAGGAAGACTAAGGCTAATTGCGGCTTTTTGCTTGTAGGTGTAGTCAATTGTAGCAGAGCTTGACTTTAGCCGTGTACCTCGACAAGGTTATGTCTGTGCTTTTGTTTTTAAACTGGTGTACTCTCATTCGTTATGTTGAGTTTGTACAATTTGTTGAGTGTGGTCTATAAATACTGGTGTTGGGTTATCTAAATCTTACTTTTATGAGGATAACACATTTCTGCACTTAACTCAATTATTTTATATTTATACTTATACATGGGCACACACACACACACACACTATATATATATATATATATATATATATATATATATATATATATATATATATATATATATATATATATATATATATATATATATATATATATATATATATGATTGTACATAGAATTATTATATGAACATTAAAATATATTCTGTAGACTTAAAGATAGTGTTTTTCAGGGATACATATTGGTTTGATGCTATGGACTTTGTAGTTGTAGAATTACTCAGTTTTTACGCATGGGGTTTTTAAAAACAACCAAATACCTCTTTTAAACATTGCATGTTGTATTTTCAATTCAGAAACATCGGTTTATGTCGGTGAGTTTTGATCATTATTGTGGGCATGATTGTTGCCTCTATGCACTTTTTATCTATTCCCTGCACACAAGACGTTTTAGAGTTCGTTGATGTGTTGGTCTTTCTGTAAAATTTACACACAATTCACCACAGCATTTGTTTTATTGTTAATTTTATCACTTAATAAAAGCTGATTCTGAAAAATTTTTAAAATTTAGCATTTAAAATTGAAGGTTGATGAAATGGAAGCTGAACTTAATAATTATGGAAAGGTGTTATTAAAAGTATTTTTTAAGCTTCTTATTAGGCCCTGAGCTTCTGCATTTATATGCTTATTCTACTCTTCCCTGTTGTTTCTCTGTTGGTGTCCTTTTTTCTGACATGCTTCAACCATATATTCATGAACAATTGTCTCAGTCCAATTTTAAAAATTTTAAACAGTAATTTTTTAAAAAAATGTTTGATTAATTAAGAATTAAATACTTGATACAAGCTTTTTGTGTTAATTATTTTATTTATAAATTTTATAACTATCCATAAACTATTTTAAATTTCCCATTTCTGTTCAGTGTCTGAAATGAATCATTCAGACTCATTTAATCTAATTATTAAAAATAAAAACATGAAACATACCAAGTAAATATGACATTTCCAGCTTTTTTTATGGAAAGGGCCAGCTTTGTAACTTAGCTCCAAATCTATCAGACCTATATATGCAAGTTTAATCCTTTGAAGCATATTCACATCTGGCTTTTCTCAACGCAAGTAACATTTGTTTTAAGATTTAATCAACACAAAATTTCTCTTTTCTACCGTAAACAAATTACCAGAAAAAATGCAATGACCCGTAACTACAGTTTGCCTTATTGTTTATTCTGGGGGAATTGGTTAAAAAAATTATTTAAAGTGTTAATAAATTGCAGGATTCTATGAATTTTATTACACACATTATTGTTTTACATTTGAAAAGTCAGCTCAGCTAAGGAATTTTCAAATTTTAAAAATATGTTTAATATTATTAAAATAATAAAAATAAGTTTGACATGAAAAATTAGGCCTATGCTTCAAAAGATATCACTTGTTATTCCTGGTCATGTGGTGTTTAAAAATTACAGGGAATGTTATCCAGTGGTAAGTATATTACATTGTATTTTCTTGGTAATTGTTGTACTATTTTCCAGTACATCTTTTCAGTAACTATATATTAATTATAATTAATTTAAATCAACCAATCAGTAACTATATTTTACTTGTTTAAATAAATTGCATGCATATAAAAAAAAATATTACAATATTTTAAACTATTACTTTTAATATGCAGCAATAGATCTACCTATTTTTTCACAATGAATTTTAAATCTTGAACTTTTTGTCTATTATATTATTATATAAAATAGCTTCCTTTTCCATTAAATTTTTTTACCCTAAACCTAAACATTTCACATTTTTTCACTCACAGGCTAAAGAGAGAAGTTCTAAAGATTCAAAGCAGCATCATAAAAGAATCTTCACACATTTATAGATTCTGTTGTTCCTTTTTAATTAATTAAGTACCTGTTTAATACTTTTTAGTAATAGCATAATTTCAACTGCTCAGTATCATAATATCATTAACAAATATTTAAAAAAAAACAATTTTTATCAAGTTCAAGAACTCAATTTTAAATTGTTCATGTTACTCTCAAATAAACTAGATAAATAAGTCATTAAAATGTTTATATCAGCCCATTTTATAATTTAAAGCCAAAAATACTTATTACTAATTGGGAACTGAAAGCAAATTCTGCTCTGTAATCTAGTCTTCTATTTAAATATTTATAAACAATTGTTTCCTTATTGTGTTGTATGATGCATTTTTATAAAAATCAAAAAAAAATATAAATACACTTTGTTGCTTAACTAATAAATCATTAAAATTTTTAGTTAATCTAAGTCTATTTGCTTATCAAAACTGATAACAGAGCATAAAAATGTGTTGCTTTGCTAATTTAAGTTTTATGAAACTAAATGTTTTTAAAATTTTAGTGAATAAACCTTCCAAGTTTTTTTTAAGTGCGGTAGAAGAACTTATAAAGAGTGAAACTGGAAAGTAATTTTATTTTGGATTAATTAAATGAATTCTTTTGGTATATCTAGGTTTAAAGTGTATTGTAAAACTGATTTTCATAAAAAAAATTAAAATGTTATCATTTGGATTTTAAAAATTGTAATTCCGCTTTAAAAAAAATAAATAATGTAGGAAGTATTATGCTATATAACAATAGCTCTAAAAGATCTGAATTTTAATATTTACAACTGTGTATTAGGCAATACATACTTTATTTCTCAAATGTGTGAATACATTTATTGATGTGATTGTTTTTAATCTATTGATAGAAGGAGATAAATCTGACAACGAATGAATATTTATGACATGCTTGGGGTGAAGAAGTTTGTTGGTGTAAATTTATGTATATTGTCGCTTTCAGTTGTCTGCTTTTAAAAAAATTTCACAGTGAACTTAAGATTTGTAAATTCATATAGGATTCAAGTTTTGTTGTGAAATATTTCTAGTAAATGTGCTGGTATTTTAAAATTATTACTAATTTTGTTGTAACTTTTTGTAAGAATCCTTATTGGAAAAATAAAACATTTCAAAACTTTTCAAACACTTTAGACATAGTATAATATGGATGCAATATCTTATTTTAAAAATGTATCTGCTGCAAACATCAGTTAATTAGTTAATTTGAAACTGTAAATTTTTACCAGATTTTTTAATTGCTTTGTCGTCTAAAAAATTATATATTGTATGATTCATATTTGAAATGTCCAAAAAAAGTTTGTAATTTGTTCTATATTACTTGTAATTTAAATGTTTATTAAATTATTATAAATTTGGAATAAAATAATGTATTGCTTTATAACTGAACGGCATTGAGAGTTTTTGGTTTACATCTATTATTTTTTTTTGCCATTAGGTTTAGTTTTCAAGTTTTTTGTCTAAATTAAACAAAAATTTCTGGAAATTAAACGACAGACACAGATCACAAGAAGAAATATAATCAAAATAGATGCAGCTTCCATATAAATGATACTAAACACTGCAAGAAAATATAAAAAAAACTACACACAGTGGTGTTTTGTAATTAATAAATGAATACCTGTTGGCATGTTGATTTAGCTTGGAAAGGTATTCAATCTTCATAAAATTATTTTGCATCAAAGCAAAACTGGGCTAACTTTGGCTGTTCTGCTACAAGAAACAGTCCAGTGAGGTAGATTTAAAATGTGATGAAACTTGGCAATACATGGTTGTTAAGCTAGTTGCACACCTGCAACGGTAGTGTAGATAAGGGGTTAATATTTCGAATATATATATATATATATATATATATATATATATATATATATATATATATATATATATATATATATATATATATATACAGTGCTTATATCTGCCAACGATAGAGGAAATAGCTCAATTGGATGTTAGAGGATATAAGCACCTAGCGTCTTCCTCTATCGTTGGACGAAATAAGCACATTCTAAAAAATATTTATGCCTATAAATAGAAGATAAATATAGCCAAAGGATGTGAAAGGATATAAGCACATTCCTTATTTCATCTATGGTTGGTTGAAAAGCACTTCAATTTTTTCTGATTTTGTCATTTGAAAAACTGACGAAACTCAACATTGAGAGTTTCTTAAGGTGTTACTAATAGCTAATTTAACGAAATCCAACTGAGTTATTACTTAATGTGTTACTTACTGATCGTTATTTTTTTTATAAGTGTAAGCCCACCCAACATTTAGTTTGTTTTTGTTGTCCCAGTTCATTTTTTATGGACAAAGGGAAACAACCGACTTAATATCTTTTACAAAATAAGATATACTTGGTTAACTCCTTTTATTTATTCAAAATTTAATAATAATTGTATTTTTTTTTTTTTGTTTATTTAATTAAATACCGTATTGGTTCCATTGAAAAACGATCTCAAGAAAAGTGATCTCAGATCAAATATCCCTGACAAATTCTCAAGGACAAACGATACCATAGACAAATGATCTCAGACAAAATATATCATAGCTAAATTTATTGTATAGAATTTAGACGCGCTTCATGGATGGGTTGGGGGGGGGGGGAGGCTACTACCTAGTGAATTTTCTTTAGTGCCTACGAACGACAATGGGAGTGCCCGTCTGTGCAGAAAGGAAAACTCACTTCTTGTATACAGTTCTTTGAAAACACAGTGTTCAGCTCCTAGCTGGTAGAAAGCGCCCCCAGTTCGTGACAATTGCCAGGACACTACGGGGATCACCGCGACCTCAACATCTGAATCAGTGTTTCTTCCAGACTTTTTCCTCCGGGGAGGACCAAAATTTCCGGGTGGTCACTGTTAAAAGTATATATTTTCTATATAAATTACACTTCGTTCGGGGGGGGGGGGAGGTAGACAATTCAGATCAGCATAAGTCGGAGATACTGTACGCATCAGTAATTCAGATCAGTGTTTCTTCCAGGCATCTCTGACGGGGGAGGGGGGGGGCTGTGCGCACCCAACTGTGCCTATCAGTCTCTAACTATCCACAGGTGCACATCTCCACCACTTACTCACCATCGCAACACTACAAATCTAAACAAATCATAGATTTTAGTTTTAAATAGAATAAATAGATCCATGTTCTTTTATTTTCTCATGTTATCAAAATGCATAGTCACGACCGGCTATTTGGAAAACACATATTGTGCTGTATGTTGACCTACATGCACTTGATACTCAATGATGACGGTTTCATCACATAAAATCTCGTACCCATTCAACGAGAACGCGAATGACAATGTTATTCACCTAAATAATATGGCGGCTACCTGCAATAGCTAGCATATCAATAACAGTTGTAATGTCCGACAACTAGACCAAAATCTAAATGTTTTATTTGCAATATACGTAATTCCCCTGTTTCTTACGAATGATTACAATGGTTCTTACAAACCAGAATGCGTGTGACATTTTGGGTCTCCCTGTAGGTAAGGAGATCGATATGATATTGCGATTATGTCTGATTAATTTTTTATCTCTGAGCTGAACTGTGAGCTTCAGTGTCTCAAGACAAGAAGTATGAAGTAGACTATCTTAATCAAAATCTAGTCTAGAGATTTTTAGATCTATCTAGGTCTAGAACTCTAGATCTGTTAACTAAGTGATTATTTTTCTAGACCTAGTTAAACTAAACGAAGTGACTACTCAGAAAAAGATTTTTCGCCCCATCGTCTCCACTTAGTCCGCAAAAGATAGTTCTGCACATGCGAAGTGACCTAGGGCTAGGGTTAAGATTAGGGATAGGCTAGTGTTGGGGTTAGGGCTAGGGTTCTGCGGTTGTAAACACGCATGCGCAGTACCATCGAAAACATCGCTGCGAAGGCAAGTCATAGTTTCTCTCCATTGCACATGCATATCTTTTTTCGGCTAGCATCGGCCTAAACTAAAACTATCATCTAAATCTAGTGACTAGTCTAGTCAATGGTCACGAGCGAGAAAGTATTCGAGAGGCCCATTAGGCCTAAATAATTAAAAAATCATGCACAGCGCAGTTACAATTAATAAGGCAAGGTTAATTAACTTAATATGGTTATAAAATCCTGGGTGTCTGGTTTTTTTTGGGACTTTACTAAAGTTTGGATGTATTTGATGTTAATATTTTCGGTAACTAGATCTAAATAATAATTTTAAAAAAAGCAAAAACAATTTGGTTTTCACGTGTAATAGCGACATAAACAATGGCATTCTGCTATTCGATAGGCTGCCATAAATTTTATTGTACACATTGTAAGCAAAAAAAAAAGGAAACTAGGTCATGGGGTTTAAATTTGCATTGTTATTTAAAAACTTTATCTGCAAAGTTTTAAACAAATAGTTATTAATCACGGAGTTCCTGTACAGCCAATCAATATTTGTATTACGAAAATGAAACATCCGGTTATAACTTAGGCTTGATGTAAATAAATAGAAATGTAGCCTCAAACTCAACAAGTTATTTTCAAGCTCTCTGGATTTGCAAATTTTATAGCATTGATTCTAAAAATATAAAATTTCTGAATTAATTTTAAGAGTTTTTATTTTTTATTATTTTTACGGTCGCTTTGTTTGCTAAATCTAAAAAAGCACATTTTTATTCCACATCAACAACATGATGGAAGGAATCTCGTCAACTCGCTGGCCTCCATTCTGACTAGTAGTGACTAGGGCTGGCTAGGCCTATGCAATTTTTTCTTTAGATTTAGATCCAAACGCCATAGATTCTACCTTCATGTAGATCTATGATCATCATCAGTCATACAGTTTTACTAGATCTAGAATAGATTCTAGCATTTCTAGATCTAATCAGATCTAAAATCGTAAAATTCTAGAATATAGAAAATACCTACTATATTTAGATCTAGTTCTGATTCTAAAAACAATAATATAGCGTTGGAAATTATCCGGTAATATTTGTTGAGTGTCATAAACATGGTTAGCTAAGCCCTACTTAGTAAACCATAGTTTATTCGACTGGCAAAATATAAGTAAAGTTGATTTGGATGCTTGAGAATACTGATGTCTGACAATAGACTCTTCCAAAAATAAGTGTTAGTTTGTTCATTGTTAGTAGTATATTCTAGTTTAGTATTGTAATTTTGTCTAAGTTTTATAATTAGAAATTAGGGTTATTTGTATGGTAGGACTATGGGTTAGCTAACGGTTAGGATTTAGCATTAACATTAGCAAGCCATATGTATGTAGTTAATTAAATACCAGTAACCTAACACCCCTTTTTTTTAAGAAGATACTACTATTAAATACTGGTATAAAAAAATCCACCCTAATAAAAAAAAAATGGTTTACAGTACCTGTACACTGTTATTTACGTTTTAACATTATACTTGCTACGAAACCATTCCTGAATAATAACCAACATTATATTGTGAGATTTACCACGGTTTTTTTTTTTTAAAGAATTCACATTTGTGAAAATAAATGAATGTGTTTGATTGGCCAATGCCAATGGAAACTCCTTAGTCTAAAATTTTCTCCTCATAGCTGAAATGGTACTCAAGTTATCTGTATTTTAGAACACAGAAATAGAGTAAAGTAAACTTCTGTTTAGTGGAGGTCACTAAAATCTTTTAGAGTTATCCATGTATAAGATTTTGTACTTATATACGAAATTTTGTCTAAGTACCTGGAACAGTGCTCACATTATAGTCTTCACACGGAAATAGAGTAAAATACCAGTTCGGGTTAATGGAAATCTTTCAAAAGTTGATACAAAACTACAAGTTTGATAAATAACTTGTTCATGAAATTTCGTCAACATAACTGTAACGGTACCAAAGTTATTGTGTTCACAGACATATACATACACATGCTGACAAAATGGCAAAGCCCAGTTTTCCAACTGAATGACATGGAAAATGCTGAGATATATCTTGATTTAGAAGTTTTGCTCAATTAAATTAAGTCCTCTATACTGCATGTATGACGAAGTATTGAGGTGTAATACTGTGAAAACTGTCAAAATTACATGTGATTTGCATGCATGGTTACAATAGTTTCTCTACGCTCTGTATATCAAAAAGTAAAAACACTGATCAAACCAGAGAACTTTATAATTTACATGCTGGAATCAATGTAATAAATATATTATTTAGAATGATTCTGCCACAAATATGTGTACTAAAGGAGCTAAAATCGTATGCTCCTTATAGAAATTCACATCAAGCCCCAAAAAACTTCATTTGGAATGTGACTTATCTCTTTGTGAAAGGTCAAATATAAACACTGTAAATCTCAATTACTTGTTTTTCTTTACATTATTTTAATTGTTTTGCTGTATATAAAAACGTTACAAAAATGTTTTATTCTCATCAAAGCTTTTTTTTTGTTAGATAAACCTGAAACTGGTTGTTTTTGACAAAACAACTTTTTTAATCATCTTTTTTTCATCAGTTTAGCTAAGTACATTAAGTCAATCATTTAAGTTATGGGAACTATACTTTGCAAATAGGAGAAAATACTGTTAAGATATTAAATTTTTTTATAGAAATAGTTAGATTGCTTGATTCTTGAATCAAAATTTCTAAGTTTTTTTTAAATGTGAAGAAAAAGAACAGCTGTGTTTATGTTATTGAAGAAAGGTAATTACTTTGAAAATCAATCAATAAGCATTTTGACCCCAGATGTCTAGCTGTGTTTACCACTGGTTTATTTACAACACAGAAGAGATGTAGTTTATTTTAGCAAGGCAATATTAGTGACATATAGGCCTGCTTTATTTAAAATGATGGTCTTAACATGTTTTATTTCTAACTTAAGGTTAAACTGTGATACCTTTTAAAAACTTGCAGTTTTAAAAAAATGAAAGCTATTCAGTGTGCACTGTATAACACGTAATTACCAAAGCCCAATATCGAAACACATAATTGTATATGTAATAAATCACTGTGTCAATAATGGCTGGTTAGATTATTACTTGACCTTTTTCTGTTTTAAAATACTAGAACTGTGATCAAATGAGCATTATGTCGTGGCTATAGAATACAGAGGAACAAAAATATTTCATTTTAATTTTGTCAAAAAAAAGTCAAATTTTTAAACAAATTCTAATAGTTCTAATTAGTAAAGATGTTTCTTAATAACTATTTTGATGTTTAGGTGCTGATTTGAATTCTGTATCAACAAAATATAAACAGTTAGCCATAAAATGGCACCCTGAAAAACACAATTATTCAACAGAATCAGAACAGGTAATTTCAGCATTAGCATTCATTCTCTGTTGTTGCATCATTTTTACATTTCAGTTAAAGTATAAGTAATTTAACTAAATTATAATTTATAATATTTTGCTTTTTTAATATAAATTCTAAATAAAATACATTGCCTTCTGTTAGTTATTGTGTTCAGCTTTTCAGATGGTAACTTATCTTTTTTTTCCCAGTAAATTTTTTTTAGATTTGTTTTTAAACATTTAGTGTATGAATGTTGAATTTAAATTTTTAAAATATTTTTACAGAGGTTTAAACAAGTTACATTAGCATATAAAAGATTAACATCGACAGAATTTCAGCAAGATATAAGCATGGTTTGTGTACTTTCATTCTCAAATTTCTTTTGAATTTGACATGTTTAAACTCTAATTTCTTCGAATTTATTTTTAACTTATTTAACTGTTTTGTTTAATTAATAAAATATATAAAGTTGTAATCGGAATGGGATTTGTGATGAGTTTTTATAAAAATGTTTTTTAATTACAGAGTGATTGTTTATCTCTTTTTCAACAAAAAGTATTTAATAGAGCAGGTATGTATGTGTTGAATGATTGAAGCATGAATTTTCATTATTATAAATGTTAAACAATAGAAATAATTTAATCACATTTAAAAAAACATTTCATTATTTAATTTTTTTTTTCAGCAACAAATGGTACCAAATATGATTATTCAGATTCTAGTGATAATAGTGATGATGATGATGACGACGACAGTGATGATTCAGATGATGTACATACAAATAATTTACACAAAAAAGGTAACAAAGATTTTTGTCTATAGGCATGTGGCAAATTTTGTTTCTCATGCAGAGATTTTGTTCAAATATTCCAGCTATATTACTCTTCAAAGACAATGTAAGGATGTCTCATTTTTAATCTAATTACATAGTATTTAAAAATTAATTTAAAGATTACTAAATTCAATAACACAAGGGGAGATAACAATATACATTATTAGTTGAAGGCACTGAAATGTTGGTCACGGATCATAGGTTTCACTCCTGAGAGCCAATAACAGAGGTCAAAGCCACAGTTTGTGCTTCGAAGCAAATATTTTTAGTTGTATGTATTTCTGACTTCATTAAAAACAAATGGAATGCAAAAAAAGGAGGCCTGCCTATTGTTTTTTTTTAAAACTTAATAATCCAGTTATTATTTTGATTGTTAACATGCATATTTATTTTAAAGTAGGAAAAAAATTCCCAAAAAACCTTTGCTAAAATTTTAAGAGATATCATACATGACCATCTTTTTTTTTCAAAGAAAGCTAGTTAGTTTTATCTTTTATTTTTAGAGCATTTAACAGATTCTTATTATGAAGGTTTTTCTAGATTGTTTTTATTTTCTCTACAAAATCATGATTTACAAGTGTTATGATTAATAGTATTTTTTGGTATCTTTTTCATGAAAACTATTAATTTTTTTTTAATGATTTAAACAGATTCATCTAGAAAAAATTCAGAGGTTAGTATTCTCATTTATTAATAATTAGGTTTAAATTTGAATCCTTATATTTGTTTTAATTATCTGTTCATATAATTGTATTTTAAAAAAAAAAAACCATCTGTTTTCAGAATGGTTTTAAAGATTTAACAGAAGAAGAAAAGGAAAGGAGAAAAGCAGAAAAAAGAAGAGCAAAGAAAAAAGTAAGTTGAGGTTTATTTAAAAAAAATTATTTTAATGATGTTGAGCTAAATACTTTTCTAACAAAACATAAGTGTGAATTGGTTTTTATTGATGAGCTATTATCTTTTCAGAGACAAAGAGAGAGAAAGCGTTTAGAAAAGGAACAAAAAGTGGTATGTTTTTTTTTTAAGAATAATTTTAATATTTAGCAGGATAGAAATTTAGACAGTAATTTTAAATTTGCTTTGTTGTTTTTTTTTTTTGTTGTTTTTTTTTTTCAGAATGGAACAACTAAAAATAAGAAAGATAAAAAAGTTCGGAGTCAAGAAAAGTCACAGATGGAGTAAATTAACTTTTTATCATTTTTATTTAATTTTTCTTAAGTTACTAATAAGAACTAATATTGCATCTTTTAATATAAAAAACTAATGTGTCCAATTATTTAATGCATCATTAAATTTCCCTTATTTAATATCTTTTTAGTGACTCCTCATCAGAAGAAGATACGGTAAGTAGATTGTTACTAGAATAGCTCACTAATATATATGTACCTCATACATTTTAAAAGCTTAGAAAAACATTTATTAATTGCGCTAACAAATAGATTAACTATTTCTGTTAGTTTTAGATCCTAAAATGATAATATTGATTCAGAAGTTATAAAAATGTTCAAACAAGTTGAGGGGTGAAAGTGTCGAATTTTATATTCTTACAGAATTTTGATCCAAACTCAGCATTTTTCACAAAAGTTGTTAGTAAAAAGAAGAAGAATGGGGTTAATGGAGAACAGCAACCACAAACTGTGAAAAAAGACAAATCTCAAGAAAAGAAAAGTGAAGATGAGGTAGATACATTTTATGTTCAATTACTAAGGTAGAAATACTTCATGTACATTGTTGGGATCTTCCGTCTAGGGGTATTCAGGACAGCACAACATATAGCGTATACAACAGTTTAATATATATATATATACTTATATATATCTACATAAATAATACTACATTAATATAATAAAAAGTTTATGACTCAAATTACAATATATTTAGCACACCCGTCTACGTCTCCCTCCAATACCACACGACATCCAACTGCCACACCCCTAGCACATGTTCTGACACCCGTCAACTGATAATCTTCATGTTAAAACATCTCGTTCTATGTAAACACACATACAACTATACACAGAAAGAGGGTATCTGTTATTTAAGCACACAAGACACTCTTCATGTACTAAACCTTATGCACATACAGTTAATGTTGTAAGTCTTAAATTACTATTACTTAGAGGTAGATATACTTCATGTGCATAACCTTTTCCACATACAATTAAGGTTATAGATCTCAAATTACAAATATGATGAGGTAGTTGTTCAATTGTAGAGTGAATGTTGTTGACATACTTTATGTACATAATCAGTTCTTCATAAAAATTGCTAATATGTGTTTTTGTAGTTGAAAGAAATGTTAATTAATTGCCAAATTATTTATTTATTTTTTATAATTAACTATTGACAGGCAGAAGAAATTGTAGATCCTAAAGTACTTCGAAGCAGACAACTAGCTAGTAAGTCTGCGACTGTTTTCATCAAGAATGTGTTTAGTGACTCCTAACTCGATGTGACTAAATAATAAATATAATAACATGAATACTGAATTTATTGACCTTAGTCTACCAAGTTTCCATTCAATGGAAAAGTTTTAAATATATGTTCACCAAGTTGTTGTTTTACCAACAGTTAGAGGAAATGAAATGGCTCAGGTTGATCAGTATACTGCTGCAATACAACTATTTACTGAGGCAATTAGCTTAGACCCAACAGATTTTAGGTGAGATTTCATTCTCGTAATGTATTTAACCTTTGGGTTTTTATGATTTAGCTATTTTTTTTTCATTTTTAAGATTATCCTTTTCAAATACTTTTTTAAAAGTTTATCTTAATAGAAATAAAGTGTAATCTCTTACTTGTGTAAATTTATCTTCAAAATATACTATAGTTAAGTGAAAATATTTGTTTTTCCCCACAGATTTTTTGGAAATCGCTCATATTGCTTTGATAGAATAGAACAGTATGAAAAGTAAGCCCATTTATTGTATCTCTGTTGTTAATTTAATCATTAAAACTATATATATATATATATATATATAATTTAGAGCTTGTTTTAAAATTTTCCTCTTTTCATCAGGGCTTTAAGAGATGCTGATAGAGCAATAAAATTAGATAAAGATTGGCCCAAAGGATATTTTAGAAAAGGAAGGGCATTAGCTGGTTTAAAAGTAAGTACATTTTTTGTTTAAAAATCCATCATTATTTTTCAGAGCTTGGCTTTTTAAAAAATATCCATTGCTTCTTTAAAGTTAAATAAAAACAGTTTAATCCTTAAACTTCCAATGTTAAAATTATTTTTTATGATATTCTAATAATTTTACAGTATTATGCCTGTTTATTACTATTATACGTTAAACTGCAGAGAAGAAATAGATTTTATATGTGTAAACCATTTCCGTATAATAGTGGAAAAATATTACAAGAATATGACAATTATTCTAAAATATATTCAACCATTCTTTCTGACCTTATCACAAGATAGTGCCTATGCACTCTAGTTAATAACAGTTAAAGTATGGATGTGCAGTTAGAAAGCAAATCGTTAAACTTAAAAATATTCAATTAATATTTTAAGATATAATAGGAAGCACAAGAAATGAAACTTAGTTTCAGTCTGAATAAAATTTTATCATTTAATTTTAGATGTTTGGTGATGCAGAAAAAGCCTTTATGCAGGTTTTAAAATTAGATAAAAACTGTGATGATGCCGTAGCAGAACTTTTACGAGTAAGGACCCATCAGTTAATGGTAGGTATTCAGTATAGCTTCTTTTAAGCCAGATATTTAGCTATAATTCATACAACAGTGTAAATAATGCCTAACAAAATTGACCTGTTGCAGGATATGGGTTTTTCTAGGTCTCAATCTGAAGCAGCTATTAAAAAGCATGGCTCTGTACAAACAGCTTTAGATTCTCTTCTTACTGGTGTGGGTTAGTATACACTTAGTTTTATTTCACTTTACAGTCTAAGAAGTTGGCATTTCAAGAAAAATGTGGTAATTGTTAATAACGTGGAGTATTTTTCTATCTTGAGCATGGCATTAGGCTATTTAGAGTAAAATGGTGTGTTGCTAGCTAGCCATAGATTAGACATATATATATATATATATATATATATATATATATATATATATATATATATATATATATATATATATATATATATATTCATATAATAATATTATGATGTACTAAATGTCATTGTAATAAAAATTTTGTAACACTTTTTGGTTAGTTTTTGTGCAAATAAATTTAAAATGGAGATCCACTTGAATTGTTGTAGGTGATACTACTGTAAATGATTTGTATATATCTGATGATGAGGATGAGGGATTTAGTGTGCATCGACCAGCACCAATACCTCCACCTACATCACATCCTACTGATGTAAAAATGGAGTAGGTTTTTTTCTTCTTATTGTGGTTCACCTTTACTCAGTAAATAAAGACATCTGCACCAATACCTACATTATTTCATAAGTGCAGTAGCATGAGTATTGTTAAATTAAAAACTTATTTTAAAAGAATATTGTGCCTAGGAATTTTAAGAAATAAGAAATAAATTGAATAACTGTCATATAACTGTTTTACAGCCAAGCATTCATATGTGTTGGAATTTTTTCAAAATTTCAGTCCTACAAATCCAGAGGGTTTAACTGCACTATGGGTTGGTAATGTTTTACCATCTGTTACAGAAAAACGACTTAATCAGTTATTTTCAAAGTAAGTTTCAGCAACTTAATATTATAGTCCTCAGTGTATAACCATTGTTCCAAGGTCTATTTATAGAACTTTTAGAACTGTTTTGAAACTCCTTTTCTCATAGTATAGATATTTTTCTGCTATAGTTAAATAGTTTTAAACCTTTCTATATTGATGCATTTACATAACTCTAAAAATCTATTATCTCTTCCCCCCCCCCCCTCCCCCTAGTTATTAAAACCAACATATTTTTTAAATGTTTAGTTTTTAAAGAAGAAGAAAAGGAATGTCATATATATCTCACCATTTGATTGTGTTTGAATAAACATATCTTTTATAAAAAATATTTTCTTCTCCTCCTTAGATTTGGGCAGGTCACTAGTGTTAGACCTCTCCCAGAAAAATATTGTGCTTTTATAAATTTTAAAACAAAAGAGGCTGCAGGAAGAGCTATGCATCAACTACAGGTATGAAATAGCTCAAATTAATACAGTAATTAAAATTCTATAAGCATTCACCTCATTTATCATGTGAACGGGACGGAGTGGTCTAGCGGTAGAGAGCTGGACTGCTAGCCCATAAGTCTCAAGTTTGAATCTGGGTTCAAGTCAATAGACCGTCCCTGAGTCCACCCAACTCTGATGGGTACCTAACTCACGTTAGGGAGAGTAAAGGTGGCTGGGCATAGTGTTGACCACACTATCTCTTCATATGCCGAGGTCACAGAAACAAGTGAACTCTACTTCACTTGCCCCATAGACCGTCAGGTTTGAAAGGGAAACTTTACTTAAAAAATTTGTCTGGTTTGCAGCACAGTATTTGTTGTAAAACTAAATAGCTAGAAAAGTTTTAAAAAACAATGGTCATTCTTTTTGGGATGTACAGGTCTATAAAGCCAATGTAGGACAATGTAGTTAAACAGTTTTTAGGCAGTAATGTAACCAATTTTACCCAGAGATCAATTTAAAAAATCAGAGATGCCGATTGTGCTAATTCATTTTTAACTGTTTTGTATTTGTGCTCTAGCTATCTTTGGTTAGCTTTATAAGGTTTAACTAGTTAATGAGTCTAAGTAGAGATCAACTGATCTAAAGGTTAGATGCATATCCTATTGTGTAACAGGATAAAGAATTGCTACAAGAAAGGGCCTAAAACTTAGAAATAGCTAATTATTAAATTATTTTATCATTAGTTATGTTATAAAGTTTCTACTGCATTTGTAAAACTTATTTCCAGGGAACTGAGGTTGATGGACAAAAGTTGCTTATAAAGTTTCCAGATAATCCTTTGACCAATACGACTGGAAACTTGACTATACGTAAAAATATAACCAATACTGGTGCAGCTAAACAAGGGTAAGTTATCATAATGGCGTTGTTGTTTTCAAGAATACTATCAGCCTATTAATGTACTGAAAGAGATACATTTGCATGATGACAGTGTCAAATGCTTATCATTTTTATTTTAAAGTTTTAAAATATTTATGAAAGCAAAAGAAGAAAAAATATTTAGAAAATGAAGAAAAAAATAATTTTTAAATAAAGCAATGTTGACAGTACTGTCATTTTACTTTTGGGAAACTTATTACAGATTTTGTTGTTAAAAGGAAGAATGTTTTGAACAATTGTTGTTACTAACAACAGTAATTTCACTTGTTAAACATCTTGTTAACATTTGTCATTCATTTTGAAGTATTTTTGCAAATGCCCTTTGATTTAAAAAAAATTGCATGAAAGTTTTAACAAGAAAAAAAATGGACATTTACTATTTAGATCTAAGGAGCTGAAATCCTTTGCTTTAGCCGTATCTTTTTCTGATATGCTCTATAATTTCTAACTAAAATCTTACAAAGAACTTTAGGTAAAATGTTTTTACTGGACAGTGTTGTTTTTTTTTTTTTTTTTTTTTTTTGCATGACTAATATAATGACCTAGTGCCGTAACTATTTTACATATTATTACACAAACCAAATAGAAATATTTAAATTTATTTTAATACCCTTTCAGAATAAATTTTTTTTTTCTCTTATTTACTAAGGCGCACCAACAGGAAAATGGTTTCCTAGTGACCGCACAGTTACTGGCGGTCAGGTAAAATATATTTTTTTAACATCTCCTTGGTGTTGTCCTTGATCATTGTGTTCATTATGAACAGGCACATTTTTTAACGAACAGGCACATTAAGAATATTCTAGTCAGTAGACAACTAGTTGCAGACTCGTAAAGATAAGGCTGCTTATCAATTTTATATGAGATTTATTAGTTATGTTAAAATTTCATAAGTTTGGTCTTTATAATTAGCTTCTGTTTATTTAAATAAATTTGTTTTATAGATTATTTATAAATCTTCAAACTGAGATTAAAACTGTATAGTAATGCTCTAGCTAGGGGTTTTAAAAGATGTAAGTGCCTGTTTCTTTAGCTGTCAGTTGTATGTGGTGGAAGACGTAGTTTATGCTAAAAGTCATTGTTGCGCATTACCCAATTTATTCTATTGCTTTTCTCATAAATCATTGCAGTTAATAATAAATGAAAAATCTCTTGATTAATGGACTTAAAATAAGAATTTTTTAACTAAACTAATTCTAACTTGTGTAGTAGTTTTTTTAAGTAGTGTGTTTTTAATATCATTTTCTTTACAATAGAAGTGAAGTAGAAAATTTTATTAATATAGTATAACTATTCTACAAATATTTTACACTATTTTAGCATAGTGTTTATTTATAAATGTTTATTTTGTATGCTACTTGCAGAAAAAACTCAAGTAAAGTTAATCAATGTGATATTCAGTTAACAAGGCACTCTAGATATAAAATAGGTGCAGCAAAGCGCAAAGATCTTTATTTGAAGTTTTTCTACACCGCATGTATTTATTTACTGGGGTAGTCATACTTCTAGATAAAACTATCTTAATTTTTAAGTCCCACTTTAAAGTAATTAAAGCTTAGGTTATGCTTCAGTCAAATTAAAGTAAGTTCTGCACAATTTAAGTAGCATGTAATTATTTAATTGACAAATTTATTCATTTATTTGCTGTGGTGAAAGGATTTAAAAGTGATCTGCTAATCTTCACACTTTTGTTAACGTCTTTTTATGTTTTTAGGTAAAGGATTTAATACTCTGTCTTAAATTGAATCGATGAGCTAAGTAGCCAAATGGTTATGATTAGAGGCTCTTTTAGATACCTGGTTTACAATGATAAAATATTTTAAAATTGTGAATAATCTAGTAATTTTTTACTATAAACAATCTTTAACAAAAACTCCTACAATATAAGGGTTAAGTGAGGTTAATTTGATATCAGGCAGACTGTTGAATTAACTGGAATGTTAATCTTTTCATGCAGTTGAGGTTTGCAGTATCTATACAAAGCTTTGACAAACTAAGCTAGTTTTTAAACATTAAACACTATTGCCTAAATTAAACTTCATTAATACCCTTTTTTATTAGCTAGTGTAATTTATATGTAATTTATTTGTGATATATTTCATTACTAAATTGTTTATTTTTGTTTTAACAATGCATGTTTATAGCCTGTATAATGTGACATAAAATGTTTTATATAAACTTTATTTAAAAAGTTAATTTGTGTATGTGTTAGAAATATTTTCTTTCATTAAGGCTTTCTCATTTTACTGAAGCCCTAATTATCTTATTTTTCAATTGGTATGAATAAGATGGATAGATTTTGTGAAATACTGTCTGCTCATCATTTTCTTTAAAAGATCTCTGTTTTTCATGCTTAAATAATTATCCCTCTTAAAGATTTTATTAATGATTGATTAAAGTGAATTTAAGCTATAAATAGTGTCAGGTTACAGTTTATTTTTGTTCTTATTTTAATTTCTTTTCTTTTCAAATTTAGCCCAGCGTAAGTCTGTACATATGTATACTCCTATCAACAACTTGTTATATTTGTTGTTTGTTTAGGTGTTATTTTATTGATATATCTAAACTGAAGAAGACATTATGTAATGTGTTAGCTATCAGTAGTCTTATGCAATTTGAGATACAGTCCTGGTGAATCAACATATACCTTATGGATCTATGATCAGGGTTGTTTGTCAAAGTTTTAAACCTTGGCATCTGAATGTTGTGCAAGGACTTAATGCAACATTTTATTTATCTATTTTACCTGTTGCTGTGTTCTTTTTTCTTGTTTGATTTCTTTGTATCATTAAGTATATGTGTTTGAACATTTATTTCAAGTTCATTAAATACTTTTTAAATTACAAAATTTTAGTTATATCAAAAATGAATACATACATTTGAATATAATAGCTAAAACTATGAGAAACATAACCAACACAATAATATAGATTTAAAGAAATTGTGTTGGATTACTAGCTAATCACTTTTTTGTATTAAAATAAACTTAGTTCCTTTATAAGTTAATTTGGATCTTTTCCTCAAAAGATAAATGGCACAAAAACTAAAAACAGCTAGATCTAATTAAAAAAACGACATCAATGTAAAAATTATGACTGTTTCTGTGGGGGTGAAACTAAGTTTCTTTATTATATTTTCCTTGGGTAATGTAGATGTGTAGCAAACCAATATATAGTAACACTCTTACTAATCTGCGGCCACTTAAAAAGGTTATCTTTCAAAAGCGAAGTTCCAACAGCTCAAAACTATTTGAAATAAAAGTATAAATAAAGCCTGTTACCTTGATTCTAAAAATCAATGTAGCTTCTGGTTTATGTGGGGGGGAGAACATTTGTATCTTTAAAAAAAAACACATTTAAAACTGTTTTTAAATTGTCGTCAATCCTTTGCTTTTATTTTTTACTTTTATTTGATAATAGGGTAAGAAATACACCAAAACAGAGTGGCCCAGTAAATGGGGATGAATGCTATTTCTGGAGGACAACAGGCTGTACATTTGGAAGTGATTGTAAATGGCAACATTATCCTAAAAGTAAAGGCATTGACAGAAAACCGTGGCAAAAATAGCATCAAACAATGTTTTAAAATTTAAATTCTCTTTAGTAAATTATATATAAATTTAAAAAATTTTGACGACAGATAATGCTTTTAAGATGACACTTGGGGTGTCCCTATTTATATATACTTACAAAGTTGTTTGTATAATTCTACACAAAACTGTTTTGTTGGTTATGAGAACAAATTATATGAAGAACTTCAGAACTGTACTCTGCAGTCAAGCTTTGTGATTAATTCTGTTTATAAATTCAAATTATAGCTCAATTTTTTTAAACAGATAATGTTATGATTTTGTTACAGATTTTATAAAATGGTTTTGTTATTTTTTTATTAAAGTAGAGGGAAGCTGCTAGATTAAGATCTGAATGCAAAGCTCAAACTTTTTTATACTTATAATATAAAAAATATTGAATCCATCAAAACACCGCCTTATGGAACTGCCTTGTCAGTTCACAACAGTATTGAACAGAAATTTCTTTTACAAGCAGGCCTTGGTGCCTGATATTACACTAACAAGACTTATTCACAAATCTGGTGATGAAGAGATTTCTGATATTTAGAAATAATTTGAATGTGCCATTTATTTTCATTAAAAATGTTAACTTTCTACTTGTTTTGTTTTGTCTATTAAATAAATTCACTAAACACATAATGGAGAATGATGTAGTTGTCTCTATGAGAACTAAGTGTATCAGTGAAATCTATTTAGACGCAGCCATTGTTTTCATACACTTTATTATGAAATTAACCAGTTTTATATTTTATCAAGATTTACAAGGCATTGTGTTTGTATAAACTTTATCAATTTCTTCACCTAAATGATGAGGAAAAGGTATTTTAAATATTTAATGCACCATGAAGCATAGTGCTGGTAGGAAATAAATTACTTGAAGATGAGGTAATTGGCTTATGAAAATGTTTTTTTATGCTTGCAATCTATTTATTACTCTTGTTCTGAAAACATTTATAGATATGATCAATATTCCAGCTAAACTCTCAATTTTAAAAATACTTGAACAAAAATTTTCTATTTTTTAAACTTTTTTTTTTTTTTTTTTTTATAAAATAAAACATTCATTAATTATTAGTAAAAATGCAAAGACTAATTACTGAATAGAACTAGTTGGGCAAAAGCCTTTCAAAGGATGAAAAAAAATTGTTTCCTTTAAAATCATTATCCAGATTAACAAATATTTTAACAACCTGTCTTTTTTTGTGTGGAAAATATTTGCACACTAATCTTGACAACAAAAATCTAAAACAATATGAGAAGACATAATTTTCCATTATTTATGTTAAAGTGCCTTGACTGTGGTTTGTGGTCCTTCCCATAGTTCATGGTTTATCATTCTCATCTCATTTTCCCAAATCATGAAGGGTAAGGTGAGGGACATCTTTATTAATGTTTATTACATTTTAAGACAAAAAATCTATTCAATCTGCTTTCTTAAGAAATTTATTTTAAAAAATTGTAAATATAAAATATACATACATGTATAACTGTTGCAATATTTTTTTTGCATGAAATGAATAAGGCAAACATTAGTGTTGATAGTGGAAGATCAAAATTTGCACATCAGGTTTATGACTTTCAGCAGGTATTAAATTGTGTCCCTTTACATCATTTTTATTTTAAATTTAACTAGTGCAGAAATGTTAATTTATTTTTGCCATGTTTTGCATAAGTCTATACTTTGAAGATTTTATTCATCAAGCTTCTGTTTAATGTTTTTTTTTTGCTTGTAATTTTTAGACTGGTATATAATAGAATCAGCTTCTAACAGAAATAATACTGAAAAATAATTGCCTTCTAGAGCTTAGTGAAGGTGTTATCTTTTCAGATAAATTTATACTCATGTATTGAAAGATAAGAATACTGCTTTTTATTATGTAATTGCTGAAATCTTAATTTTTGTCTTCCACATCCACTTAGTTTATAAGATCTGTAATAAGAATCTCTTATTTTAGAGCCATGTTACTAGTAGTACATGAGAATCCTAGTTAAAAATTTCTTGTTAGAATTTATATCATGTTTACAGACTTATTGAATTTTAAGTGAAAAAGAATTATCATTAAATATAAACCCAATGAGTTTAAATTTAAAATAAAGAATATTTTTATTAGTTCATAATCATTGTGTAAGTCTTTAAAAAAGTATGAAATTTCTTTTTAAGTTTGCTTTTTTTTGTTGTTCATGTGTTTGAAATTATTTAAGTTTTAACTTAAGAACTGCTGGCACTCCAAAATTTAAACTATATTTATTGTTGCCATACAAACATCACAAGTAATGATTCGACTTCATGCTAGTTTTTTCTTTAAATAAAGATTATGTGCAACTTGGTAGATTCTTGTCATAAATCAAGGTGTTGGAAGTGAGTAAAATTACTCAATTGTTTAGCTCTTGCTTTATTTTTTTCTTGTACCATAAAATTCTTGATGATAATACACTATGTTTTAACACTACACACTGAGTTCTTGTTTTTCACTGATCTTTTTCAACAGCACAACAGATAACAGTAATATAAAACTTCTTTATTTTTCTTGAAAAAATAATCTTTGACAAACAAACAATTAAAAAACTAGTTCATTAAATTTGTCAACAATGAAATTGAGGGGCTTTACCTAGTTGAAGTTCTATTTAAAAACAGCCACTTAAAATTTTTATACTGTTACGTTATAAAAATCATTGTTTACAAATAAATTACATTTGTATATAAAAGCTAATGGTTGCTGTTAATTTAAAAAATATAACTTTTACACCATGATTCAGATTCACATGACTGATGCTAAAAACAGTACATGCAATAAAACATCTCTTTATTTGACTTGTTTGCTTTACATAAAAGAAAACATCACAGCAACAATAAAATTACATTTGGGTTTACCTGTTCAATAGTTTTTAAAAATACCATTATGTGATAGAAATCCAACAGGTAAGAAAACAATCTGAAGTTTTTTTTTACAAAGCAAAAAAACTGCCAGTTGCATTGTACTTAGGTTTTAAAGATCTCTAAGCATGCATGTTTTTTAATAATCTGCAATATCGATGTTCTGTACAAAAATAGCTGAGGTGTATTTTGCAAAATACAAACGTTATGTTTAACAATTACTTTTATATTAAATACCCGGATGAGGACGTAATTTTGTATTTCTCCTGAAGAGAAAATGTTTAAGCTGGGATTTTCTTTGTGATTAATGAAGTAGATTTTCTGACATCTATTTAAATACAAATGTCAGTTAAAATTTTGTTTATTCTGTTATCCTTAACTCTACCCTCATCACCACTGTGCAGTTTTGTTCATGCCAGTGATTTAAAAAAGTGAAGCAACCTTTGTTATAATGTAAGCTTGAAATGTTTTTACCATTGAAAAATCTGATAATTAAACAATGACTTTAAATGTCGCTAATTAGTTTTAAAGGTTTTTGTGTAGTCTGAAAATATTTTTCTTTGATGGTCTTAATAATGTGTACTTAAATTTTTTTACATCAAATTATTTCTCATGACAACAAGATGTTAATATTTTTTTTACATTTGTTATATTAAAAAAAACAGGCAAAACACGAAATCTAAAATCAAGTATTTAAGAAAAAATTCACTTTCAAACAATTTAATTACATTAGTGTATTAAAAAAACTTCACGGCAATTAATATTGATTCTTCCAACATTGGTTAAGTAAAGGAATAAAAATAATTTTTAACATTAATACTCAAAATTATCTATACATGTTTTAAGTTGTTAAAATGCTTAATTTATAAATAATCTCTGCTAAACTATTTTGATTTACTGACAAAATTCCCAGTAAAAATGTGCTCGAGAACAGATGAAAGACTTAGTGACACTCCAGGTTGAAAGTAAAGTTAAAACTGAGCTAGGTAAAAACTTCAAGTGGTGGGCAATACCTGCATTGTGGGACACTAAAACATTTGGAGCAGTATAAAAATGTTAAAACTATTTTTAAAATCTCAGATATTATCAACATTACACATGATTAAGGACAATACTCTTTAAAATATTGAGAGAAAAACCAACCTAATAATAGATTCCATATCACAAAATACTGAAAATTTTATATTTTTAAAACGAGAATAAAATTCAACATGGTATGTGATTAAAAAAACTTTTTTCCTATAAATTGTCATTGCTGTGCTGGTCTGGTGGTGAATGGTGTGACACGAAACATGTAGCATCTATTGCATACCCTTACAGCTCTTTCTTCACCAAAATGAGGCAAAGGCACAGAACTTGATGAGCAGCGACTACAAAAAATCTAGGGAAAAAAAAACATTCTTTAAAAACAGACTACATTTTAACACTTTGTAAGTATAGCACAATAGACTACTACTGACATAAGATACACCAGGACTTGAAATTGTGCTAGTAATTTCAAGCTAAATAGCTTACCTTTCCACAATTACGACAATGGTGGCGCCTGCGAACAAATGTGAAAGGCACTTGACACGACATACATTCATTACACTGCTCATCTGGGATCCAAACTGGAGGTTCTGCAGAGGAAAGTTTTGATAAATAGTGTTATATCTGAACACAATACATATTTCATGAAAATAGAGTTATATAAATATTTTTTTTTTAAAAGATATTTTTATTTTACTATGGTTTTAATTTTCAGAATACAAAATAAAACCTACTTTGTCTTTGGTTTGAAGAGCTCCTTGCTCTTCTAGCTGTATGTGAGGCACTAGACATAGCTCTGTAAGCTGCCCCTAAGGGGGTGGTGTCTTTACTTTTCTCACCATCTGAGTGGTCCATAGGGACTGAGCAATTCATGTCAAAAACAGCTCGTAAAATGTTTCTCAAATCACCAGCAAAATTTGTTTGAAGTTGATCTGCCACACCTATGTTAAAAAAATGTTTACTAAATTTATGTTTACAATAACACTGAAACGTAACTGGAATCATGTTTCACAGATATTAATGTATATATATATATATATATATATATATATATATATATATATATATATATATATATATATATATATATATATATATATACATATATATAATATTTAGAGAGAGAGTGAGAGAGATATGTCACTACAACTTTTTAAAGTATTAGTATACAAATTTATATTTTTTTGTGTCAGTTATAAACTGCGGCTGTTAATTTCTAACCAGGATCCTAATGTACATACCAGATATACAAACAAAGAGCCTGTGTATCATGTCGCTGCTGCTTCTGAAGCGAGCTCTAACCTGCTGACGAGTGGCGTTTTCTGCAGCTTGAATGGCTAGAGCTATTTCTTCCTGGTCTCCGCAATCAGAAGTGTACGAGCTGGTTTCACTGCTGTTGCAACTAAACACACATGTAACAATACACTAACATGTTAATTAAAGTCAAACATTGACCTTATGTTTAGGCAAGAGTACTTTTAAAGTACAGAGTAGCAATACCATTGAACAATCTTTTATATAGCCCTCCAGATGATCTCTGTACTATACAATATACTTTCACATAGGCAAACTGACTACTACATCTTTAATCATTTAAGAAGTTTGATAGAAGTTTAGTAGTTAGAAAATGTGGATTCTAACTTATTATAATCATATTTTAAACAAGTCTTAAAATTTTAAAATGGAAGTGTTAACTTACTATTCAGCATCTAATAAATGAGAGTCCATAAGAGCTTTAGCATGCCTGGGTAATGCGGAACTGTGAGATGAGCTTGTCCCTGATTCCCCTCGTCTCTGTCTTTTATTTTCAGTTTTTGAGGACTTTGAAGACCCCCTGACCCCAGGTTTTTTATGGCGGACATTTTTTGTGGAGTCATGACGAATAACCTGTGATGGCCTTGGAGAATCAGTTGTGTGGGAATGGTTGAAGGAATTGCTGTGAGGTGGAATCTGTGTGAGGTGGGCTGTGTTGTCCTGAGAATCACACTGATTTCTGGATGAAAGAGAAGTGGAATTGATGCCAGACACTGCACTGTTACCTGGTGGTAATAAGTTATATTCTGTTCTGTTAACAGCTTCACTGTTACTTGGGTTCAGTGATGCTGCTATCAAGTTTGTGAAGGCGAGATTGTTCGTAGTGTGCATTTGTTGCTCTGCAATGGGAGCAGCATGGGATCCTGCTTCCATTTCTGAACCAACATCAGACACTGGTGGAGATTTGATGTTGTTGTTAACCTTGTCTACTTCAACATCTGTCTGTGCAGTGGTGTTGGCTGGGTGATCTCCAGAAGGAAGGAGTGAGTGCAGATCAGCACTAGCTGTGGGTAGAGCAAAGCCATCCCGCTGGGCAGCGGTCACTGAGTTACATGGAGGCACAGAGTTATCACAGACATTGTCTTCTACAGTATGTTTAGCTTGACAGGCATCAGATGATGTGTCCACATGAATTGCACAGGCAGCAGTGATGTGATCTAAATCTTCAGATAAATTACATGACTTTACATTACATGATGAATTATGTACCAGCACTGTAGAATCAACATGGCTAGAATCATCTTGAATTTCCACAGGGGAGACAGTTTCTACTTTAATACTGTTCATTGCACAACTAGATGGTGGAGACAAGGTGTTAGCGTGAAGAATCTCTGTACAGCCGTTGTTAATGGGCAATGAATGTTGATGACCAAGTGGAGTAGCTTCTGATGACTGGCTGACAGAATTCAACAAAGCTGTGGCCTCTTCTAATGGGGTGACCATTATGTCTTCACTGTAACTTGCTTTTTCAGGCTCAACACCAGCTGTAAGGGAAGGAATTAAAGTAGGGCCTACTATCATCGTATGTATTTTAAAAAACATTTTAAAATTTTATCAAAGAAATAAAAAAAAAAACCATCAAGGTTACATAAAAATGGTTTCACCCAAAAAATAGAGTGTTGTTTTAATACAAACTACTTCAGGATTAAATTAATATGCAATTAATGACACTAAAATAGCAACATTCTTTTCAGAATTGTATAAATTAGACAGGAACTTATAGGTTAAAAGAAATATTTTAATGAAAGTTTAGTAATGGACCACTCCCACTGACCATAATGTAGTTTCAACAAAGAATTATTTGAAATTATACATTAAAAAAAATTATTAATGTAGCAGTTTGGAAACTTATGAAATACAATGATATTCTCTAAAAATGTATTTCAATTATCCAACAACTTTACCATTATGGCAACTCTAGAGAGTTAGACAAGGATGTGGACTCACCTCTGACATTTTAGTGGATGTTGGTTGGGTTGTGAAGAAAATAAAAATAGCTTTCATGCTAAAAACATATGACTTTTGTGGTAGGTTATTTACCTTTGGTGGAAGAAAGGCACTTCTCATTGGCGATGGAAGGTAATAATTCTTGAGACTTTGCATTCAAATCAATTTCATGTGTTGTGAAAGATTCTGTTAAATGCACTTTGTCATGACTGCAATGGTTTTCAACAGACTGCTCATGCAGGTCCATTAGAGTTGGACTGCTGTCATCTGCTGTGGCTCCTAAAAGCTGGTTGGAGTCACTGGAGGAGATGGTGAACATGCTGCCAGAGTTGCTCACCACCTCGCTGTGGCGCCCAGAGTCATTACTGTCACATTTACTCCTGGCAAAGTTGGCCCTGTTGGATGCAGCACTTTCTCCAACACAGCCATTTTGCGTTGGCAGCGCCATCTCCCCGTTTGGCATTTGCTCGGATAAGAAAGGAGAATCTGGGATAAAGGCATTCACAGGACCAATCTGAGTAACATCTGGGTTGATGTTGTGGCTGTCAAAATTTGCTTCAAAATAGAGCTGATTAGTGAAGCGCTGTAGCTGTAGATCTTCAGACTGATCAGACTCGCTACTCTTCACCACCTCCACTTCTATGCTGCCCTCTGTGTCCCCTTCGCTGAGAAGAGGGGAAGAGGAGGAGGTGGACGAGTGGCTGCTCTGGGCATCAGGTTCTGGTTTTTCATTGGTTTGAGTCTGTTTTGCAATTCTGGCAGCTTCGTAATTTAAAGCCAATGCCTCTAATCTCTCTGCAATTTCCAGAGCAGTCAGTTCACTCTCAACACTACCATCATCCCCTTCTGAATCTTCCCTTTTCTCCTTGACTTGATTTTTTCTCTCCTCTCTTATTTTTCTACGCTCCTCTCGCAAATTTTGTTTCTTCTTCTGCTCCAAACTGATAAGAAAAGATGGCTCCTCTTGACTGCATAGGGCTCGCTCTAAAGTGTTCAGCTCCTCCACAGACAAGATGCCAAGCAGTTCTCTGTTGGAATGCAACACAGTAATGATCATCTATTTTAAACTGAGATAACTTATTACATGTGGCAACAACAAATCTTTTAAGTATAATAAAGAAATTTTGATAGTTTTAAAAATAAAATCTACATCAACCAACATTACATGCACTGTATGTACCTTATTTTCAGCAACAAAGTTTGAAAAGGTCTAAACATTTCAGAGATATTCCAAGGATCGTTGTCCGGATTTAATGGGCCATCATTAAAAATCAGAACTCCGCTGAAACAATTCATTTGAATGTTTTTATACAGATAACTATTTCCCTAAGTGCACGATTCATAATACTGTGTAGCTGTTTTTTGTTAACTTATGTTCCCCTTCTCATATAATTAATCCCACTCATCCGCTCAGAATGTGATTAATCTTATAAGTTTCACTGCGTAGATACAATGTTGTAAATTTTGTATAACAATGTGTTCAAGTACTTAAAACACTGACAACTAAGATTATCGATGTGGACAAACAACTTAGTATATATCATAATGTAAAAATATATTGTTGAAAATTAAATGTTATTGCAAATCACATGTTGTTGTTTGAAAGCGATATATTAAAATAACTTACCAAACAATAGCTAATCGAGGAATGGTGAACATCAGCGCTGGGTCATACTCATCAATCATGTCTCTTGTTAATAATCCTATTTTTAATGCCCTTTATGAAGAAATAGTTACAGTACACAATTGTTCAATTTTTAAAAAATATCTTTTAATTTAAAGTAGAATTTTCAGGTACTCCATATTTAGTTACAACAAAATGGAGTTTTTTAATCTATTAGAGTTTATGTTTCTTGACCTAACTTATGAAGGATGGTGTGGTCAGCACTATGCCCAGCCACCTTCACTGTCCCTAACTTAAGACATCCTGCTGAGTCATAACTGGACAGAGATCCTAACTGTGATAGCAGTGAACCATGCTACCACCCAACCATACCACCCCACACATAAGTAAAGTGAAGATATTTTAAATTTTAAAAAGACGTGACTAACACAAAGATGTTCAATCAAAACTAAATTTGATAAAATTCAGATAAATTTAAATAGGGTTATAGTATTTTACAGTTTACTGTTTAAAATATCCATCACAACTGAAGTTACCTCTGCACTGTCTCAGAGAAGAGAACAGTTATTTCTTGAATCATATCATATTCATGCGCTGTCTTGACGGGAACCATAGCACTCACATAACTAGAAACATTTATTTTTATGAGAATTTATTGAAATATCAAATGAAAACTGTAATAACAGTCCTGCAATGCAAACAGAAACACCATAAATAAGTCAGAAATATTTACAACCTCACTACTTACAATAAGTATAACTTGTAAAGTGACACTATTTAATCAAACTACTTACCTTAGTTCAAATTCGGCAAATAGTTTGTCAAATATGATCAATGATTCTTTTATCTGAAATAAGAATTAGTTTAAAACATGGTAATAAATTGTAAGATTCCATATTACGCATCTAATGGCTGATTTATAAACAAATTATCTTAGATTTATCATTTTTATTGTTTTAAATAACCAAATCATGACTAATGTGGAATTTTAGGAATGGTTTTTGAAACATCAAATCTGTTGTAAAACTACAAAAAGCTTGAAAGACAGACATTAAGCTGACAAAGATGTTAACTTACCTCCTCTGTATAAATCTGAATGTTACAGAGACACTGATCTCGCAGTATGGTACGTAAACTGTCCAAATTTTTTGTCAGAGCTCTAGCTAATGGCCGCATGCAAGCACTTTCTACTTCTCTATTCATGATGCTTGAGCCTGCTGCTAAACACTTAGGAAGAGAAACAATTTCGTTGCTATAAACTTAAGAAGAAAATTATTATTATGGATTGTAAGTAATCATGTAATGTAACAAAAGTGAAATTTTTTTTGTATACAAAGTCTGCTCTCATTATCTTAAAATTACATTTAATAAGTATCACCGCACTTACTTCTGCACCAAACCATAGCTGCCCAGCAAGGTTTTCCTGAATGACATCATCAGGAAACTTGACTCTGAAGTCCCGAGATGCTCGTTGATATTTAACAGTTTCATCCATCATCTGAGAGATGACATTGAGAACTCTGGCCTGACAGGCCCTGAGCTGGTTCACTAGAGCTGTACATCTCTCTGGATCTTTTCTTCCTTCAAAGCTGTCAAGCTCAGCTGCTACAAGGTTGAGCTCCTCATCAGCAAAGTAGAACTGTGCAAGGAGGGATGGATCTGATCTCTAAAAAAAATATATTAACTTTATTCAGATTAAATATGTAAGATGAAGGCATGCATTGAATATCTTAAGGATCAATTAATGATATATTACTTGTATTAATTATTTTTGTTGTTATTAAAGACTGGTTAGAATTTTTATACCAGTGTCTGATAATAGAATCTTCTTTAAAAGTAGGGGTGTTAGGTTAGGTTACTGGTACTGGACCTGGTAGTTAACTAAATACACACATTGTTGGCTTATGTCAATGCTAATCCTGTCCCTAACCCTAGTCCTACCATATCCTAACCCTAATTTCTAACCTTAAAATTAGTCGAGATTACAATATTATATTACTAACAACCCAACACACCTATTTTATGGAGGAGTCTATTAATAGTTTTATTTATGAATGATTATTGGACATCAGTATCTAAAATAATCTGTTTTGTTTAATTATAGTTAAGTTAGACATTGGATTTGACTGTCTACTACTAGATCTAGATTCTAGACTCTTCTAGCCTAAACAATATTTTCAATTCTAATGATAATCCTGAACATCCCTTTTCAAATCAATATCCCTACGTGAGATATTTTCATGTTTACACAAGTGATAAAACAAACAAATGTTGAAGCATAGCCTAAAAATAAATTATACATATTTATTTACCTTAGGCCTGTAGAGCCATTTTCTAAGAGAATTCATATTCAATACAACTTCAAATTAAGTCATTTGATTAAATTTGCAGAGACAATGCTATTTTAACTTTGTAAGAAGAGAAAAAACAACTCGTTCAAGGCAACTTTTCTTCCTGAAATCCAACCCTTACCGTAAGTGACGAAACTACGTCACTAATGTTATACTTCCGCCCGGTGTAATCTAAATTTGACCACTTTCAATTCTTTCTATAAATTTTTACACTTTAATATTCTCTTTAAGTTCTTGTTAAGGTGATGAAAAAATATTGATGGGCAGCGGCGTACGCAGGGGTGATAGGGAAGACGTAAGAATGAAAAACGAAATTTGTCTCACAGTTTTTTACTGTTATTGCTGACGTTGCTGTTACTTACACATGTGTCATTTCGCAGGGTGGGGGTCCACAACATGGGGCATATAGTTTAACTAGTAAGTTCTATCGTATTTTTGTGCATATATATATATATATATATATATATATATATATATATATATATATATATATATATATATATATATATATAGTTAGTTAGGCAGTATAAAGCATCACTCAGAATATGCCCATATGACATGTTTTGCAAACGGTGGATTGACACTAATATCTAATAAGTTTTTATAACTATTAAAACAGCGTTTTTGATACTTCTTAGTTGCACAGATTCTTAGATTGAAATTGTATTGCTATTTCTAGGGTTGAAATATCCGCAAATTCTTTGTGACAAATGTATTTAAACATATTGTCATTATTGTGTTGCGATGGTGGGGGCAATATCACCACCGACCTTCTCCACAAAAAGAACATTTTATAAGATCAGAATTTATATACATTCTAAGTCGCAAATGAATAAAGAATTTAAAAATGAATAAAGATAAAGTAATACAATTACATTAATAACGTTTCGTTCAAATAAAAATAATTATTTTGTATATAAACGGCATTGGTCGATCCTTCCAATAATTTATTTTAAAGACCTACGCTTTTTAAAAACATCCTGGATAAAAAGCTGGCTTATATTAAATATTTTATTTTCTAAACGTCATGAGTTTATTGTTAATGTAAATATTTGTTCTTTTTTTTTGTTTTATTGTTATTTTAATACGTGGCTTTTTACCAAATCTTAAATCCGCCACCGAATTGGTGATTAAATTGTTGAAAATTTCTCCACTTCTCCCACTCTTTTTTTCTTCCCACATATTAATTATTATCATCTCCCTAAATTTTTTGCCTTTTTCAAGTTTTCGCGATGGATATTGTATTGTTTCAAGCACTGATTATTAGATTTTAAATAGATTCAACTAGATCTAGATTCTGGAAATGCGTATAGATCTAGCCCATTAAAAAAGTAGAATAAAAGAATAACCAGACCTAGACCTAACTACAAAAACATAAACTTAATAATAATAAACAAAATAGAGTTGTCATGTGATTACAGTCACATGATCAAACAAATGGCCACCTGGTTTTACTCGCATAATATACTAGCTTAGCAGAATCTAAACATGGCAGATATTTCAGACAATAATATTGTTATAGTCACAGAAAATGCTTTAGACAAACATTACGAATATTTAAAAGACCCGTCATCTTATAAAGTCTACAAACAACGATGGTTTCTTCTTTTTATTATAGCAGTAATTAATTTTACAAATGCTTTGGTAAGTCCAGTTCTGAGACTGTTCACAGTCACAGAGTGACGAGTCAGAGTACTTGAGATTTTGAGATTGAAAGTACTGTTTGAGTTTGGTTACTTTTGTAACGATCGATGCGTTTAATTTGGCCAAAGCTAGTGTTTGTAATGTGCGTAAGAGGTAACGGTGAAAATGACAATAGCTTTAATAAATTAATATGAGTAGGCCTATTATTGTACTATTAAATAATTAGGCATTAGGGCCTAATAATATTAATTATTAATATATTATTTAATATAAATATTAATAATTATTTTGAACACTTGAACTTTAAGTGTTCAAGTTCAAGTCTTGAAGTATCTTCAGTTTGACAGTTTTAGTTTTAGTATTTCATTTGTACTGTACTCTGTACTGTTTACCATGTTCCTACTGACCTACTGGATCTAGGCCAGTGAGTAACGGAGTTATGCTTGGCATCAACAAATCGGCTGGCCTGTTGCATTGAGTTAAATATAAACTCAAAACAAAATAAACAGTGTAATTTAAATATGCCAGGCCGCATAGCCTCATAAATTATATTTATTTTTTTATCAATAAAAATCACATTTTAGTCAAATATTGAAATGTTATTGGAATAGTCTTACTAGATTTCTACAAGATTCTAGGGCCTAGTTAGTTTTAATTATTGAATTGTATATAAAAGCAAAGTCAGCTGTACCTATTTGTGTACACTTTTATATCCTCAGATATGGATTATGTTTTCACCAGTTACAGACCAAACATCTGCCTATTATAAAATATCCTTTATGGATGTTAATTGGTTATCACTTGTTTATCTTGTGGTGTCCATACCTTGTGGATTTTTTGCATCATGGATGCTGGACACATTAGGACTCCGTGCTAGTGTAAGTTTACAAATTACAGTTTACATCAATGCTGAATCAAATAAATAAATAAGTTGGCATTAAAAAAACAATGGATAAAATGTTTATCTAAATATTTATATTTTAAAGAGCAGTTTTTGAGAGTGGACAGGCTTAAAATGTATTTATCTGTAGTTCTATAATTGTCGTTAATTTTGTAGATCAATTTTAAAGACACAACTTATAAATATTTTGATTCATCTTATCAGCAATTTATCAATGATTACAAATGGAAGCTATCAGCTTTTTTTTTAAAATTTATTATTTTATTTGAGCATGTCACACTTTTATTTTTGAGTTTAAATAAATGAACGATGTTGTCGAGTTGTTGACAGGTTTGTTAAAACATTATGATTTTTTTTTGTCATATCCAACAGATAATACTTGCAGCTTGGCTTAACCTAATAGGATCAGCACTAAGAAATCTTACAGTTGATGACCTAGACTTCATTCACCTCCCACAAGGCAGTCGTTTTCCTGTCCTAATAAGTGGCCAGGTAGTTGCAGCTTGTGGCCAGACCTTTATCATGTTCACACCTGCTAAGGTGGCAGCTTTGTGGTTTGGAGATAATCAAAGAGCCATAGCCACCACCATTGCAACACTTTGTAAGGCATTGACTTAGCATATTTAGATAATAAGAGCCGACCCGCAGCGTATCATACGCCGCTATTTAGTTGTTTTATTTTCTACTTTTCAGTAATTCATAATTTGTAAATTCGACAGTACCAATGCTGCCACTGAAAATATTTGCTTTAAAACACTAACCCCCCCCCCCCCCCTTTCCCCCTAACCCCAACCCTACACCCCCCCCCCCCCTCCCGTGAAAGCAGCCTCCTCTTAGTTATTTCTTAGTTACCTCCTGTAAGTTTAAAATTGAACTAAATTATCTGCCCCTAATAGAAACCCAGCTGTACGGCTCTACGATTTGTAAACATTTAGCTTTGTAAAAATTTAGAGTGAACACCGCTCACCAATGTTGGGGTGGGGTGGGGGGTGGTAGTGATAGCGATAGAGAGAAAGAGAGGGGACTGCAAGGAGGCGCTTGCTGCTTGTTTTCTAACTGATCCCAGAAGAGAATTATATATATAGATACTGCCTGGACATAGAATGTCGAGGTCAGGAACCCCAAACAACTACTTGTAGTGTTATTTTTATTAGAAATATCTAGAAATCACATTTTTAAATGAATATTTTTATCTTTCTATACTTTAGCCAATCCTCTGGGAATTCTAGCAGCCAATATTTTATCACCAGCAATTGTCAAAAAGCCACAAGACATTTCCATTATGGTAAGTCATTATGTGCAATTTAATGTAGCTTACGTATCCTCTAAAAAATTATCTAAGTTATTCACATAATGTGATGGTTTTTAATAATGAAAATTTGTGTTTCTTTTAAATTAATTACAATCATAGTTATTAAACTGTTCTTAAAACCATCAGCATAGTGCTGATGCTGGAATTTCTCCTGGCCTAAGCCCACACAATACTAGTTAAATGTATGTTTACATACAATCATCATTCTTTTGAAGTAAAAAAGAAACAATTAGCTTTAATTTGCAGCTTTGGGTATGCAGTGGAATAAGTCTGTTTGGGGCACTACTATCTTCCTTCTGTGTTCGGAGCTCTGTTCCACCAACACCACCCAGTCCTAGTGCTGCTTCTCAGTCAGAACCATTTTTCATTGGCATTAAGAAGGTATGTGTCATCTATATAACAAATTTAAAAAAATGTAAATACTGTAGCCTCCTAAATTTGATTTCACGACAAATGTAAAAGTATATACATGCTAATTAGCAATCTAGTTTTGTTTAAATTTTTCAGCTTCGAAATAACCGTGCCTTTTGGTTGCTATCTCTGTCAATGGGAGGAGGACTTGCTCTGTTTACAGCTAACACAACATTCTTGGAGCAGATTTTATGTCCACAAAATTATGATAATGTGAGTAAAGTTACCCTTTCTGACCTGTTGGCAGGCAGTAGCAAGTAGAATTGACCTGTTTTCGTTACCTAGATTTAGAAATTATAGTCACTTCTATACCCAGTTGCCTTTACTTTCTCTAATGTAAGTTAGTTCTCCATCAGAGTTGGGTGGACTTTGGCATCTCCTGCTGAACCCAGTCAGTGAACAAAACAACATTTGGCTTAGCTGTTGTGTGCCTTGCCACCTAACCTGTCTATGCCTTAACAATGTGCATGTTGTTTTTTTCTTTTTTAGTTTTATTTTGTTTTTTAGAATTTTGCTGGACTGTGTGGGGCTTTGATGATAGGTCTTGGCGCTGTTGGTGCTTTTATTGCTGGGTTTATTGCTGACAAGACAAAGAAATTCGCTGAAGTTACCAAAATTGGTTTCTGCCTTAGCACACTGTGTGGAATTGCATTTGCTCAGGTTAGAAATTTAAAGTTCTGATGCAACCAAATTACTTATTGTGGATTTATTTTTAAAATATACCAAAAATAAATCAGAAATAAATACAGAAACATAAATTTATATAATTATAATACAGTGATTTATTTTTTTAATAAAGGCATCTGGTATGAAAATTAACGTATCTAATACTACAGCCTTGATAACGATATTATTAATGTCAGTTATCTACCCTTGAGGGCATACATATGAATGGGAGCATCTGCTGCCAGCTTGGTTCTCATGAGTGTGATCACCGTCATGCTGTGCTAGATGCCAAATTAATACCGTGATTATCTATTTCCATTAGCCATGTAAAAAATGATTATTTGCCTCACACATACTTCTAGTAAGAATAATATAAAAGCCAGTAATGTATCAGTACACTACCACGATTGAACAGTTGATGACATGGTCTAGGTCACAATGGTGACTCCCGATATACACAACAAATTATTCTTTATGTAATATTAATTCTGAATATAAATACAGTTGTTTGTGGTTGGCTAGAAGCTAATGTATTTTGAAGAACATTTAATGCCTTTATTAATAAAGATTGTTTTTTTAGTTGGCAAGACTACGTGGACAGGCTATTGCAACTGCTACAAGTATAACAATGTTTGGCTTTTTTGGATTTGCTGTGTACCCAACATCTCTGGAGCTAGCAGTGGAGTTGACTTATCCAGTTGCTGAAGCTACTAGTACTGGAATCATTTTCCTTTCAGGGTATTGTAACTGACTTGATCCTCAACTAATTTTTGTATACATTTAACAACTCGATTTTTAAAAAGTATAGTACCTTTAGAACAGTTCCTTTTTTAAACATCTTCAGTAGGTCATTTCATCTGTCTGCACATTGACATACTGTCTTAGACTTAGGTCATTCACTCATCAGCAGTGTTTCTTCCAGACTCTTTTCTCCGGGGGGGGGGGGGGGGGGGGCACTTGAAATTTTCGGGGGGCGGTAGACTTTCTTCGGGGGGGGGGGGCGGACACTGTTAAAAGTATATATTTTCTATATAAATTATATAAATTTCATTTCGTTCGGGGGCGGTAACAAATTTTCGGCGGGGGGGGGGGGGGGGGCTTTGAAGAGATGCCTGGAAGAAACTCTGCTCATCAGAGCTGGATTGACTTAGGAAGATCATAATTTTTCATATGGAATTGAGCAAGGGAACTGAACTCAAGACTTACTGGTTGACAATTTTGTGCTATATCACATTGATTGTTATCAATATTTATCACACAACTCAAAGTCATTTCATTTACAATGCACGCTTCCAAACTCTCATGTTAAGGCTTCTATGGATATTTTTGAAGAGATGTTTTATGTTTCCTAAACAGGCAAATTCAAGGCATCATTTTGATGCTGGTAGCTCAGTACACAGCTCAGCCTTTGACTGCCCATGCCAGTACTCTGCCTATGGCTTGCCCTAATAGTGATGAATTTGAACCACAGGACTGGACCAGTGAGGACCTTTTTTATATTTTAAGTTAAACTAGAACAGATTATCCCATTTGAGTTCTAGGGTTTTTTGTGATACAAATTATAAGTTGTATAGAACCTTGCTTTTGTAGGTTGAGGTGGTATCTTTGTTAAAATTTTATTGATATTAGCTAGCCCCAACGTCCTAAATGTGTACTTTAAAATGTATGTATTAAATCTTTTTCAGTACCCAATTTAATTTGCAATGGATTGGGTGTGGTGTATTGCATGGTGATAGTCCTTTTATTCCAAGCTGACTACAGGCGCATGCGGGCTGAAGATAAAATAAAAGCATCCTGTACACTACAAGGAAAAATGGAAAGTCCGGTGAATCAATAACTACTTTAAAATCTAGTCATTCATTTTTAAAAGGTGTTTAATTTCTTGTTTTTCAACAATATTTTGTGTATTTGATGGAACATTATGTTTACACAATATTAGTTTATTTACAAAACTGAATGACAAGCCACAACATTGAGTTATAATTTATGCCAGTATTAAATATAAGTTTTGAATTTAGCTTATTCTTATACTAATTAATTTATTGTAAATAGTGTTTAAAGTTTTATGTAATATTATCTTCCTATATAGAAATATACAATTTTAAAATGTTGTAAATTAAATTATTCAGAAAGTGCCATATTTATGTCTGCTTTGGTATGTCATAATGTTTTTTTTTCCAAATACAGTCCATTTTCATTAAATTTATGACAAATAGTATTTGATTTTTTAAATGAGGTATTTATAACTTTGAAATGATCTCCACAATTATCATTGTATTTTAATCTCCCTACCTCCCCTGGTTAACTGCCTCCAAGTCAATTTTCTTTTCCTGATCAACTTTCTTCTGATCAACGTTCTTCTGGTCAATCTTCTCCATCTGGTCAATCTTCTCCTCCTAGTCAACCTTCTCCTCCTGGTCAATTTTCTCCTCCTAGCCAACCTTTGATAGCGTAATTTCTTCTAAATGGTGAACAAACTTAATATAAAACTGTTCAAAAACTAACTTACAGAGATCATGGCAGATGAATTAGGAACCTTATAGACAGTAGAAAATGTAAATGCTTGACTGTTTGTGTGAAGGAATTGAAGAATTTACAGTTCTTTTTATGCTGACTTGTTAATGTTATGTTTTATACTTATAAGTTTAATTGTTGTATATTTATAAATATTATAAAAATTGTGATCTTTAATTTTCTTTCTGATTCTGAAAAATCATTTTGAATAATTTAAATTTATGAACTTTTCAAGACTGATTGTAAATTAAGTAAGGCCCATATCCGTTTTAAAATATATTTATCTCCTTTTGTGCTTGTCATTTGTGTACATTATTGTACTCTTGTGTTTTCAGAAACCAGCAATAATTTCTGATGATCAAATAAACACAAAACAAGACATTGGTGTTGAGTAGCAAGTCTAATAGCTCTCACAACTAAGGTCTTACTGTAGTACATCAGAGAGTTGAGTTTTATGGCCTCATTTCTTTTTCATACACTACCCTTGTTATACATTCCTGGTAATCACAGTTTGACCCTCCATTACTGTTCCTTCCTCACCTTTGGCTCTAACAAATAACTCAGGTGTAAAGACTCATTTTATCCTTAAGGGTCATGTATATGAATTTTAGTGAACTTGTTATCCTTTTGTAATGAAAGCCTTAATAGATTTATGACATCTCCAAGCAAGTTTTCTGCATCAAGAGGAAAGTCATGTTTTGCACTTTAATCCTATTACAATTATATTGTAATTTGCACTCACATACAGACCAGTCTAGGATAAAATGAATTCAATATTTAAAATATTTGTTTTTAATATTAACTTTTGTAAATGTTAACAATTTAATGTTGTCTTTAAAAGTTGTAAATATTGTTATCTAGTTTTAAAAAATTACTGCTATGTTAGGCCTGGGTTGTGCATATATGTAAACAATGTACTATGGCCGCTGCCACTGGTTTATTTTTCTTTTATTGGGAATGAGTCAGATTATTTATCAGTCTTTACAAGTCTTGATTATATTTTTAGTTTTTTATATTGACATTAAATGCTCTTTGGTGAGTGTAGTAATATTAATTGCTGCAAATGATATGCAGCTGACTGTAAAAATTCAAAAAGTAAATAAGCAGCAGAGCATTTGAAAGCATTCATAATTTATATATATACACACACATATATCATACATACAGTTAGGAACACTTCAGTCATCTTACTGTGTGAGATTTATGTTATAATTAAGTGCCTCAATTAGTATTTATTTGAGAAGTTGTTATAGGAAATTGTATTTTACACATGTTTTAACAAATAAACTTTTACTTTGTTCATAAAATGTATGCTATATACTTATTAGATAATACCTTATAAAAATGTATCATTCTATGTAATGTTTAATGTAAAAATATTTTCTTGCAATGTGCACTAATTTTTTTAGTCCTACATTATTAAGCTGAACATCTTTTAATAACTTTATAATTGTGTTAATTGCTGAATGGATTGATTGCATTCAGAAATCAAGTCTATTTTTACATGTAAACCTTTTTGTCCAATAAAATATGTCTTTTTCTATTTATAAATGTTTTGTTATATTCATGTATTGATACAAGTACACATGTTGTTGTGTGTAATGTTTTGTAATGTAAATTTCTCCTCAGAAACAAGTACTCTGTAAGTATACACACTGCAACTTACGATACCAGCCTGTAGAGATTTAATGTCTAATGGTAATCCTTTTTAAGTTTTATCAAAACAACAGTCACCTATGATGTAAAATTATCCATTATAAAATGATAAGTGTTTTGATAAGTATTAAGTAAATTGTGTTTGCTAAAATACAACCAATGCAACAAGGGTGCAACACCATTTTGAAAGGTTTCTTTATTGTGTATGCTTTTTAAAGCAAACAATACAAGAATGGATATTATTTAACTTAACCCCAAAAACAAAATAAAGAATCTGGTACAACAGATGAATAACCTAGAACTGAAAAATAAAATCATGAGATTATGGGCATGGAAGATAAAGAAAAACTTAGTTGGAAAAAAAAAAAAAAAACCTCCCCAGATAAGTTTTAATAACTGTTTCTAGAATTTAAAAATAAATCTGATATATTTGTCAAAATTTATTTCAAGCAACACTTTTTTTCTTCAGATTTGCAGCAACTAAAATTGTATATACAACAGTGGTATAGAAAGACAATATTGGCTTTCTTTTACATCTTCAAATATGTGTATGTACAAAGTATATAGATATATTTATATACACGCACAACAAACTTCTTACAATTCAAATGCCATATTTTCTTGAGCATTTGATGGATTTTTTAAAATTGATCAAAATTAACAAGAAAAACTTTGTTGTAACACTCAGCGGTTACAAGTATGTAATACAAGCAAACCACTTGAGTTTGTTAAAATCTTTTAGTCACTGAGAACACACTCATGAGCTTATACACAGTAACTACAGATTAGTAAAAAGCCTTGAGTTAAGCTAAAAAGTATGGGTATTTAACCAGTTTTTAATTTTAAAATCTGCCCAATTAATTTTGATAGTATATTGTCCTAACAGAAATTTGTATTGAGTTTAGTGCGAGCCTCTTACATGGTACAGGTACATGAAAATGAATACCTTACATTCTAAAATGCTGAATTGTTAATACAATACTTGTTTCAACAAGATCTTTTCTCTGTACTGATACTTAATTATTTTAGGAATTTTTACCAATGCCTTATCTATCTTATGCAAATAATTTTACTTTGTTGAAGAAAAAAAAATTAAAAAATACACAGAAGTAACAGTGTTACTAAATAAAAATCAATAATTATCAATGTACCTTCAATTTTTATTTACATTAATGTAGTACTGCAGACACAAACATTTCTGGGAAAATAGGAAAAGTTCTCATACCATGACATCAAAGTGAATCAATATACAGTGACTGTTATTCTTGGTATACATTTATTTGATAATAAATAAGTCAATAAAATTTTAAACACAGTGAAGACGGCTAAAAGCTGTTCATTATTAAAAAGATAAAACAACTTAAGCAGCATTTTCGACTTACCAGGTAAATAAAAAATATTTTTCAATGCTTAATAAATTGCAATCCCATAGACATAAAGTGCAAGAATATGTTATGTCCATTATGTTTGATACATTTCAATACTTTTTTTACAAACAAAAAAATATATAAAATAATGTAATAGTATTAGTTATAAATGAAAATAAAATTCCAACTTAAATTAATTTTGCACTAATTATCAAAACAAAATATACTGGTATTGAGTTTGAATACACTTTTAATCACAGACAACTATGCACACATCTAAAGGCGTAGATTGTGGGCCAATTGTAATAATTAGATGGGTTTTCTAATTTTACGAAAATATAACAGGTTTTAACAGTTGGCTTTTTAAAATTACTACAATAAAGGTTTAAACCTTAACAGACACATTTAAGTTTTTTTTTAAAAACTAAAAATTAGAATCATAAAGATTTTTCTGTTTAAGTTTAATATGTTATATTAATCTTCATATCCATTAAATGAAGATCTGTTTTGCTTAGAAAATAGTTCTTGAAAAATGAACCAAACTGTGCCTTAAAATATTTAACTAATAATAGTAAATTAAACATGCTTTTAGGATGTACAGCTTTTTAAAATAAAAAAAATCCTTAAGAAATTGGGATAACAAACATTTCTATGAGTTATTCACTGATCAACATATTTAGTTGTATTATACACACAGTGTACATAAGAATGTTACATTTTGGTGGATTAATTTATTTACATATTTAACAGGAAAACATTGGCACTCTGGAAGCTTTCTTTACTTGAGTATCACTAGTTTAGCAATTATGATTAGTGGCGACTCATCTAACTACACTGACTTCAATTTTCAAATATTGTGAACGAAGTAGAGATAGAATATTGAAACAAAATATAACATACTTAGTGTATCATCTTTAGAAATGTGAGAAAATGAAATACTTAATTTGGAATAATTATTTTTACAGAAACTTAAAACACCTATAAATAAAGCTTAAATTATTATAAGAATTAAAAAAACACAACGTTTACTGAATTTAAAAAAGAACTTTCTTTTGAAAAAAATGAAACTTTTGGGTCTGGATTGCAGCTTGGTGAGACCATTGCTCTATAGCATTTATGCAATAATTTGTAATACTTCCTACACTTTAAAAATGCAGATTTAGTTCGGAGAAGTGGTTTATTTAAAGTGTATGTTAAGAAAAATTGTAAACTGTTACAAATTTACATAGAAATATATCCTAAAAACACAATTAAAACCATACTTTTTTTAAATAAATGAGTTATGAAAATGCCAGATAAGTTTCAACAAATTTCAATTGGTAGAAAATATGTGTAGGAATTTTTAAAAAACAAACATCTCTGAGCAATTTGAAAAGTATATGTATATTTTAGTTAGCTTTACAGTTATTTTTTAAAAAATGTAGTAAACACTTCTAAATTTACCATGTAGATTTGACAAACTGTATGTGAGTTGTAAAGAGTGTGAAATATTTTTGGGAATGGCAGCTAGAAATTTTAGGCAAAATTAAAAATAAAGATTTTACTTTTTTTTATTGAAAGACATGCTAAAAAAATGAATGAATTAAGTGAACAAAGCTTTGGGGGGGGGGGGGGGGGGGGGGGACCTAAACAGGCTACAGAATGTCTTTTGATGTTGAAACCTGATTAAAAAGCATTGAAGGATTGAATGGGCTCGCACACAATTCTTATGTGAATTAATACAATGGAGTAACCAAAAGCTAATGTGTAAGCCCAGGAGCAGATAACTAAAGATAATAAACATTTAGAAAATACAAATAATATGGTTAAGGGAAGACAACTATTAAGTAGAAAACTGTAAAGAGATAAAATAAATAAAAACTAGAGACACTAGGAAAAAAGTGAGAGGAAGACTAAAGTAAGCTTTTTCTTTTTAAAAAAAAAAATCCTGCATTCACTGAGAAACCAAATATTACCATAATAAATTATAACCCTTGATCAATAAACTACCACAGGGATTACCAGGTGGTGACTCAAATTAAATATATTTAATGGTCATTTAATGAGTTAATTAATTCATTGTATCTCTAACAATAATCAACAATTTTCAATCAAGGTGCAGATCCAGCTTCAAAGTGTTAATGAATGTATTTATTTTATGAATACTATCTAAATCCAGAAATAAAAAGTATACCATCAGTTTTTATTAATTACTTTATAAGCCTTCTGTAAAAGTAATAAAAATTTTAAAAGATAAATTTAGAAGTAATGAGAGCTGAATAAAATTAAAACAATTTTCACTAAAAGTAAACAAGGGAGTGAAACATTTTGTTCGAAAGTAAAATCAATCGTTCCAATTACAACATTGTCAGGGGCAAACATCAAAGATAGTCATTTTGTTTATACATAATTAAAGATTGATATGCTTTAGTAAGACCTTCCTCAGTATAAAGAATAAAAATCCATTAATGTTTTCATTGAAATCCCAATACAACTTGCAAAAAAATCAAGCAAAATAGTACTTATTTTAGTAGTAATAGTATACTTTTGGATAATACATCTATACCCTTATTTTATGACACTAATTTTTTTAAAATTAGCTAATTCAAATAAATTAATTGTTTAGATATGGACAAGAAATCATGTTTAAAGAAAACTGTTATTATAGTGAGTATCTATCATATTCTATAAGTATAAAATTTAAATCCATAACTTTCTTTAACATTAATACTTTGTTTCTTAGGCAAATTTCTACTTGAAGCTATAAAATAATTGTTCACTGATTATAATTTAAATTACACTTGTCACAGGATAACAGCCAATGGTTTTAAGTACCTTGCACTGCTTAATTTAATATATAAAGAAACCAAAATTTTTTCAGCAATTACTTTCTTTGTTAACAAAAATTAACTTCCATTGTAAAAATGACTTTTAAATTTTTTAAGCTACGATAAATTAAATTGTGTTTGCTCCCACTGCTTTTATTTTCACCTGTATTGTCAATAGTTAAGAAATTTAAATAAAACAAGTTGGCTGAATAGATTTCATAATTATGGATTCCTACAGCAATCATCTTTTGTGGGTTCTTAAAGTTTTTAGCTTTTTTGTCAAAATAGTTTTAGGGTAAAAGTAGAATTTTTTTAGAATGTATTAGCAGCTGTAATTGAATCAGAGATGTTAGATATTCAATAATGTATACTGTAAATACGACAGAAAAATAAACTAAAAAGTGTGTTTTTTTAAACAGCTTAAAGCAAAACTTTACCATGCAATTTAAGAATCTTTAGGTATTGTAGAAGATCTCATGTGCAGCAATTATTTTCAGGATATGAATGCACTATGTAAACATTTGATAAATAATAATGTAAGATGGATAATGAAAAGCTTTAAAAACCCATAAAATTAAACTGAAAAAGCAAAAACATATTTATTCTCTTTTAGTAGTTTCACAAAGAATATTACATTTTTAAACAAACAAAATGTATTATGAAAGTTAATTGTTGTTTATCAGAACACAGCCTTTAATATAAATATATATTACATTTAAAAATGTGAACAGATATATGAGATTTCTAATGGGTGGACTATGTAGATTAAGACATCCACTATTAAAACAACTCTTCAGATTTTAAATATATATTAAGTGTTAACTAGTTATACAGAATTCAATTTCTAAGTTTATCTTACTGTGTTTAAAAAAACTGGCCACTGAAATAAGAAAAACATTTCTTTTAACAAAAACTCAAGCAATGTAAATTATTGTTTGGACACAACTGAGGCAATAAAACAAGTAACTAAAACCTCAAGGAAATATAAACAAGAGAAACCAAATCACAATAAACTTGGGAGTTAAAGATCTTGCTTTTAGTTTTTTCTTTCTTTTTAAAAGAAAGTAAAACAAACCAGATATAGAACTAATTTTGTTGTTATCAATGTTACATAAGTTTCTAGGCAGATATGTTTATAGAAACTTAAGAGGCAAATAAATATTAGCAGTATTATAAACAAGGATTCACAGCACAAAATTACCCAGTTTAAATGCTATTGTAGGAGTAAAATAATTGTGATCATTTAATAAAAATAAAATAATGAGTTGAAACACAGATATAAACTTTACTGCATATAGTGAACCCTGGTAATTTGCTTAGACAAAGTCAATATAGGTAAAAATATTTTTATAAAGCATTATAATAATTAGCACCACATTCAGTCATAAGTAGTTTTCTTACAAATGAATGCAAATTATTCTTGATAAAAATTTCATTTTAGCTTTAAATTTCCCACATGTTTGCCATATTTCTAAGGTAGACTAAGCCTACAGTTAAACAATGTAAAATTTTACCCACTTACCTATCAAGTATGCATATTATAATGTTTCGATGTGTGTATAGACGAAATATAAAATCAATTTAAAATATGGAATATTTACATCATTATTGGTATACTTACAATTTCACATCATCTTTGAAATTCTGAAAATGAAATATCAATGAAAGTGATTTTTGTGGTAAGAGATATACTTTATTATATTTATGTTTAAAATTACAAAACTAAATGTGAATTTTAAGTAGTAAAACAGACGACCTATGGTTGTCCTAGCTAAATCAAGTCTTGTCGTTGAGTTAATGTCCATCCTATTTATAAATCACAACTACGATACCTGTTATGATACCTAATTAAGCAAATCAAAATCTTCAAAAACAAAGTCTCTGTCTGTTTCTGCTGCTAATAACTGAGCAGCCATGGTAGCCTGTTTTATAGCTACCCTATACTGGCCTTTTTTCTTTTTATTATACCTAACTTTAAAGTCCTTTAGAAAAGGGAAAAGGTCTGAGCAATGCATGTGAGACATGGTGTTGGACCCAAACCAAGCAACCTTTGCTAGTTGTGTAATGACTACATCATTGTCTCGTTGTGTCACTGTGATGTTAGATACCCTACCAGGCCACCATGGAAAACCCTGTATTTTCCCCCAAACAATATCACCAACATGAATCTCCCGACCTTCTTCTAACACACAGCCTGTCACATTTTGAGTCTGTATTTTCATCATTAAGGGCTTAATGATTCCTTTGTCTTCCTCTTCTGGAGGTGGGGAGTTTGTCCCGGGGAAAAAGTCATCAGGCATTCTGTCTTCTCCTGAATCGTCACTGAAGTCACTTAAATGGGAGTCTAGTCCACTAGAGTGGGATTGACTTTCCTCAGATGTTTGCACTAGTGGATACTCAGCTACTGGTACAGATTCAGAGCTTAAGCCTGAGGAAAATGTACTGCTACTTTTACTCCTTAGAGGATAGTCTTTTAGCATTCTGTTTGGGGAAGTTGTGAAGTGCCAGTTTGGTGAGGCACTGACAACCCGGGCAGGAGAAGCATTTTTTCTACGGTGAGGAGAACTCCCAATGGGCATAATGCTAGGGGATGTTTTCACAATGTACTTAGGTGAGACACTTGGAGTTGACTGCTTGGGTGAGGATGCCACCCGAGAAAGACCTTGGTTTTGTTTCCAAGTGTACACAAGTCTTGGCCTATGCATGCTTACACTGTCCTGAACGGGCACAGTGTTTTCATGGTTCTCCTCATCTAAGCCAGACATTTTTTTATCCCATTCAGCATTACTTTCTTCAAAACTGTTATCTGCATGTATTTTCATACTCAGATCTTCTATTTTATTTTCTCCGTCAGTTCGTTTAACCAAGTCTTCTTCATCCTCAACAGGTAATTGGATAGAACTTTCATGTTTATGTTTATGCTTTTTCTTGTGCTTTTTCTGAGATTTATAAGGCACAAAATGATCTGTTTTGATTTCTACATTCAGGTCATCTTTAATAATGCTGGATTTAGATTTATCTCTTTCTTTGGCTTTTTTAGCTGCCTTTTTGGCTTTTTTATGTGACTGATTATCTGTGGGGACAGATATATCAAGAATTTTTATTTTTGGTACAGGAAGATGTCCTGTATCAAAAAATATATCCTCATCAGGTAAACGTGGTGGAATTTTTAAAATCGCACCATCACCAATGGTGATTTTAATAGCAGGTGATGGCTTCGGGTGAAAAGAAGCAGTTAATGCTTCTTTCTCTTTTTTAACGTTTTTACTAGTGTTAGATGACTTTTTTCCTTCTGGGTTATCGATAATTTGTAGCCAGTCATTGCCTGCAACATTTGTGCTCGAGTTACAACTCCCTGAGCTTGAAGACCTGTTGTACCTAGTTTTGACACTGAAACTTTTTTTATCAGCAATGTCAGAAAGTTTGTTGCTGCTGTTGCTTCTTGTCACACCTCTCCTAGTAGCAAGGCAAGGTGATGTACAGTTTCTTGTCGCTGCCCTTGAGCTTGTTTCATGGGTGTGTTTAGAACACTTATGCTGAATATCTTCCAAGACAACCAGAGGTGTCTGAAATGTACTCTTTCTCTTTCTCAAACCAATAGTCAATGAAGAGGAAGCCTGTGGATCCACCCCAAGACCCATTTTTAGAGGAGATTTTGAAACTGATGTTAGATTGCAGTTGGCACTCTTTTGTTGAGAGTTACTATGTGTAGTGCTGTGATTTTTTGTATCATGAATGGCTGACTTGCACTTAGAGCACAAAGTTTGCCTCGGCCTTAGCCTTATGTCTCTGACAGTTTTTCGTCTGTTGGAGAAGGTTTGCATTTCAACAGTAGTTATTTCAGATATTGGTCTAGGATTAAAAAGGAATGGGTTGGTATTGTAAGAAAACCGTGAGACAGAGGCAGACTGCTCAACTTTCATGTCTTTGTAATCAGCACCGGTTGGAGGTTTGTTTTCTGATTCATGCTTCACTTCACTATGAGATCTTGAGCAGTTTCTTGAAGTTGTTTGCTTCTCTGGCAGGACTTTATTTGAAAATGGGATCCCATGTGGAAAGAATCTACATGAAGAAGAAAAATAAAACAATTACAATTAGAGGTGTGTGAATATTGAGCATTGTTAAACATTAACATCATAAAAATAATAAAAAGTATTATAATAAAGATGTAAAACACTGCATTTTGAAAAAAAATACCAAACTTAGCACACCGTTTTGACCTGGGTTTTCTTGTCAGTTATGTGAAACTAACAAATAGAATAAACAACAACTTAGTTTACCGTGTTTTTGTAGTGCTATTATTTACAGCTTTGTGTTTCAATTTTGTGGCAAAGCTAAACTAATTACTGTGATTGAAATTCATAACATTAACTAAGCATGAGAACATCTGGGCCAGATACAAAGAAGGTAGGTGTGTGTGGTTAATATTATTCTTTCTAGAAGACAATAGAACATTAAAATTAAATTGACATATTTTGATCAGAATGTAAGATTTGAATGTAATCATAAAGTAGTATATTTGCTGTAGTAAAAATGCATAACAAAATAATGTTCATTACTTCACAGGACCTCCCTGAGTAAACTGACTCAGTTTACTCAGGGAGGTCCTGTGAAGTAAATAGTAATGAACATTATTTTGTTATACATTTAGACTACAGCAAATATACTCCCAGAGGACCTCCCTGAGTAAACTGAGTCTTCTGAGCTCTGATTAGTACCTGATGCGAATTAGGAAAATAATAATAGAAGCTGGATAAAGAACTGATTATCTCCATCATATGCAAAGGTTACAAAAACAGGGGGACTTCATCTTGTCATCTGTTCTAAGAAAGGGTAACTTTTTACTTATTAGTCCTAACACTCGATTAATGCTATCCTTCCTCAAGTCTTATCTATGGTCCTTGTAAAAATGTACTAGCTGAGAATCCCCACTCCTTAAATATGCACATTAAACAAGTCCTTTTGGTGTTTCCTTTGATGGTCCATGTGTTTTCTTGATTGATTGCTTTCTTTCTTGTTGATTGATGTGATGATTGATTGAGTTACCTTCATACTTTTTTAAAGATTATTTACTAATAAGGTTTTTAAGTAAGTGAGATTAATTAATAATAACCTATTGCCTAAGTAATTAATTAGTAATTAGAAGGCCTAAGTTAATTAATTAGGCCTAATGCCTAATCTGAGTAATCTCAGTAATCTGAGGACTGCGAGGACTAACAACCAGCAGGAATTTATACATGTGCCTTGCTTAGGCTAAGGAAAGGAGGCATTAGCTGGGTCAATTTAAGTGAAGTGAGTTGGGTAATAGGGCACGAGTGTAACAGTAAATTAAATCAAAGAAAAAAGTTGTCCAAAAACTAGTTCAAATGTTTTGTTTGTGTGCTAAGCAGAATTTTTTGTGTGGAAAGAACTAGCTGGCATTACATTACTATTTAATATCAAATTTACCCTTGGTCACATTCTAACAAAACGCCGCGATATTCTTTTCCATTATGCATTAAAAAGACTGCAATGATGTTTTCAAAAGAATACTCCACCAGTACTGTAAGGCAAACTCCTTTTGTGAGTATTTCCGTTCCTATGTTTGGGTTCGCCATTTTGTTACATGTTCTTTTAGAGCTAAAGTTTAGAGAAACGCATGCGCAGGCACATAGCTTCCTAGTCCTGTGGTAGGAATTATTCAATGACAAGATCTTATATCAATGCTACAGACTAAATGTATATGGGCCTATACCTTAGTATAGATCTAGATCTAGAACCAGATCTGTATATTTTAAATAGAGCCTTAAAAAGAAAACTGAGAATTCAATCAGGTTTTCACCGTTTTATGTATAATATTGTACAGGCGTTTATAAACGTTGTCCCTTAACTATACTAAAACTATATCAAATATCAATTACATGATTTATGTAGCTGTGAAGATAAAAGAAACGGCATTTTCTGAAACTTTATTGACTTTGTCATCGATAATAATAATAACATGCGATACTTCTCAAAAGCGCAACTTCAGCCATATTTCACCCTCTCCCATCATCTCTTTTACCTCCCCTTGTAAGAAATCATGATTCTACCGTAATGTTTTTTTTTAAACTGTCACTGATGTAATTAGAAAGTACAAAATATATCCTAATTCACATCCCCATCATCCCCCGCTGATCTGCGTCACAATAGTTTGACACCTAGTTGTGGATTACTTCCACCCCCCTCCCCCACCTCCACCCCCTTAGTTCCATCTTGGCAGCTACTGTGAGAATCCACCCCCCCCCCCCTTTTCAGTGTGCTTTGCTCCCACACTGTTTCCAGATGTCCGTGCTGTGAGGAGCGAGTCCAATACCACGTGATCAGCACAGCATGGCAGCAAGCATGTCACAGTCAGCTGTGTCTCCGATGTGCTGTTTTTATTCCCTGAGTTTTATTTATAAACTTCTGTCATCAAGGGAACGGGCATCATTTTATTACAGAAAATGTAGGGTTCCTAAAACATGACAATAGGAGACCACCACAGACCATCATTTCGGCAGTGCTATATATCTATTGATTCGCCGAACACTCTTATACAAATGCCCGATTAACCAGATGTTAAAATTATTATTATTTTTAACAATCCCATTTCCTTAACGTCATACTTTGTCATACAAAATACATTACAACGCAAACCATGTCAAGAAGTTTCACCCCACCCCCCTCCAAAAAATTACATCATCTACCCATCCCTATGAGAAGGGGTTTCTCGTACTTCAACACCTTCCGTTCCACGCTGACTTTTTCTGCTGTTGTGTTCTTCTTCTTTATCTGGACTCCCAACTACTTTAGATCAGTCTCCACATCGTCTTTCCAGGTCTGCATGGTGGTCGTTTCCCTTGGGGTTGTTGAGTTGTACACAACTTTCATCCCTCTCTGATTTTAGCATATTTCATACATGATATACAACATGGTTGGTTCGAATTCTCCACCCATTCTTATCTGTGTCGGTCCATAATTTTAAAATTTTCTCTCCCAGAAATTCAAAATATTTTTCATTAGTTTTTGATAAGCTTCATTACTTTCTCGTATATACGAAGTATAGAGAAAGTCTTGTAATCGTGCAAAAAAAAAAAATCGAGATTTTTGCAAATCTCGACGTTTTGCATCTCACTGATACGGAAAAACATAATTTTGCAATCTTGTCCGTATGTCTGTGTGTCTGTGTGTGTGTCTGTGTGTGTGTGTGTCCGTGTGTAAACACGATAACTTGAGTACCGTTACAGCTAGGTTGATGAAATTTCATATATAAGTATTTTATCAAAATCGTAGATCCGTATCAACTTTTGAGCGATTTCTGACAACCGGAAGTGGTACTTTTTCTACTTTGAATTTTTCAAAAGCCTATAACTTGAGTACTATTTCAGATAGATAAATGAAATTTCACATGTAAGTAAAAGATCTAATTCTCTACCTTCTGTTAAATTTTGAGTAATTTCCGTTGACCGGAAGTAGTAATTTACGCTACTTCCGATTTCTCAAAAAACTAATGTAAATTTTTAAAGTAATAATAATATTGCGCACTATTATGCGCTTTTTTATTTCGCGTTCACTTGGTGTGCAATTAATTTGTCTACGAGATTTTATTCTATTTTTAAAACTTTAAGTATTTAAAATGGATTAAAAATCATGTCTATAGCCCGAGTTCCCATCCCCTGTTATTTTATATAAGAATATTCGAGAAAGTTTAGGGGAGATCACTCCCGGTTTATTTTTATATTGTTTATTTGACTTATTTTTACTTTCTCGTATATACGAAATATAGAGAAAGTCTTGTAATCGTGCAAAAAAAAAAATCGAGATTTTTGCAAATCTCGACGTTTTACATCTCACTGATACGGAAAAACATAATTTTGCAATCTTGTCCGTATGTCTGTGTGTCTATCTCTGTGTGTGTGTGTGTGTGTGTGTGTGTGTGTGTGTGTGTGTGTGTCCGTGTGTAAACACGATAACTTGAGTACCGTTACAGCTAGGTTGATGAAATTTCATATATAAGTATTTTATCAAAATCGTAGATCCGTATCAACTTTTGAGCGATTTCCGATAACCGGAAGTGGTACTTTTTCTACTATGAATTTTTCAAAAGCCTATAACTTGAGTACTATTTCAGATAGATAAATGAAATTTCACATGTAAGTAAAAGATCTAATTCTCTACCTTCTGCCAAATTTTGATTAATTTCCGTTGACCGGAAGTACTTATTTACGCTATTTCCGATTTCTCAAAAAACGCATGTAAATTTATAAAGTACTAATAATATTGCGCACTATTATGCACATCTTTATTTAGCGTTCACTTGGTGTGCATTTCTTTTTTTCTACGAGATTATATTCTATTTTTAAAAATTTGAGTATTTAAAATGGATTAAAAATCATGTCTAGAAGTCTATATCCCGAGTTGCCATCCCCCGTAGTGTTATATTAGAATATTCGAGAAAGTTTAGGGGAGATCACTCCCGGTTTATTTCAATATTTTGTGTTGTGTCTACCAGAGGCGTAGCGACCCTTCCCGGCGCCCGGGGACAAACTTTTCGATTTGCACCCCCCCTCGAGATTTTGATTTGCACCCCCCTCAAACTTTCGATTTGCACCCCCCCTCGAGATTTTGATTTGCACCCCCCCCCCCCTCAAACTTTCAATTTGCACCCCCTCAACCTTTAAATTTATTTTTCCAACCCATTTTGGCGCCCCCCCCCCCCTCGCTACTGGTGTCTACCAAAGAATGTATTGTTCCTTTTAAATATCATAGATAAAGAATATACACACTACCCTTTGCCGTAGTTCACACCTAATTTGGAGATAAACTGTATCCGTTGTGGCGGGTGACACTGATGCACAGAATCGAATATATCCGACCTATTGACACCATTGTAAATCTATATCATAGACTGTTTTTTTTTTTTAATTAAATAACGCCCCATAAGAACTGGGACGGCTATATGGCTTTTTTTGTTTGGCATTTCGCTTTTGATATTGTCTCTCAAAATGGACTAGCGTAACAACCCATTCCGGCAACTTTCAATTTGGTGCTCCCCTATAGGTGTAGTGCCAGACATACGGGAAAATGGCCAAAAACTGGAAAAGGCTCACTCCTTTGCGCCATACTAGATCTATTTGACGAGGAAACGATGCAAGAAATACTAGCAAGAAGTGCTCAAACAACAACAGTTCTTAGTAAATTAATAAGCATCTGGCTTGGTAAAAAGACCTCTATTGGCACAAAACTTAAGACCAAGTGGTCACTGGTCATGACTGACATGATTGTCTCCATGTGTGGATTCGAGGCTTGGACCATGAACGCAGACCTCACAGAAAAAAGGGTGCCTGATCTGAGTTTACAGCGTAGTTTGTAGCAGGTGCAAATTCTTGACCTCGGCATATGAAGGGATGGTGTGGTCAGCTCTATACAAAGCCGTCTTTACTTTCCCCAACGTAAGTTAGGTACCCATCAGAGCTGGGTGGGCTCATAAACGTTCTACAGACTTGAACCAGGATTCGAACTAGAGACTTTTGGATTAACAGTCATCCAATAACTATCCTATAACTCTAGTCAAAATGCTAAGTGGTGCGCTGTAGCAATATATCAATGTACAAAACAGTTAAATCAGTGTGTAATGCCTTGAAGCCGTTTATAAAACTTAACTTTGACTCTGTATAATTCAATATTTCAGCTTAAAGTACGCTGTTTAATTTGTTCTTCTCCCCTTTTGGCGCCCCTGTCGCAGTTCGGTGCCCCCCCCCCCTTTACCACGACGTATCCTACCTTTCTTATCTCCATTTTAAAAAATTATTGATTTTTCATTTCTTTTCTTAAACACGACAACTTTTTCCTCTCTTTGCCAATTACAGTTTATTAATCACCTGTATTGGTTTTAATTAAGTAATGTTAAGCGAATAATAGTTTGATTTCCTACGTGTATCCTAAACATTGAATTTTAAATTATGTATTGATTTTCTTTTATAATTTTTCTAAACGGGCTAATACATTTACAGAAACGTGCATGCTCATACACGCGTAGTCGGGGTTAGAAGTAGGCCAATAATGTACACTTAATATTATGGCTCAATCAAAGCTAATTAGATTCCGGAACTAGATCTACTTAATCATTTTATTAACTCGTCTTGGTTTTTCAAATGAACCAAGCACCACTGTAAACACAGTCAGTGTTTCTTCCAGACTTTTTTCTCCAGGGGGGGGGGGGGAAAGAGGGGGCACTTGACCTTTTGGGGGGGGGGGGGGCGGACACTGTTAAATGTATATACTTTCTATATAAATTCTATTTCGTTCAGATACCTGGAAGAAACTCTGAACATAGTGCTGATTCTAGCCCAACAACTTGGGAACAAGGGTTCTCAGCACATTTTACAAGTATCGACCATGCTATCCCTTCCAGAGGCGTAGCGGGGGGGGGGGGAACATATGTCACCGGGCGCCAACCAATCGAAATCTTAAGAGGGTGTGTGCAAATCGAAAGTTTGTCCCCGGGCGCCGGGAAGGGTCGCTACGCCTATGATCCCTTCATATGCCGAGGTCACTAATTCTGTAAGCCCATCACTAATTCTCTAAGCCCATTAGGCTTACTAGTATTGTAGGCCCTATATAGTTTAGTTAGCCCAGTAGTAGTTAGCCCGCTAGATCTGTAAGCCTAGTAGATCTATATGCTCTGAAAAACCTATCACTTATTCCGTGGCCTAGTTAGTCTATTAGTTTTGTAAGCCCAGCACTGGTTTCGTAAGGGGTGGTCCATAATTGACGTCACACTCGTAGGGGGGAGGGGTGTCCGTAGTTTTGTGAGGGTGTGTGATGAGGGGCAGGGGGGGGGGGGGGGGTTCAGATGGTATGACGTCACTTTTTTGCATTATAAAAAAGCAATGTTAGAAAACGAGTTTTAGCCGTTATTTCGCGTTTTAGAAAAGGGTTTTAATAAATAGTAATAGGAATTGATCAAAATACTCTATGATGACAGAGTTCTGACACGAATTTGGAAAAATATCGATGTTTAAAAGAAAAATTCAACAGCAATTTTGAGGGAGGTTGTAGGCTGATGTGTGACGTCATTTTAGGGGGGGGGGTCTGGCTTTTTGTGACGACGTGTGACAGAGTGGAGGGGGAGGTAAAAATCGTCCAAAAAGCGTGACGTCATTTATGGATGACCCCCTAAGCCCAGTAGTAATATAAGCCAAACACCATATATGTAAGCCCAGTACTAGTAATGAAAGCCAAACACTAATTCTGTAAGCCCAGCTCAGCGCTAGAACTATAATCCCAGACTAAGCTGTAGTGTAAACCCAGTACTAGTTCTGTAAGCTCAGCACTACTTCTGTAACACCATCACTAGTTCTGTAAGCCCAACACCTAGCTGTAATCCCAACACTAAGCTGTAAGCCTTGTACTAGTTCTGTAATCCCTTCACTACCTCTGTAGAATACGCTTATGTAGGTAACTAGTTCTTTAGTCCAGAGTTGGTCCTAAAGATAATAAACAGTCACGGGACAATGGTCGTAGACAGCGACGCCAGTAGGAATCATAAAAGACTATCGAATATACATAAAATTGGCCTTCTATGTCTACTAAAAAAATGTTCATTTTGATTTTAGCCTAATTGGTACCACCGGGATATATATTTCATACAACTTTTAAAAAATAATAATAAATAAAATTAGAATACAATAAAATCGAAACAAGTTTTAAAAAAAAATATTATCTTTATTGGGAGTAGCCCATAACAGGCTGTCTGTCAGATTTAAACTAACAATGAATATCCCAATTACTCATTGTTATTTGAAGTAACCTATATAAACGTATTAAACGCTATGCAAAATCATGACACGTTATCAACACATTACGTAATACAAGGCCAGAGGCGTAGCGACCCTTCCCGGCGCCCGGGGACATACTTTCAATTTGGCGCCCCCCTCGGGAGCAAACTTTCAATTTGCACCCCACCCCTCGAACTTTTCATTTGCACCCCCCCCTCAAACTTTCGATTTGCACCCCCCCCCCCCTCGAACCTTTCATTTGCACCCCCCCTAAAACTTTCGATTTGCACCTCCCCCCTCGAACTTTTCATTTGCACCCCCCCTCAAACTTTCGATTTGCACCCCCCCTCGAACTTTTCTTTTGCACACCCCCCCCCCTCAAACTTTCGATTTGCACCCCCCCTCAAACTTTCAATTTGGCGCCCCCCTAAGGTCGGCGCCCGGGGACATATGTCGCCCCCCCCCGCCCCCCCCCCCCCTCGCTACGCTTCTGTACAAGGCTCATGCTCATAAAGAGGCATACGCATTCCTTTAATTTTATAAACTAAACCCTAAAATTCGGCATTGTACGTATGTTATACAGAATCATTACAACCGCGTTTACTCTTGCGACATGTATATTATACTCGTCTAGAAAGAAAAAAACTTTTACTATCGTCTGCCGCAGTCGCTAGTTCTATCGTCCGCAATGACAAAATCCGAACGCAAATAATAAACTGTCTCGCATATACTTATATAATATAATATAATATATAACAGTATGCCGCAGTGGCGTAGCGAGGGGGTGGTGCGGACCGCACCTGGTGACACCATTTAGGGGGGGGTGACACCAAGTCAAAAATAAGCAAAATATATACAGAAAAATGATAATTTCACTTAAATAAATGATTCATTAGAGTGAATTAAATAGTCTTTTAAAAGCAAAGTGGACAAATCCCGACGCGGGTGGTGGGGGGGGGGGGGGGGGGTGACACCATGACGTAAACCTGCTAATGATAAAGAAAGCATGCAACATCCAGCTGAAATTATTACCGAATATAGATACAAATCGTTAGTATTATCTGAGCACAGTTTAAAGCAATCAGCGTGGGGGGTGACGAGGGGGATGGGGAGAGTTACATCAACTCAACGTTGCAATATATATGCCTGAGGAAAACGGTTTGGTTGAGAATCGTAATAAGCTATATGTTAAATCATGTATTGGGGGGGGGGGGTTAAAGAAATTAAATACATTCAGCAGAAAAAAAAATTAAATAATTATACACATGCGTATACACATACTTACAAGTGTATATGGAATATATATATATATATATATATATATATATATATATATATATATATATATATATATATATATATATATATATATATATATATATTTTTTTTTTTCTAACGGGGTGGGGGGGGGGGACCACACACACCATCAGATGCCGCACCGGGTGACACCCGACCTCGCTACGCCACTGGTATTCCGTAGAGGGAAGGGTGACACTTCCAGCCAATAAGATCTATGTAGGCCTATGTATAAAATTTCGTCTTGCTAATTGAAACAGTTCCAGTGGCGTAGCTAAAGGAGGGAGGGTGGGGCGGCCGCCTCGGGCGTCTACCTTAGTGGGGGGGGGGGAGGGGGAACGGGGTAGGAAAAAAAATGAAAGCTCATTCTGAGCTGCATAACGGAATTATATACAGCTAACGTTTACAAACGGATTTAGCTGTTTTCTACATAGTTATGTGACACACAATAAATTGCTACATAATAGTAGTGACTGTTAAAAAGCGGGGAGCTGATGGCGGGGGCAGTTTCTTCCAGGCATCTCTTGGGTGGGGAGGGGGAGAAACACTGGGCGTGAGTGGGGCGCTTTTCGGCAACTTGAATAACTATTTATAAATAAGGGGGGTGGGAGGCGAAAAATGGATAGTTCGTCCTGGGCGCCAGAATATGTCACTAAGCCTCTGAACAGTCCTCAAGTTATTTGGTATTTTAGTATTTTTAGAAACCACAAATACAGTATTGTACCCCTTTCATATATTGGATGTCTCTCAAAATTATTTGAAAGCGATCCAAGTAGATCTATATCTATAATATAAGGTCGTCAACTTAATAGAATCTATATAAAATTTAGTGTACGTAGGCCTAACTGAAACTGAAACAGTTCGCACGTTATCGTGGGTACACGATAAAGATTTTTAACTTTTGACGAACAAGAGTTTTCGCTCTTTTGTCCTCAACACAGAAGAACATGCTTCAACTTTCTGATTTCTAAACAAATCATTTGTCCGTAAGATATTTTGTCTGAGATCATTTGTCCTGAGATCATTTGTCCTGTCACCAGTAAAATAGTTTAAATATTTTATAGTAGATTCTAGGTCCGGCACCGTCATAGTCATAGTCATTATTGAGTGAATGTGAGAGTGTGTGTAAGTAAGTGTAAGTGTAGAGTGTAGACTGTAGAGTGTAGTGTAGTTAGTAGAGTAGTAGACAGTAGGCAGTATGAGTAGGGAGTAGTGTGTGCACTGTTACTGTTATTAATTTGTTACTACTGTGTTAGTACTACTGTTAGTTAAACTTGTAAAAGTTAAAAGTCAAAGTTTTTTACTACAGACTCAATACAGAGACAAATATTTAGAATCTACTAATTACTAAATTAAATTAGGGCTGGTAGTCCATAATGAATCAATGATGTCACACTCCTAAGGTAAGGGGAAGGGAGGGATCCGTAATTTTGTGATGATGTGTGATAATTAGTGGGAAAGGGTGTGACGTCACAGATGGTGTAACATCACACTTTTGCATTATAAAAAAAGTGAAAATGAGTTTAAGCCTTTATTTCATGTTTTAGAAAACTTTGAGTAAATTGTTTTAGGAATTGATAAAAATACTCAATGTTGACAGAGTTCAGACATGATTTTGGAAAAATGTCGATGTTTTAAGAAAAATTCAACTGCAATTTTGAGGGGGTGGGGTTGTAGGTTAAGGTGTGATGTCATTTTAAGGGGGGGGGGGGGGTCTGGCTTTTTGCGACGGAGGGGGGGGGGGGGGGGGTAAAAATCAGCCAAAAAAAGCGTGATGTCATTTATGGATGACCCCTTATGCCCCTTAATTATATTAAATATTATTTTATGGATTTGCTTGGCCCTTTGTCCAACCAAGAATAAACAAGGCAACAGTTGTTTTATTTGAGTTGTCTCTCCTAGAAGAGTTGCTGTCCCCAACTATCTAGCCTCATCTGCCTGAGGGTTCGAACTTGAGACTTTACCAATTTATGGTTTAGGAACCATGAGCTTCCCTGCAGCTTTTTCATTCATGTAACATGACAAATATTGTAGGTGTATTTTGATTATTTTAAAAATTCCTGTGTGAGGTTTTTTTTTTTTAATAACTTGATTTTAAAAAAAAAATGATTGTGTGGTTTTTGTAGATTCTATTGATTTGCTATAGGTAGGGCATAGAGCCTGTTTTTTTTGTTATTAATAACTTAAGTAACTAAAAGTTTTAAAATTTGTTTTTATTTTTCTCAACACCTCGTTTTTGTGTTAACATACATGGCTGAACTTGGTTATTCTGACATTCAATATTATACATTTATAACAGGGGATTACAGAAAATTTTAGAGAATTATTGGTTTTTAATCTTTTTATTATCTGTTGCAGTGTATAAGAAATTAAAAGAGCAACATTATACATAACTAACATTCATCTTTTATTTATCTACAGGCTTGCTAATGTCAGACTAGCAGTGACATTTATAACTTTGTTTTTATCAGCATTGCAATGGCTACAAATCTTTACATTTTACTAAGAGCAGGCATTCTTAGAAGACTAACTTTATCTGAATGCTCCAAAAAGGTTGAGAGTTTAAGTATTTCACGAGCCCAGGTCAGATTAATTCACACTGCATCTCCCTGCGCTGCAGGACATGCCAAGTGGCAAAATATTAAACATATAAAGGAAGCTAATGACAAAATTAAAGGCCAGAAAAGTAATTTCTTGTCTGGTAGACTTCAGATATTATTTGGTAAGTGTTTCTTAATATTAAAATTTTTTAATTTATTGTTCAATTGTTTGCTTGAAGTTGTGAAAAATATATATTTACTTTTTAGTTCTTCATATTCTGACCTTAGAAACACGAAATATTTTTGTAGTAAAAAATATTATTTTGGTAAACTTTGAGATACTTTTGTGTTTAGATATTTGTGTCCATAAATTTATTATTGTTTATCATAATTTGTAAGCCTTTGGTCTTTTTTTTTTAGCCAAAAATTCAGACAAAGATCCCAAAACGAATACAGAGTTGGCCAATTTAATTAAGTGGGCACGAACAAATAATATTCCAAATGATGTTATTGAAAGAGCCATTGACAGAGAGGTAAATTTTATGATTTCTTTTTGCTTGTAGATTAATAGTAGTGAAAATACTCAAAGAAGTTATTGTTATGGATGGAAGAAAAATTTCATAATTTTTAAAATACTGTTATTTGTGTTTGATGCTCACTCAATCATTTTACCTATTTCGGGCAGATGAGGCTCGTTAGCTGGGGACAGCCACTCTTCTAGGAGAGACAACTCCAAAAATAAACAACTGCTGCCTTGTAGTTTGTTCTTGGTTGGACAAAGGCTATGGAAGCAAATCCAAAAAGAAAAGCAGGCTGAAATCGGAGTCAATGGCCTCAATGGCGCATAACCAGTTGACACGTAATCCTTAATTGTGATGGAAGCATGGTCGAGTCGGCAGAGCTCATGGTTGATAAATTTGAATAAAGTCTCGAGTTCAAACCCTCTGGCAGATAAGGCTCGATCCCTCCCAACACTAAAAATTAAGAACGAAGAAGAAGAAGAAGATTTTACCTATTCACTTTCTACTGGTTTTAATCTTTTATACTGCTCTGGCATTCCACTTTCTTCATGTTATGTATTAATAGTGATTATTTTTTCTGCCATAGTTAAATTTTTCAAATTAATGATTGAACACAGTAGTGGTTTTTGTGTAGATGTAGCTTGTCTGTAGATGTCACATATTACAAGCAGTGAGTTTCTGTATGGCGTGTTTTCTTAACATTATCTAGTTATGTCCCTTGTACTGGTGCAGAACTTGATAAACTTGAATAATAACCTCCAGTGACTTAACCTTTAAAGTTTTGATGACAATATTGCAATGTGTGCTAGGAGGCTAGTAATTTAATTTCATGTGTGCTACTGTTGCTATAAGTTGTGGTTTCTCACTGTCATGATTATTTAATGTTTACTTACATAAAAATGTTTTTTATGCATCTTCAGTTAGCAAAGTTCCCTTTCCAACCTGATGGTTCATGGGGAAAGTGAAGTAGATTTCACTGATTCCTGTGACCTCGGCATATGAAGGGAAATCATCACTATGCCCAGCCACCTTTACTTTCCCTAACCTAGTCAGTAGCCCATCATAGTAGTGTAGATTTAGGGACCTTCCACAGACATGAACCCAGATTTAAACTTGAGAATTTCTGGTCTGTGTCAAACAAGACTGAAGTATTTTTTTTTCCTTTTGTAGAACTAGTGATTGTTTATTATCCCCCTTTCCTATATTTTGTTCATTCATTTCACAGCTAGCCTGTTAATCTAATCTAATCACACCACCAGTGCAGTGACATTTTTCTGTATTTAGTTTTTAGTTATAGAATACTTTTTAATTATTTCAGGTGAAGCTTCGTGATCCCAAAAATATAACTGTCTTTGATGGGCGAGGTCTTTCAAATGCTGGAATAATTGTTGAATGCTTTGCACTTAAACCTTTACATACAAAAAATCTTTTACAAGGAATTATAAAAAAATATGGGTGAGTCCAGTACAGAAATCTTCATTATTAAATTAAATTTGCATAACACTGCTTTGTACTGAAAATTTAACTCAAAACAGCATTTCAGTTTTTAGAATTATGTTTTATTATTTATTGTTTTAAATTAGTTTTTTCTTATGGTTTAATCTATATAGCTTCAACTTGAATGTACCAGCTATGGATTTGTTCGAACACAAAGGTAAAATAAATATGGCGTTGTCAGAGACAGATAAAACAACAGCCCTGACGGACACTAAGTTTCTTGATAAATATGTCGACCTGGCCATTGAGGCAGGAGCAGAGGATGTCAAGCTAGAAGAAGGCAGTTATGGGCATAATTTAGAGGTTGGTTTCTAATATCTATAGAGGTTGCGCTGTATCTGTAGCTAAATTATTGATTAAATAATCTCATTCTTTTTTCTCCCTCTGTCCCATTGTCTAGCATAACCATATGATAAATATGGCCCATCTTTCTTTTCCCTCTGTCATCTGTAGTCCTTTTCTAGTGTTTTTCATATCTTTTTCTTTGCATGCCTTTTTTTCATTTGCCTGGCAATGTTCTTAATTGTAAAGTTTTTAACTAGTCCTGATGACTTTGTGACATATCTGTACTACTGTACTACTGCAGCTTCCATTTTATAATGATTGTTATTAGTTCATCTGACCAATCTATCATAGGATCCTCTCACATATTACATCATTTTATATGCAATCTTTGTATGACATTCTAAGTATCCTAATATTCCCATTATAGCATTTCATTTACAGGGCTTGCATATCTCTCCATATTGTCTTGAACCACTGGTCTGGATGCTTTGTCCAAGAGATTTCATTTCAGCTTTTCACAAAATATGTTGATAATAAACTAACTCGGTGCTATTAATTAATTAACAAGCTCAAAATAATTAACAAGCTCAAAATAAATTGTTTTCTTTCTTTCTTTATTTTTGCTTTAGTAGTCTTTGCATTTTATTTTTTGTTTTTGATAAACTGTTTGTTTTCTTATTTTGTTGTAAAAATTTTCATTGCAGTTAATTTTTACTATTAAAACATTGTTTCTTTATGTTTTTTTAGTAAGGAGAAATACTGTTTCCTTTTATTATAGTAAAATGTTTTGTTTCAATATTTAATTTTTATACAATTTTGCAGTTCTTATGCTCGCCATCTGACCTGGATAAAGTCTACAAAAACCTAGAGCAAGCTGGACTACAATTAACAAGTTCAGAAAGAGTTTATATTCCTAAAATAGAAGTTCCAGTATCCCAAGAGTATTTAAATGAATTGGATAAATTGACCGAAAAGTTAGATACTCACCCTGATGTTGTTGACTACTATTTTAATCTTGTACCTGAAAGTTGATTTTATTCTTATTTATGAATAAAATTGTGTATGTGATTTTATTTGTTTATAGCACAGCTTGTAAATGTTTCATTTTTGTAAGTTCTAAAATTTAATGAAGGTGAGTGGTGGTTGTGGTAGGGGAGGTACATTTTGAAAACTAATAATTTTCCAATTAAGTTCAAACAAAAGACATCACCATTGAAAATACATCTGAGTCTTAGGTTTTACTGTAATTGTACAAGCACACTAGGCATTATATAATTTTGTTAAAAAAAATGTTTAACTTAAAACAAGTCATTTTTATCTTTAAGACTGATAACCCACAGGCTATTTTTATCTCATGTAACAACAGACTAGAAAATGTAAACTTTACACCATGTCTATTTACAACATCTTTAATTTGAGCTATACTTATTAAAACAGAGTTATTCTGAAAAAGCTTACTAGCACTCAGGTTATCTGGGGAAAAAACACCTGTTAAAAATCATTTATCAGACCTGTCATTAGTCATGTTTTAAATGTAGCTAAATGAGAAGTATAATTATGACATTGTTATCAATGAAAAATACTATGGTAAAAACATTGCTCATGGAAATTATAAAAATATATTTATTACATTTTTAAATATTTAATTTTTTTTAAAAGTCATTAGTAATTGAATGAATGGCTTCAAAAGCTTCACAACCTTCCTCTTCTTTACTGTCAGCTTGTTTAAATTTATTTTTACAAATATATATACTACAGACGTTCATTGAGTGCATGCAATCAGATATGAAAGACAGTTACTACAACATGTTAATATCAATCAATAGTGAAGTCCCTTATTTCATGTAATAATATAAAAACCAATCTTTACAACTGAATGGTGTAAGTTATTTATTTGAAAAAAAAAATGCTTAAAAATAAAATATTGTACAAAAAACAACATGAAATAAAGAATAATGAAATGTTGTGTAGCCTATTCCTTTTAAAGTTATATAGTATCTGTCAAAATTTATTCAATTAGTAACTTATTTTTACTCACCCCCACTCCCCCAACCTTAAAAAAAAAATCATTCTTTTGCCTGTCCTGATTTATCTCACAGGTAACTTAATCAATCATTATGAGCATGCAAGTTTTAATTTATGTAGGTTCTTGACAAAACATTTTTTATTTCTCACCATAGCCATAGTATCCTTTGATCATGTTCAACAAAACAATTTCACTTAACAAAACAAAACTTTCTTTTCATTTCACCCATTTTAGAACTTTTTTTTATTATACTTATCCTATAAGTGAACATTTCAGAATTAAGTCTTTGTCCACCTAATTCATTTATATGTTATGTAATAGTTAGTGTAATTTGTCTATTTCATGATGAAGATTGGAAAATCAGTAAACATTAAAAATCTTCCTAATAACATTTTTCTTTGATAAAGAAAACTAAAACATCTGTAATAAAAATCTGGACAGACACCAGGTAGAATAAAATGGATTAAAACCGGAATTTTGTAAATAATTTTTTAAAATATCCACAATATAATAAATTGTAAATCAAACTTTCAGAACATAAATCAATTAAAAAATATATGTTATCTGTAGATTGACTATTCTTGCAATCATTGTTTTATCATACACTTATTGTTTGTTAGCTCATAATTTCAAATTGAAATTTTAAGTAATTCTTATCCTATTATACATTTTCTATACTGTGTAAAACCTCAGACTACTGTCTACATTTGAATGTTTTATGTGTGGCCCTCTCTCTTGAAGCCAGAAAATAGTGAAGAACCAGCAGTATAAAAACTCAGACTACTGTCTACATTTGAATGTTTTATGTGAGGCCCCTCTCTTGAAGCCAGAAAATAGTAAAGATCCAACCGTATAAAACTACTATCTACATTTGAATGTTTTATGTGTGGCCCCCTCTCTTGAAGCCAGAAAATAGTAAAGATCCAACCGTATAAAACTACTATCTACATTTGAATGTTTTATGTGTGGCCCCCTCTCTTGAAGCCAGAAAATAGTAAAGATCCAACCGTATAAAACTACTATCTACATTTGAATGTTTTATGTGTGGCCCCCTTTCTTGAAGCCAGAAAATAGTGAAGATCCAGCAGACACAGCTTTGTTCATCCACGGGTGATCATTCATTTCTAAAGGGGTTGGACGCATGATTGGGTCCCATTCTAGCAGCTAGGGTAAAAGGATGTTGTTCTTAAGTGTGAATTACATTGAACACATTTATCTGCAAAATGACTACATTGTCTATTGGTGTATATAGACCAAAATATCAAGTGATAGGACATGACTGTTTAATCTACCATCCTGAGTTCAGCTCCCAAGATGTGTTGGTAGGCTATCTATCTTCTATATATATAACGAGCCGACCCGCTGCGTATCATACGCCGCTATTTAGTTTTTTTTTTTCTACTTTTCAGTAATTTATAATTTGTGAATTCGACAGTACCAATGCTGCCACTGAAAATATTTGCTTAAAAACACTAAACCCCCCTTCCCCCCCCCCCCACGTGAAAGCAGCCTCCTCTTAGTTACTTCCTCTAAGTTTAAAATAGTTTCAAACTAAATTATCTGCCCCTAATAGCCGTCATCAAACCCGTATCTATGATTGTAAAATGTAAACAGCGTGAACCACAGCTCACCAGACCATGTGAGGGGGTGGGGGGTCGGGGGTGTTAACGATAGAGAGGAAGAGAGGGGACTGTAAGGCGCGCTCGCTTGCAGCTTGTTTTCTAACGGCTCCCAGAAGAGAATTATCTATATATATATATATAATTCTCTTCTGGGCTCCCAGAAGAGAATTATCTATATATATATATAATTCTCTTCTGGGAGCCGTTAGAAAACAAGCTGCAAGCCCGCCTTACAATCCCCTCTCTATCGCTACCCCCTCCCCCCCTCCCCGCCCACCCCTCACATTGTCTGGTGAGCTGTGTTCACGTTAAATGTTTACATAATACAATCATAGAGTTGGGTTTGGTGACGGCTATTATGGGCAGATAATTTAGTTTGAAACGATGTTAAACTTAGAGGAGGTAACTAAGAGGAGGCTATTTTCACGCGGGGGGAGGGGAGGGGGTTAGTGTTTTAAAGCAAATATTTTCAGTGGCAGCATTGGTACTGTCGAATTCACAAATTATGAATTACTGAAAAGTAGAAAAAACAACAACTAAATAGCGGCGTATGATACACCGCGGGTCGGCTCGTATATATAGATTCTCTTCTGGGATCAGTTAGAAAACAAGCTGCAAGCGCGCCTTTGCAGTCCCCTCTCTTCCTCTCTATCACTCTCACTACCACCCCCACCCTACCCCCACATGATCTGGTGAGCGGTGTTCACTCTGTTTACATTTTACAATCACAGAGACGGGTTTGGCGACGGCTATTAGGGGCAGATAATTTAGTTTGAAACGATTTTAAGCTTAGAGGAGGTAACTAAGAGGAGGCTGCTTTCACGTGGGGGGGGGGGGGGTAGTGTTTTTAAGCAAATATTTTCAATGGCAGCATTGAAACTGTCGAATTCACAAATTATAAATTACTGAAAAGTAGAAAAAAAAAACAACTAAATAGCGGCGTATGATACGCAGCGGGTCGGCTCGTTCAAGTAATTTCAAGGTGGGTACCTAAATACTAAATAGGATTACTTGTTAATGGGTCAAGATGCTGACTACACGTTCCTTTATTTATTTCGTTTGTCAAGGTCAAGGAACTCTAATTAGTCCAATGTAATCATATCAAAAAGAGTGCCTGTCTTCTTTTGCTCTATGATTTAAAAAAAAATTCAACTCATACCACACATTTTAATTTTGTTTTCATATTCTTCTTTGAAGGAGATCTTAACTAGAGGATCTATATTCTATAATTTACCATAAAAGTTTAATTGTTTTCATTTCTAGAGATTTCAGCTTAAACAGTTTTTTAAAACAAAAATATATTTTAATATTCACCTGCTTAACAAAATCTTTGAAGAGGTCATCACCAATTAATACTGTGTTGATGTTCTTTGTGCCGGGCAAGCCTCTGTTCTTTTTGCGTTTCCCGCTTCTTGGCTTCGGTCGAGCTTTGTTCAGCAGTACCTGAGGGACCTCGCCAAGCATTTCTTCTATTGCTGCCAGTTGATCGTCCTCATCCGCACCCTTGGGGAGTAATCAGACACATAGTATATGGCTCACAGACACATGGGCAATAACCGTTGGTAGAACTGGGACATGATGTTCCTTTTTATTTTTTGATGTCTCCAAAGAGGAGGGGCGGACTAATATTTTGAGCATCAGATTGTCAGCAAATTGATATCTGCCATTATTTTATTATTCATGTCGCCATTGGAATGCACATCTAAAAACAATGCTGATGGTAATCATGTTCTGTAATTCGAGTTGTGGAATAAGATCAGTTACATAGCAGTTTTCATTCCAATAAGCCAAATCTTTTCTTATTAAGCAATTTTTGATTAGTGTTAAAAGAAGAAAAAAAATGAAAATAAGCCTTCCTAAAATTAAACCAGGACCAAATTATCATTTTTACCTCGGACAATATTTCAAGCGCCTTTACGAGAATCATATTTCACTGACTACAACACTATAAATAGGCCTCAGAGACGTAGCGACCCTTCCCGGCGCCCGGGGACAAACTTTCGATCTGCACCCCCCTCGAACTTTTGATTTGCACCCCCCCCCCCCCCTCCTCAAACTTTCGATTTGATTTTCCAACCCATTTTGGCGCCCCTCCCCTTAGGTCGGCGCCCGAGGACATATGTCCCCCCCCCCCCGCCCCCCCCCCCTCGCTACGCCCCTGATAGGCCTATACGTTTTGCATGTAATGGTGCTACAGACTCACCACAAAAATTGGAAGCCCTGTCGACAGTTCGCCTAGAACACATCCCAAACTCCACATATCAATGGCGGGCCCATAACGCATCCCAAGGATCACCTCAGGCGCTCTGTAGTACCGAGACTGGATGTAATGGTAAATTTGTTGCTGCTCATAACAACTAGACCCGAAATCACCGACCTGTCAAAGAACAAGAAATCTGTGTAATTTTTAAAAATATTGTATCAATGTTATATATTTATGATAACATTTAAAAAATCAGAAGACGTTACTTTGTTAAAACTAAAATGATACTTCGTTTTCATTAGACGTCGTCCGTAATTGAACGCCATGCTCCTTTTTGCCCATCCTTAAAACGACAACAGATTTCAGCATTCCCTCTCCCAAATTCTGATTTTTTTGTTGTTGAAATCACAATTTGTAAAACACAAGTCGAGCAATTTCCCTGGCCTAAAACCCAACAATTAAAATGTATAGCCACAACAGAGTTAATCTTGTTAGCTAGTTACGTCACAAGCCTGGTGAGGGAACGTTAAAAAAAACCTGTAGACCTACTATACTAAGCGATATCAAACACTACACTCACATAGCCACACAGATATATCTTGTATATTTCTTGACAAGCACATGCATGATAAACAGCATTCGTGAATTTATCGTTTAAAGTGTACCTTGACAGATGTGAAGTCCCCGTTTTTTTTCAGCATGATGTTCTCCGGTTTGATGTCACAGTGGATGATCCTGTTCTTGAAGAGCAGCTCTAGGCATCGCAAGACACAGCGCGTGATGGGTAAAATGCGAGACATGCCCAACCCGCGGTAGTTGTTACGCTTCAGCACTTGATACAGATTCATTCCCAGCAGCTCGAAAGAAATGACCATGTGGTTGCGAAACCTGAACCAAAGGTGACGTAGGTGGAATTTGTTTTTACATCAGTGGTTCTTAGACTTTTTGGAGGACTGAACCCAGAGGCGTAGCGACCCCTCCCGGCGCCCGGGGACAAAACTTTCGATTTGCACCCCCCCTCGAACTTTTCATTTGCACCCCCCCCCTCAAACTTTCGATTTGCACCCCCCCCCCTCGAACTTTTCATTTGCACCCCCCCATCAAACTTTCAATTTGGCGCCCCCCCCCTAAGGTCGGCGCCCGGGGACATATGTCCCCCAGCCCCCCCCCTCGCTACGCCTCTGACTGAACCCCAACGGTTTCATAAGCGCGTTCACCGAACTCTTCTAAATAGTTCTATCAACTGCACAGACGTGAATCGTGTGTTTGTCTTGACCTCCGCTGAACCCCGGAGACTGACTCAACGAACCCCTTGGGTTCAATCGAACACATGTTAAGAACCACTGTTTTAGATAAAGGTTTGTTTTGACCATAGGGGAAAATACCTAAAGAAAGCCTAAGGAGTGAGTAATAAATCAGTTGGATCTAGATCTATCGCAAACACAAGGTTAGTGCTAAATAGATGAAACTACACGGAATTAATTAAAATACAGTAGTAGTCTATATTTAAACTGATAACATAAACTGATAACATGACAATATAACATGATAACGTGATCTTATTAAACTGGATCTGATAACGTGACCTTGCAAAAACATGGCTTTAAAAATAACATGACCTTATATAATAATATGACCTTATAAGAACTCGACCTTATATTATCCTGACTACATGAATAACATGATCTTATAACAGCGCTACCTGATAACATGACCTTGTAGAAACATGACCCAATAACATGAGTTTTTAACAACATGGACACACAACAACTTGATCCGATAACAATCGTGGCCTTAAAGCTACTAACATGACCTTATAGCAACAAGCATCGTGACCTGATAACATGACCTTATCACAGCATGGCCTTAAAGCAACTTAACCCGATACCATGACCTTACAACTTGACCCGATACCGTGACCTTACAACTTGACCCGATACCATGACCTTACAACTTGAATTGATAACATGACCTTACAACTTGACCCGATACCATGACCTTACTACTTGACCCGATACCATGACCTTTCTACTTGACCCGATAAAACGACCTTACAACTTGACCCGAAACCATGACCTTACAACTTGACTCGATACCATGACCTTACAACTTGACCCGATACCATGACCTTACAACTTGACTCGATACCATGACCTTACAACTTGACCCGATACCATGACCTTACAACTTGACTCGATACCATGACCTTACAACTTGACCCGATACCATGATCTTTCAACTTGACCCGATACCATGACCATATAACAACAAAACCCGATAACATGATTTAGTAACATGACTTTACATGCCACATCATAATTATAAAATTACAACAGGATTACAAAAATTACATGCAAATATTATAAGCAACAAGCAAATATAAAAACAAATGTTAATAACCTTGTAAAATATCTCATTTCAAATATCAACACCGGAAACAGATAACACAAGACACCTAGGGATGTAGATAAAAGATAACACAAGACACCTAGGGGTGTAGATAAAAGATAACACAAGACACCCAGGGATACAGATAAAAGGAAACTAGGACTAAAACGCGCAGAGAAAGATCGCGAAAAAAGTGTGAGGAAAAAAAAATTACATAAAAAATTCATTGATAATCACGATGTTGTATGTGTTGTCGATGTCTTGTCTTTTCAGAGTCTGGAGAATTCTCAGCTCCTCTCTCGACTGCTTCAAGTAGATTCTCTCATTGCGAACAAGCTTCAAGGCGACGTACTTGTGAAGTTTATGATCGTAAGCTTTTATAACCTGTGTAAAAGGATCAGAGTAACTACAAATGTTCATATTCATACCAATCGATGTTCAGGCATAGCAGATATTGAAACCCCCGCCCAGAGTTTCTTCCAGGCATCTCTTCAAGCCCCCCCCCCCCCCCCCCCCGAAATTTTTTTTACCACCCCACCGAACGAAATGAAATTTATATAATTTATATAGTAAATATATACTTTTAACAGTGTTCGCCCCCCCCCCCCCTCCCCGAAAATTTCAAGTGCCCCCCGGAGAAAAAAGTCTGGAAGAAACACTGCCCCCGCCCCAGCACATTAAGCACAGACATGACCTCCATCCCCTAACACCAGTGTTTCTTCCAGACTTTTTTCTACGAGGGGGCACTTGAAATTTTCGGGGGGCTAAAATGCCGTCTTCTAAAGACCTAGCGACAAACTTAGGAAAAAAAAAAAAACAGCCAACGTGATGAGAATAGAACAGGACAGAGAACTCTGGAGAACTGTGTTTGACTGCGGTCAAAAAATCACCTGGAGTTATGGGAAATGAAGACTATATAGAGCAAAATACGTTACAGCACAAGTAAATCCAGAATTCTAATAAAATGCAATTCTTCATCTAATTATTGATGAATTTGAAAGAATTGATGGGGACTCACCTGTCCAAAAGTGCCCTTTCCCAGAGATGGTTTATCGCTGACTTCATAACGATAGGCAATATGGTCACGTGGTACGACTTTATAAAAATGGTCGTCGTCGTCATAAACGTCCGATTCTTTTGACGGGATTGGTCCGTTGTTGAGTTTGGAAGCGTTCAGACCGAGGCAGTAAACCGACTGGTAGTCCCGTATCTCTTCCTGCTCGTAGGCTGTTAGTTTGTTGCTGAAAGTAGGGCACTAGGTTAGTTTGTAGCTGAAAGTAGGTCACTAGGTTAGTTTGTTGCTGAAAGTAGGACATTAAATTAGTTTGTTGCTGAAAGTAGGTCACAAGGTTAGTTTGTTGCTGAAAGTAGGTCACAAGGTTAGTTTGTTGCTGAAACTAGAACATTAAATTAGTTTGTTGCTGAAAGTCGGGCACTAGGTTAGTTTGTTGCTGTAAGTGGGGCACTAGATTAGTTTGTTGCTGAAAGTAGGTCACAAGGTTAATTTGTTGCTGAAAGTAGGGCACTAGGTTAGTTTGTTGCTGAAAGTGGGGCACTAGGTTAGTTTGTTGCTAAAAGTAGGTCACTAGGTTAGTTTGTTGCTAAAAGTAGGTCACTAGGTTAGTTTGTTGCTGTAAGTGGGGCACTAGGTTAGTTTGTTGCTGAAAGTGGGACACTAGGTTAGTTTGTTGCTAAAAGTAGGTCACTAGGTTAGTTTGTTGCTAAAAGTAGGTCACTAGGTTAGTTTGTTGCTGAAAGTGGGGCACTAGGTTAGTTTGTTGCTGAAAGTGGGAAACTAGGTTAGTTTGTTGCTAAAAGTAGGTCACTAGGTTAGTTTGTTGCTAAAAGTAGGTCACTAGGTTAGTTTGTTGCTGAAAGTGGGGCACTAGGTTAGTTTGTTGCTGAAAGTGGGACACTAGGTTAGTTTGTTGCTAAAAGTAATTCATGCCATTTTGAAAAAAAAACTAACCAAAAAAAATGAATTATAGTGTTTAATACCTTATAAAAACATACATTTAAAAAAACCCATAAGAGTTTGCTGCATTTAAAAAAATAAACCAGTTTTAAATACTCCATACTACTCTTCTCTGTTAGTTGCTTTTAATGTTCGCAAATACCGCGTTTAAAAAGTTTTCCCCTCGTTTAGTTCACAACTTACTAGCCCAAATGATAACTTGAACAATAAGCTAGACCAGGACAAACTGTAGCGTACCCGAACATGGAGAGGGCAGCGGATGGCAGAAGTTTACTAGAGCTAGTCGCGACAAGTGACGGTTTGGTCGATTTCTTCCTGATCTTTTCCGTGGACTTGACGGTTTGAACTTTCAACGATTCCGTCGAAGTTACACTCATGGAAACCGACGAGGAAGAAAGGGTCATGTGTTCTCTGGTGTTCTGAAATAACAAATGTAATTTTCGTGTGACCCCCTTAGTTGCATTACGTAAATCTGAAGTTCATGTGCTCCCCTGTCAAACTACCATTTCTGATTAGTCCTTGCCGAACTACCATTTCCGGGTCGTTTCTTGCCGAATTACCATTTCCGTGCGGTCGTTTTCAAAACTATAATAACATTTTAAAATCTAATAAAATGCACTAAGCTTTTTAAGCATTAATCATCAAGTACAACCATTTATAGCAAAAGTACCAAAATATTGTACTAAAATTGCTTACACGTTTAAGTACCTACACAAGTAAAAAAAAATCATTATATAAATAATTTAGCTGTTTCTGTTGACGTTTTAGAAATTTTTCAGTGAATTTTCATCCCCAAACTATTTCTACATTTTATCTTATTTTTATTTAATTATTACTAACTTTAAAAAAATGTTCATTTTGGCAATGGTCTGATAAGTTAAGATATTGATAAAGTAAAAATAACCAAAAATCCCACCGGTACTGTCAGTTTAGCCTTAGATGTTGACTTGGAAGAACGGTAGTTGGAGGCTTTGGTTACAGAGGACGAGGTAGTGGGGTCCTCAAACATCTGCTGGATGACGACACCCCGTTTCTCCATCATTGTACGACCGTAGGGCTAGCACTAGCGGCACAGGATTCTGTTAGTATCATGACTTGCCAAACACTGCTAGACATCTGGTGGTAGAGCATAGAACATCTGGTGATAGAACATTTGATGATTGAACTTCTGATGATAGAACATAGAACATCTGATTTTAGAACATCTTAGTATAGAACATCTGGTGATAGAACATAGAACATCTGATAATAGAACACAGAACATCTGATGATAGAACATCTGATGGTAGAACATCTGATGATAGAACATAGAACATCTGATGATAGAACATAGAACATCTGATGATAGAACATCTGATTATAGAACATTTGATGATAGAACATCTGATTATAGAACATTTGATGATAGAACATATGACATTTGGTGATAGAACATCTGATGATAGAACATCTGATAATAGAACATCCGATGATAGAACATAGAACATCTGATGATAGAACATCTGATTATAGAACATTTAATGATAGAACATAGGACATTTGGTGATAGAACACATGATGATAGAACATCTGATGATAAAATATAGAACATCTGGTGATAGAACATAGAACATCTGATGATAGAACATCTGATGATAAAATATAGAACATCTGGTGATAGAACATAGAACATCTGATGATAGAACATAGAACATCTGATGATAGAACATCTGATTATAGAACATTTAATGATAGAACATAGGACATTTGGTGATAGAACACATGATGATAAAATATAGAACATCTGGTGATAGAACATAGAACATCTGATGATAGAACATCTGATGATAAAATATAGAACATCTGGTGATAGAACATAGAACATCTGATGATAGAACATCTGATGATAAAATATAGAACATCTGGTGATAGAACATAGAACATCTGATGATAGAACATAAAACATCTGATGATAGAACATGAAACATCTGATGATAGGACATAAAACATCTGATGATAGAACATAAAACGTCTGATGATAAAACATAGAGCATATGATGATAGAATATCTGATGATAGAACATAGAACATCTGATGATAGAACATCTGATGATAGAACATAACATCTGACGATAGAACAATTGATGATATAACATAGATAATCTATTGATAGAACATAGAACATCTGATTATAGAACATAGAAGAACATCCGATGATAGTCTGATAGAACATCGAACAACCTGTTAGTATCTTGACTTGCCAAACATTGTTCTTATTATATAAACTATGAAAAAAAAACATAAATCAAACGACTGTCTATACGCCTGACAAAAACGAATTGATCCACTGTAAAGTGAAAAGTTTTATCGTACTGCCTTTTGTTTGGTAGCAGCTACGTGATTTGTCAGACCAATGTGTTGATTAATTACCTCTAGCTGGGCTTGTCTTTCCACACTCAAATACAACATAACTGCAATGTAATAACGGACTATATGCAACCATCGTTCACTTGATGTTTCATTTCAATAATTTGTGTGGTAATTATTATATTGTTATCGTACCAACATATTTTTTAACGTTGATTTAGGGGTCATCCATAAATGACGTCACACTCGTAGGGGGGAGGGGGGGGTCCTTAATTTTGTGACGATGTGTGATGAGGGGGGGGGTCAGATGTTGCGACGTCACACTTTTGCATTATAAAAAAGCAATGTTAGAAAACGAATTTTAGACGTTATTTCGCGTTTTAGATAACTGTTTTAATAAATTGTAATAGTTTAGACAAGATTTTAGAAAAATATCGATGTTTTAAAAAAAATTCAACTGCAATTTTGAGGGGGGTTGTAGGTTGAGGTGTGACGTCATTTTAGGGGGGTCTGGCTTTTTGTAACGACGTGTGACGGAGGGGAGGGGGGAGGTAAAAATCGTCAAAAAAAGCGTGACGTCATTTATGGATGACCCCTTACACGTATTGTACAGAATTTCCCAGTTCTATATAAGGACCTGTGTTAAGAGGTGGGGGCGGGATGGTCCATAAATGACGTCACACTCCTGTGAAGTAGGGATGGGTTTGTATTTTTGTGCGGAGTGTTCAGATGTGTTAAGTCAAACTTTTTCCTTTAAAAGATATATTAAAAACCCATGAATTTATGCCCTTATTTTCGTATTTTTAATTGACTTTTACAAATGTACGAATGAAATATAGATCTAACGTCATTTTTTAATGTCTAATTAGTAATTTTCGTGACGATCAAGATGGTGAAAAAAAAGGGGGGGGGGGGGAGAGACGTAAAAACGTCCAACATACCGTGACGTTATTTAAGGACACCGCCTTACAAGTAAAATGTAAACATGCTTACATTAGTTAGGACTTGGGACACCCAATCGAATCCTGATAAACTATAAATTAAACTGCGTCCTAAGGAATTAAAACATCGTGGCTAAAGCGTGTCAGTTCAGCCCGGCATTTGTCCGACTGATGATTGTCAGAGATTTCAGATTGGTAGAGGTGAGCGTTTTCGGTTTCATAGGCTCTTGGATCAATGAAGTAATGCTAGTGGAAGGTTTACCATCTTCGTACGAAGACACCATTTTTGTGAAGCATTGATGACGTTTTAAACAGCTATTAGCACTTTGGTGTCTAGAGTACGCGCTTGTGTTTTAAAAATAGCAAGCTGTCAAATCTGTTAGTAATAAAACCAGTGCCGTAGGGTGATGGGACAGTCCTGCCTAGGCGTCACTTTATTCTTCTATATATACATAATGTTGACATATACATATTTTTTATGTAAAAAAGATGGGGAGGGGTCCAAATCGAAGATAGCCCACTGTTATATAGTTATTACAAAATAGAAAATTCATGATTGGCCGCTGAATTATGTTGCCAGTGCGCTAGGTAAACCACATATGTTATTGAAATAGAACGTGTATTCTGACGTGTAGTATTTTCAAGAAAATATAAGCCGAAGCAGAGTCAGAGCAAGATTTATAAAAGATTGTCGTTATTATTCTGTCTATACGTATAGACATTAAAAGATAACTTCATTTATTTTCCTTATTGCACTACAAGCCACCCCGCTCTATTCCGACCGAAAAAACACATATCAAAATAACAGAGGCGTAGCGATGGGGGCAGGGGGGTACATAAGTCCCCTGGCGCCGACCTTAGGTGGCGCCAAAATGGGTTTTAAAAACAAATTAAAATGTCATTTTAGCTGCATTTTTGCAGTTTGAGGGGGTGGGGGGGGGGTGCAAATCGAAAGTTTGAGGGAGGGGGGGGGTGCCAATTAAAAAATTTGCTCCCGAGGGGGGCGCCAAATTGAAAGTTTGTCCCCGGGCGCCAGGAAGGGTCGCTACGCCTCTGCAAAATAATTAAGATGATATGGGACGACGTGGCTTAGCGTTAGAGAGCTAGACTGCAACCTGAAAGTCTCGATTCTAAAGCTGAGACTGTATATTTCAGCGTGTTACACACAGTTATATACTGTTGAGTGTAACAACAATTTATTATCAACACATTTATCTCATGTAACGGTACGCAACTTGTTTGTAATGTGCGTCATCTTGTTGGTATTTCTCCCCATCTTACAGTCATAATTCATTTATTTTTTTCTCTCTTAATCACAGTTCGTTAGTTAATTCCTCTATGGCATTAATTATACGTTTATTTCTTCTTGCAATTCGATAGTTTCTTTCTTCATGACATGATTTGTCATTTTATTTCTCACTCGGACAAATCATTGTCACAGTCACAAAAATATGTGACCCCCCCCCCTTTCCCAACGTTAAAGCAGTCATGCTCTAAGAATCAGAGACATGGAAAACAATAGAGTCAACAACAAAAGGAATCCAGGTGCCTAAGAGTATATTAAAGATAAAATGGCAAGACAAGGTAAAAAACGATAAACTAAGTGAGATATGTGGACAGGAAACAATAGAAATGCAAATCATGGGGAGGGAATGGCTATGGGTTGTTTCACTTTTTTTTTCTCCGAGGGCACTTAAAACTTTCAGGGTGGGGTGAGGACACTAGTAAAAGTATATATTTATAATATAAATTATATTTCATTCAAAGGGGTGGGGTGGCGGTAGATGAAATTAAAAAAAAAAAAACGACCAACGAAAGACATGACGACGTAGCGTGCTGGAGCAGGCCGAAATGATAGGGAGGAATTGGGAAGAGCTGAAAAGAGTGACAGGAGACCGCGGAGAATGGAAAGATATGACAAGGGCTCTATGCTATGCAAGGAACGAAAGTGAAAATAATGAATGATGCACACATAGTACCAGAAATCGCCGGATCCATTTTTGGATCATTTTGACCCAAAGGAAATACTTTGTCCATTGATTTATCGTCCTCTATTGGGTACAGACGCCAACATGCAACTGATCGACCAGTCTTGTTTAATAAATCATGTGACACAGTGAGAATAAACAATGAGATGATCAACTCAGTAAAGCAATTGTTTCGTTGTTTCCATTTCAGATTTGGCTGGCATATTTTAAAGTCTCCGCATTAATTTAAATGTGTCTTTTATTTGTGTTCGCTTCGCAATAACTATTCATTTCCCTTACTGGTTAAATTATATAATATTTATATACTAATATATACCAATATATTGTCGGAATTTAAGTATTACAATATACACATTACATTAAGCATATCTAATTTAATTAAGATTTAGCCTATACAGATTTTTTTCGTGCAAAGGTTTGTTGAAAAGGTGTGTTGGTGTTTATTTGTTTGTATCTGGTGTTCTATGAGTCTGTGTATGTATAAGGGCTTTACTGAGCCCAATTTATGTAAAAGCTAGTCATTGTTATGGTTCGATGCATTCTTCTATAAAAATTGATGTGACTGGTTATTTAAAGATTGGTGTTTGACGTTTTATAAAGAGTAATATAAAGATAGACGTTACTCATCTGTTTTATTGTTATTGACTTTGATGGTGTATTGTTTGTCTGTTTAGTGTAGACATCGTACACGTATCTTGTGTGGCCGTTTAGTATCTATCTGCTTTTCCTTTCAACTTAGATACCCTTCTGCTGAATGATAGTGTACATCATAGAGTTCTAGCTTCTAAATCAGAGTTGTGACTTAATAAGTATTCCAACCTGACACGGAATGTGGATCGAAGATAAAATAACCAATGACAAAAATCAATTATGGGCCAACTGAAACTAAATTAAATGGAAATTAACTTTTCAAAAATTTAATTTTAAAAACAGATTTAAGAAAATCAACACGACGTCAATTGTTTAAATTACTAACTAATTTCTTGAATTCCGTAAAAAATGTTTTACCCGGCTAAAACAAAAGTAGTCTAGATCTAGATATAATGACTGTGTACTTACCTATAATGCGGTAGTATAACTGACATTCTATAGCGTTTTTTTAATTACTTGGACAAGCAAGGCACGGCAACCTTGAACTATGGGCGGCACTAGTAGAGACGGTAGGAAGTTAAGTAATTCCCACGTCAGAATCTTCGATTGACAGATGATACATTTTTCAGAAATTGTTCCGGGAACAGATTTGCCTTTGAATTTGTTCTAATGGTTTTGCTTGAAAGAAAACCTACAGAAATCAAGGTGTGATTCTAAAAATAGATTTAATATTATTATAAACAAGTCACGTGAGGTGGTGGCATGTTTGTAGACCACATACACAGACACGTGCAATCTCACGCGACTCGCAGGTTCTCATTAGTACCCAATTAGCTAAATAATCAATTTAAGTGTGCAGTCTACGTCTGTGTAGTGTTTTATGGGTGTGCAGTTATAGAGAGAGATAAAGTGTATGAAAACCGATTAAATGACAGGTATTTGTTTGAACCCGTGGACGCTAAAAGTTTGAGTGAATAGAGTGTCATGAAGTGCCGGGTTGAGCAGGCAGCTATACAAAGGCCCCTTGATCCGTTGCCTAGTTGATGTCTGGTTAGATTTTAAAAAATGGTATTGTATATTGGCATTGCAGTAGCTGCTTGAGAATTGGACTCAGGGTTTCAGTGGAGCTTAATGGGACAAGGTGGTTGGAAGGTTGAGCGCTCGACTGCTGACTAGCAAGTCTCGAGTTCGGATCCCGGGCAGATGAGGCTTATAGCTGGGGACACAAATTCTTCTAGGAGAGACAACTTCAAAATCAAACAACTGCTGTATTGAACTTTGTTCTTGGTTGGACAAAAAGGCTATGGAAGCAAATCCAAAAAATAAAGCAGGCTGAAATAGGAGTCAACGGCCTATATGGCGCATAACCAGTTGACAAATAATACTCAATTTTGTGGGAGGGAATCCCTTCCACCACTAAAATTAAGAACGAAGAATAGGAAGAGAAGGATCGCACTATCCTTTTTATATCCCGAGGTCACAAAAACAGGCGGGCTCTACTTCATCTACCGCTTGGACCATCAGGCTCGAAAGGGTAACTTTACTTTTTATTTCCCACATCAAGTGGGATGATATATAAAAGCATGTTAATGAGAAATAGTTAATGAAAATGTACACATAACATGTGACATGTGTTTCGATTACCTTTTCACATGACTTAAAAATGAACCTTTCAGTGTGGCTCACAAAATATTTGCAGTGCAAAGGTTCGTTACTCAAAATGTTTGCTGACCTCTAGTAGAGGCTAGTTGGTATCAACTATATATGAAGAACCTTTAACATCCTATGCCCAGCTGTTCTAATTAAACTTTTTTCATTCATCTGGTTGTAATCTTGGCCTAACAACCTTGAGTGCTTTGAATTTCCGTATGTTTTTTTTATTTTTTTATTTTATTTATTTAAAAAAAAAAATTTTTAAAGAAGCATTTACAAAGAAAAATGTTTTGAACTATAAAAGAAGTGGTCTAATTAGACATATAAAATGTGATGTACGTTTTTTTAATAACTTGCTGACTTCTCTTAAGTCTATGAAATGTGTGGTACGATTGTTTAAATTGCTAACTTCCCTTTACGCCTATGAAATGTGTGGTACGATTGTGGTACGATTGTACTACTTGCTGACTTCCCTTTAAGCCCATGACATGTGTGGTACGATTGTTCTACTTGCTGACTTCCCTTTAAAGTGTTTCTATGAAATGTGTGGTACGATTGTTTTACTTGCTGACTTCCCTTAAACTTCATGTTAAGAGAATATATAATCAAACATGTTACAAAAATCTAACCAAATGGTGAGATTTCTTGTAGATGTTGTTGAGAGCTTGACTTGACACAGTGACACACACCAGCCCTGTGTTAAAATCAAATAGCCCACAATATCACATTTATAGCTTCCGATGTCTCTTTTCGATTTTGCTACCACCCCTTTTCCTCTTAGTACAATAACTTGCCCTCGTATATCGACTTTCATTTTCAATTCCTCAGCCATTTATTCCTATATTATTTTTTTTATACTAGACCTCTAACAGTAATATTAATTGAAGAATAAAAGTACTATTAAAAATCATCAAATCCTAAAAACATTACTGCGCCGATGTATGTAAATCATTAAAAGGGAGGTAATTTGTGCTCACGTTTATTATTTAAGTTATTATTTCCCTTATTTATAATATTTTTTTTTCCTTCAGTCATTCTTTGTCTTTTGTTATTTAATTATTCACCGTATAACCACATCGTTATAGATGGACACAAAAAATATCAGACCCTCACTCCCTAAAATTACGGGCAGGCCTCAGGTACTCAGCTTCCCGTCTTCCTCAAAGGCAACTCTTCTTTTTGGAACACGTCGCTAAGCCGTCTTTCATCTGAACGTCTAATTAAATCCAAACCATAATTAAGCTTACGTAGACCTACCTTGATCAGTTTGTATTACTATTAACAAAAACATTTTTAAAAAGAAAATATTACGCCAAGTACAGAAGCAACCTACATGATAACATTCAGTTTAAAAGCTACTTATTCTACATGTTGCCGATTTTTCTTAGATATTGTTTGAAATACGATTATTTGGTACTTTGCCGACCCAATTCAGGTATTCTATAAAATGGAATAGATTCACACTTTGCCGGTAATTTAAAGTATTCCATAGTTGATTGAACAAAAAGAAAGCCTGTCTAATTATCAAATCTAGTGTTTCTTTAGAACACTTTCCTCCGGGGAGGGGGGGGGGGGGACACTGTTTAAAGTGTTTATTTTATTGCCTATATAAATTCTTATTAGTACATGAATTAATTGAACGTTTATAATCAATTAATAAATGGCGTCATTTATGGGGTGAGGGTCTGGTCTTTTGTAAGTCAGCAAAAAAAAAAAGTCTCAAATAAATACACGATTGATAGCGTGATATATATATATATATATATATATATATATATATATATATATATATATATATATATATATATATATATATATATGTTTTTTTACGGGGGGCCCTTTTTTTCTAGTTGCGCCACTCTAAAAATTATTATCTAAAAAGAAAAAAAAAACGTTGGTTGCTATTGTATACCTTTACTAGAGTTCAAATAAAATGGTCTGTGAGAAGTGGTCGTAGTTTCGCTCGCCAGTTTCGAACCACAACGACAAAAGACAAAATCAAGTACTAGGAATAAAATAAAAAGTTTGTAAAAACATCTAAAAATAAACCGGGAGTGATCTCCCCTAAATTTTCTCGAATATTCTAATATAGCACTATGGGGGATGGCAACTCAGGACTTAGACAATATGTTTAATCCATTTTTTATTACTTAAACTTTTTATAATAGAATAGAATCTCGTAAAAAAAAAAGAATTGCACACCAAGTGAACGCCAAATAAAATGTGCATAATAGTGCGGGATATTATTAGTATTTTATAAATTCACATGCGTTTTTTTTTTTTTGAGAAATCGGAAATAGCGTAAATTACTACTTCTGGTCGACGGAAATTACTCAAAACTTGATAGAAGGCAGAAAATTAGAACTTTTACTTACATGTGAAATTTCATTTATCTATCTGAAATAGTACTCGTTATAGGCTTTTAAAAAATTCAAAGTAAAAAAAGTTCCACTTCCGGTTATCGGAAATAGCTCAAAAGTTGATACGGATCTACGATTTTGATATAATACTTATACTTATATATGAGATTTTATCAACCTAGCTGTAACGGTACTCAAGTTATCGTGTTCACACACACAGACACACACACACAGACATACGGACAATATTGCAAAACTATGTTTTTCCGACTCAGGGAGCCCTAAAACATCGAGATTTTTGCAAATCTCGATGTTTTAGGGCTCCCTGATTTTTTTTGCACGATTACAAGACTTTCTCTATACTTCGTATATACGAGAAAGTAAAAAACAAGTCGCTAAGTGGTCTGGTTGCCGAGATATGGGCAAAAAACTGCATTTTTTCGAGTTTTTTTTGGCTTTTCCGGGAAATCCAGGAAGGAATTCCGGGAATTTTTTTGGCCTATGTTTATCCTCGGAACTTGCTTAACATATTTGCTTTTGGAACTAGTCCTCGATATTGCTTCGTTGAGGAGGAGATACGACTTAAAGACGACTTAAAGCTGCGGACACACATCCGTCCATCCATTCCCAGAAATGACGAGTTAATAAACGCAATTCTCCAGAATGGAAATTGCGCTAAAAAAAAAATACTGGAAGTACCATCCCCCTTATTGTTATACGAAAATATAGGAGAAAGAGTAGAACGCCTCCATAAATTTTAGACCACAGCCAACCATAATATACATCTAGATTACCATGTCATTGCCTAATGAAAGTATGCAAATGGTTTTTACTCAATCTAACACGCCCCTTGACCTAATTGTAGCAAATAAGACTAGTTATTTGGCCTGCTAACTTAAAAATTTAGACTAGTGAATAGGAATAAATTCTAACATATTTACATTTATTTTGTTAATTTTTGTTTTCTTAAAAATTGTTTATCGAATATGTTTGATTTTTTAAATGGAAAATGAACTTTTGATCTTTACTTTTAGGGGCCTAGGCCTACCATTCTTTATTCTGTCAACATTAGTAGTACGTCGTTGCGCATGCGTCAGTCGCCATTGTCACACAGCAAGTTTCCTGTTTCACCTAGGCCTAAGGTCTAATCGAGTCTTATGGAAAACAGGAAGAGAAATTATTTACCTCGTCTAAAACTTATTTCGTTTCTACCACAAAATGAAATTGTTTCATGCGAAAATTAACATCGTTTGTTCATGACATTCTCGCGCAGGTTATTGTTTTATGACTGCTATTAGCTTCTGTTTTAGTGGTTCTTTTTCGTTGTTATTTTGGTTGGTCTGGTTCAACATTTTCTAATCTTAGACTACTGACAGTGACACACTGTACTGTGCTGCACTGCACCTACTGCTGACTGCACATAAAAAAGTGACAACAAAATAGTAATAGACATGACCGAGTTTACAAGAATCCTTCCATCATTAATTTTGACGTGATTAAAATATTTTTTTAGATTTTGCGATTAAAGCGATCTTTAACTAAAGACTTACAGAAAAAATGAACTGAAACAATGAAAAAATTAATTAGGCCTAAGTCTGAAAATATTTCAGAAATCATATTCTTAGGAGGGCCTATCTATTATAGATCTAGATTCTAGGTATTTTGATGAAAATAAATAGGCTCTAGGACTCTAGTCTAGGCCTATCAAAAATTATTTATTTATTTAAAAAAATTAGGCTCTAGGGCCAGGGCCTATCAGTAATCCAGATCTTATTAAATTTAAATCTAGTCCTGGGCTAAACAAGTAGGCCCTAAATTTATAATTTTTTTGTTCAAAGCCATAAAATTATGAGTGGGGAAAAATTCTAAAGTGACTGTAGGCATCATCACCTTTGTAAATAACGTGTGGCAAGTACAAAATGGCATGTGACCTCAATAAAAACTTTGTTTAGGCCTACTCTTGTTTGCTTTTAATTTTAAGTAAAAATGTGCTAAATCTTATCCAAATAAGCCTATATAATAAGAATTTGAAAATTAGGCCTAATTTAAACTACTTTACTGTTTTAAAGTGAGAGCTTAGTCAACAACATGCATTCTTGGTTGGTTGAGGCCACGCCGCAAGTTTGTTCTGCTAGGGATTACTTACTTACTTAATCCTCATCACTCCCTGTGGAGTATAGGGCAGCAACAAATCTCCGCCATTCCACCCTGTCCTGGGCGAGCCACTTTAGTTTAATTCTGCTAGGGGTACATAGGGTCAACTTTAAGTCCACTTTCAGTTTAAAAAAATAATAAAAACGTTCTTCAGTGAAAAAAAGTGCAATTCATTCTGTTTGTAGGTACGACATAAAAAAATAGTCAAATGATTGGATTATAGCACAGCACTCTTTTTTCCTACGCCTCGTTTTCAGCAATAAAGATTGTTTAGGAGTTATTGGATTTGAAGAAACTGAAAGCCAAGAATACATAGAGCTACTTTCACTAAAGTGCAGCTTGCGAGACAAACTAAGAAATAAGGTCAAAAGTACACCTGACAATTCTTAATTAACAGGCTTAAATAGAAATGGATAGTTCCGATTACTAAATTGACAATCGCTTCATAAACATTAGTTTTTTTGCTCTACCACATAATGATAATGAAACTGGCCACCATCTCAGTAATGCACATGGGTTGTGAGATGGATATTAACAAACAAGCTGTGAATCAAATGGTCTAATTTAACCATATTTATTTCAATAACATCGTTTGTGATTTTCAAAGTATTTAGGCCTAATGGGCCTTTTGAATTATTTTAAGACTATTCGCCAATGGGCCCGTCATCATGCTAAATACTAGATCCTAGAATCTAAATAAGCCAAGTTAAAGATTATTAGGAGGCCTTTAGACCTATTTTATTTTTAATCTAGATCTAATTGTAGATTCTAAAACACAAATAGGCATGTCTAGAGCTAGATGTCATTAAAAAGATCTAGTTTCTAGTCTAGAATAGTCTTAGTAAGAGGTAAACTAGACTATAGATAGACTAGTAGATAAAATCTTTAGGTTTAAAACTAGATCTAGTGAAAGCTAAGGCAAACATGAAGGTACGGCCTACAGATAAATTTTCCTTTTACTCATAATCCAAACTTCATAATTTCAACCGTCCTACACTAGTCAGTAGCATATAATATAAATGTAGATAGGCCTATCATTTTTATCTGAAGTCTGGTAGTGGTTGACTGTTACACAAAAACTTGTGTTGCCCACTTATTTAATGCCATAACTAAAGTGTCAGCATCTAAATTAGACTAAATCAGATTACCTGAGTCTTACTAATGATACAGATTAATGAATACAATTTTAAATAGGGCCTATATTTTTAAAGTAGAGGCCTACCATTTTTCTAATTGCTTTTTGTCCATCATTCTTAATACATTAAATTGAAATGAGCAAGACATAGTTATGTTTGCTGTGAATTTGAATTTTATTCTTATTTAATCACTAAAGTTTTATTTTTAAATATATTTTCCAGCTACACAGTGCTGCATTAGATTAAAGAGAAAATGCCTCCACCTCCCCCACCCCCTCCCCCAGGTCCTGGACCCCCACCCCCACCTCCATCTTTCGGAGGTGGAAGTAAAGGTGGGGCAGCGCCAAATCGCAATGCACTTTTAAGTCAGATACATCAAGGAGCAAAGCTTAAAAAGGCAGTAACAAATGATAGAAGTGCTCCAATTGTTGGAGGTAATTATAAAACAAACTTTCATTCTTAGATGTTTTTGTCCCAACTTTTTAGTTTTGTTAATGTTAGATTTAAAAAAAACCTGTCAGCTTTTAATATTTATGACTATTTATTATGGTATTGTTTTAATGTATTTTGCGTTTTTTTTTTTGTTCAGCTGTTAAACCCTCCGGTGGTAGCAGTGGTGGCAATGTCAGTAGTAGTAGCAGCAGTGCAAGTGAAAAGGGAGCTCCACAACTTGGAGGTCTGTTTGCTGGTGGGATGCCAAAGTTAAAGCCTTCAGGTCAAGCCAAAGGTGAATGAAGCACTCACAGCGCTTGAAATAATGTTTTAAATTTTTAAACCTGGAATTTTTTTTTATAAAATGTTAAAGAAGTTTTAAAGTTTTTTATTTCCTATTTTATTTTCAGTCCCAGGAGGACCTGGGGGTCCAGCGCTAAAGCCACCAGGTGCGCAGAATGGACCTGTTAATATTAACAATAATAATAATCACTTGCCAAATGGAGTACCGCCTGTTCCAAGCTCCAACAAGCCACTTGCAAATAAGAACTTTGGAGGTCCTCCTCCACCCATACCAAATGCTAGCAAACCAAGCAATGGTGCACCCCCGCCTCCACCTCCTTCAAACAATAAACCAAAACCCAGCTTGGGTAGATCATCCACATCTGGTGAAGATGACTTAGACAGCTCTAGTTCGTCACAACAGAACAAGATACAATCTTCAGTGCCTAAATTTAGTGGGGGCTCTTTATCTGCAGGGCCACCTCCCCCGCCTACGGGGCCACCCCCTCCACCCTCAAGGCCGCCACCAAATGCTAACAGACCTAACAGTATGATAGGCCGGCCTCTGCCGCCCCCACCTCCCGGAAACACAGGAAATCCACCAAGTGGTCCATCAAGACCGCCACCTCCTTTACCATCAGCGCCAAAGAGTGCTGCTCCTCCGCCACCCAGTAGAAATGCACCACCTCAACCACCAACAAGAACAACATCTACGGCCAATTCTGGGGGTACTATTGGCCGTTCTGGTCCTCCTAGCACTAGACCCCCACAACCTGCCCCGAACTTGAATGGTGGTGGCACCATAAGCAAAGCTGGAGGACATAGATCTTCTGGTAGCTGGAGCTCTGGTGGAGATGGTAATTATTTGATGCTGTTGTTTATTTAACTTGATTTAAAGTAGCATATTCATTTGGGTTTGTGCTTATTATTTTAATTAGCAACCTAAAAAATCTAAACTTGTAAATAAAAAATATATTTTAACTAAGAAATCATACACTATACACTTGTACAAACTCAAAATGAATTTAAAGATAGCCATGTCTTGTTAGATGAAGGATATATGTAACACCTTTGTACAATCAAGAGTTTGCTAAGAATGGGATCATTTGGCTTCAGTAAATTGTAAATTTTAGGGAACTACTGTTAATTACTTAAATGTTAATTAAAGGTACATAGTTGTTAATCAATGGGATCTTTATTTAATTTGATACCTTAAAATATTTAAGCTCTGTAATTATTAACAAATTCTACTCCTGTAAAATAATTCCAGGATTTGTTCTCAATATATTTCTACTGCATACAATTTTTCAGATTTTGAAACACGCTTTCGATTTCACCAGACTAATGAGTTTCCACCACCAGAGCCTTTCACTAATATAAACAAAATATACCCAAGTAAAAATCGAAAAAATTCAAGTAAGTGTATACACATCAAATACTCTTAGTGAGTGAGATGACATTATCTATACCATAAAATTATCTCTGCAACTTGATTTCTAGCTTGTATTACTATAGGATTGTATTGACCTTAATTCCATGCATTCAATAAAGCACAAGTAACATTTATTTGCAATTCACAACATAATCTAAATCTTTTATCCTTCATGATATTATGAGGACTAAAATCAATGCTTATATTGTCTTCCTGCCTAATCAATGCATCTAACACCTTCCTGCTTATCAACCAACTGTCCCCTTTGTCTTGTCTACAATTCTGTACTTGCTGCACCATACAAACACAAATACAGATACTATATATCCTGACTTCCAAAAATTATTAGTATATATGTTTAATCAGTTCTTGAACTTCTTTAATTGTCTACATCTACTATTGTTAGTTCAGTTTACATAAACAAATCTATGCCGTAACAGTTAGTATACTTGTATGATTGTAAACAAATTGTACAGTTTGTGTTTGTAGTTCATGTTTGATAATCTTTATGCCTACACTACTCTAAAGTGATTGTAAAAATTTATTTTTCTTTTAACTAGCACGTAGGCCACCACCGCCAGAACCTCCACGCTAAAGTGAGTACCAGTGAAATTTTAGTGAGAATCTTTGGAATTTATTTATCAGGTACAGCTAAAATTATAAGTAAAAATTAAGCGTTTGGTCCATGCTGTTTAAAAAATTTAAGAGAGCTTGTTGTAACATATTGTTAATAAATCAGTTCAAAGCAAAGTCTTGGGCAAGCTTTTTAAAGTGACTACCGTTTTCCTTTATGTACAAATTTCCATGAAATTTTTAACCTTAATAAAATTGGCCACCATTTATTTTGGCCATGATTTATTGCTCACTATGAAAATCTCTATATTATCCATTAATTTATTGTTTTTCTTTTGTATGTATTATTTATAGCTGACTAAAATACTTTAGGGCTCTATATAGAAGTTTTAATTTGATGTAACATATCTCTTTATTTGCTGTGAATCTGTTATGTTTTTTGTCTTTTATGTTATGACTGGGTTGGGTTTTTTGAGGAGCCAAAATGTCTTCAGACTGTAGTCAATGGCTTAGGCTCTGTAGTGCTGTGTTCTTTTTGATTTCGTCATTTAAATTAAAATCATCATTAAGTCTAAGGAAAATAATTAGTTCAGCTCTCAATCTAAAATTCAAACATAAGAATAAAAGTTTGTTTAAACATTTGTAGATCCTTGATAGAAGTTTTATTAATTTTCTATTTGCTAATACAGATTGTATGTGGCATATTCATGCTTTACAAAACTTGTGTACAAAACTTTACAACTTGCCACCATCTTGCAAAAGCTTTTAAAATCAATTTATTTATTTTATAAATGGTGTATTATAAATTTTTAAATCAGAAAGCATACATTTTTGTGTGTAACTTTTTGTTTTGTTTTATAAAGTAAATAAAAGTATTAAAAATGACTGAAACTATTTCAGTTCACTATAAAACTGTGTTGCAAATAGATAATTCTATGTGAATCTGTTTATATTGGCAGTTTGAAAGGTTTTGATGGATGCTGACTTGTCTTGGAAAATGACTCACTTGTATCATGTCATAGTGAATAATAATAAATCTTTTATTTTGAAGTGTTTAGAATTGTGCTGTTTTATGAAATGAGTTGAAGGACAAGTTGTAAGTGATTTCATCTCCAACACATTTGATTAGCTCTCTGATGATATTCTTCCTTGTATCATTTCAGAAAATTCTGGTTTAACTATTTCACTTTGTAGTTTAAAAGTCTCATACTTGCATTTTTTAAAACAATAATAGATTTTTGTGCTAGGCTTTGTATAATCAGGTATAGCATGCTAATTGCATTAAGTAGTTAACACTTCAAAGCAATAATTAATGTGTATTTACTACTTGACATTTTAAAAGTAGATGTGGAGTCCTTGTTTGCATTAACACAAATACAAAGATTTCCTATGTACAATAACATCTATTTGATCCACCAAATTGTTTGTTTTTCAACCTATGCAACAGAGCATATAATTTGAGCTAATCTTTTACAGAATTTTCTTTGTTAGTTCAGCAGTTTTAGTCAGTATAGCTGATGACAAGAACTCTCTGGATTGTCACAATTTTGTGTTTAACTATATCTTTTGAAACAAGTTTTTTATGGTTTCTTGTGTTTTTGTGTTTAACTATATCTTTTGAAACAAGTTTTTTATGGTTTCTTGGGCGGATTCTACATTAAGTTTACATCTGTTAAATTATGAGTAAAACAATTTGCAACTAAAAAAAGGTTTTAAAACATAATTACTTTATTTTTAATTAGGGAAAATGTAATAAGTTATGAGTACTAACTTGCTAACTATTCCATTGAAAAATGTTTTCCAACATTTATATTCATATAATTTAAAACTAACTGTTTAAAATCATCTTAAAAGCTTTTTTCTTGTGAAAAGTGATTAGCTACTTACATGGTCTCTAAAATAAATAATTTTAGTGATGTTGTTAAGCAAGAAATTAAAAATTCACTTCCTTCCTTCTACTTAACAAAAGTAACATTAAAAATATTTAACCATTTAGCCCTTCTAAATCTAAGGAGAAGGGTGTAGAATTGTGTTAATATTATCTAAAATATATCATTTTTGACTAAAAACAAATAACTCATTTTGACTACTAACTGGCTAGTAATTTCAACTGAACCTATCCTAGCCTTTACAATTTTACAGCTTACATCTTTATTTTTTTCCATATTTGAGTTAAAGGTCTTATTTCCTTTTAGAGCTGACATCTTTATTTTTTCTGTATTTGCTTTAAAGGTCTATTATTCTATCACTTTGTGCATTATTGCTGTCACTGGTGTGCTGTGACATCCTTGTCAACATAAAGCACTGGTTTAAGCTCCATCAACAACTCAATAGCTGAGGTTCATTTGTTAAGAAATTTAACATGTGAATATCAGAATCAGACATCACTCTATTAAATAGTGGCATACAAATTCAAACAATGAAGCTGAAAATCTTCAATCTACATGGACTGTATAGTAGGGAGGGAATGAGAGGTGAAAGGGTTAAAAAGATCATTCCATTACTTATTTTTTACCTGATGTTTTTATCTGCTGAAATTACAGTAATTTTTATTTGTTTAGGCTGTTAATTGCCATTATTTTAGAACTTTTTATTCTATTTTCCAAAAACGTAAGTTAAAATTGATGTATATACTCCATTTCTTTTATTAATGCGACAACGGTTTTACAGTTGAATACCATTTATAAAACTATAAAAATAATATTAAGATTATATATCTTTGATTTTTAAGATGATTGCAGTATTGACTTAGTGTGAACTGAGTAGCTCTGAAAATTTCATATTTATAGTCACAAAAACAGTTGGTAATATCCCTCCTTGATCTTGTTTTTAAATTAACATATTAAAACCTAGTGATGTTTCTATCCCACCCATGTAGCTTAATCTTGTATTAATACACATCTATTTTAATTTTGATTCAACATCAAATTTACTTATTCAAAATAATAACTACTATACATATAACTTGCCATACACTTTTTTGATTGCCTTTTAAAGTCCTTGTTGATATTGGTCATTTAGATGTTTTATATAATTTATTTTTCTGTTCCATTTCTGCAGTGGTTTTATTTATCATTTGTATAATTTCTTGATCTCACTGTTGTGTTGATGAGTTAAATTTTGCAGTTTGTAAAACCAGTCAGTAAAGATTTCAGTTTTCATACTCAGTCTGTGAAGATTTCAGTTTTCTGATTTTATGAGTAGTACACATAGTGACAATCATGATCTGTCCTTCAAAAATAATAATTGTGCATGATACTTTTTTTGTGCCAAGTTATTGATTTACCGGAACACAATTCTCTTTACTCATCGACTTAAACATGTTGGGGTTGAACCCATTCCAATATTATTTTCTAGAAATATATCTATTGTGTGTTTCCAAGTACCCCAAAGACTTCTTTTTAAATTATCATTTAACAATTAACAACGTTCATTAAATTATTGTATATACTTCCAATGTATTGTTTTTATTTTTAATGCAAATAACATGCAGTTGGTCCTTGTATAATTTCTTTACATTATAACACAAAATAAATATGTACAATACATCGTAATATTAATTGACACTGATGTCTAAATTCTTGGGCAGTTATGTGTTAATAATGTTTATCTCATTCAGTTTAGACTATGTTGGGCTGCTGGTCATCTCACTTTCATAATGTGAGATTTATAGTTATGGAAATAAAAACTTTTTTTATGTTGTGATTAAGATTTTGATTTGAATATACATTTTCTGTTTGCACATACTATTCATCAATGAGTTTTCCAAATAACATTTCTAATTCATTTATGTATCTTTTTTTTTGTTTCACATATCAGTTTTAAGAGAGAACCTAATTATTATTGAATAACATTTTGGCAGATATCAAATTAATAAAACTCAAATGTTTAGTTGTTATCTATGGGAATAGGTATGTTAATTTATGGCTTTTTGTATTAAAAATTAAAAAAAAAACCCAATTATTTTGACATGTGCCTTTTGCTTCTAGCCCTTAGTCTAATGTTCAAGGAATAAAGTTACTCTTAGCAAAGCTGTTGCTTAATTACTACCAATGCAGGCTGAATCTGCTGTATGTAGCCACTAGCAGTGTGTACAGTTCTGACATATAATTTCAATATTTGCACCAAATGTTTTCCTTTGGATTTTTAGATTGTATCAATGATTCAAATGTTAATGTTCATTTATATGATGTTGAATAAAGTAATCAAGGCACTTAAAAGTATTAATTACTTGTATTTGTTTTATTGTCAACAGACCAAATTTATCTGTAGAAAATTCTCTTTTCAAAACAGAAAGGATTTCCTGTTGTTTTTAGCAAGAAGATTTTAATAGGTACAACTCTATATGCAACAATACATTTCTAGAACAATGAGTCATTCACAATTTGAACTTGCTGTTCATTACTAGACGGTGATTCTTCATAAATTCCAATTTGTCGTTTCCAAAGGGCTATCTTACAAACATATCGATTCTGTGTATGTCCAATTTTTGGCCCTCCATATTTCTTATATTACTTCCTCTTCTGTTATTGTATACAGAGATTAAATGAAACTACAGTTAAAAATAAATGCATAAAAAATCTTTTGTTTTCTTCCCTTTATTCTTTTATTTTTATTATTACATATAAATCTATGTACAGTAACAATTATTCATTTATAACAAATATTCATACTTTCTCAATACATAAAAATGGATATTTTAAATTTAATCAACAATGGGGAGTTTTAAATTGGTTTTTAAACAATATGGCACATACAGATGAGGTTTTTAGTTTTTAACCTTGATATTTTATCACAATACCTCAATAAATTCCTTATTAAAACAATAATCTAAAACAAAGGTTACATTATCATTCTAACACACACCTTACATGTATAGGCAGTGTTTGAATAAAACAAATATACAGTATAAAGAAAGAGTAATAACTTAAAAATAGTATACTAATAACAGCCCTTGAGTAAAATAACTAAACATTGGTTATTTCATGTTTGTTTTCTAAAGTTTATTGTTTGATATGTAAGCAAGCATTATATATTTCAGTGAAGATAATATCACAGTAACTTGACTAGATGGGACTCACGAATAATAAAACATAGTGGTGATAAGCACTAAAAAAATAGCCTTTGAAAGGTTAAGTTATAATATTAAAGACATAACAAGGAAAGTATAATGCCTTAACTTTTAAATAAATATAGCTTTGTAAGTTAATTGAATTACATTTAATACAAATAATAGTAATTTACTATTGTATTTTAATCTCAGTTTATTGAGAGCTTTAAATAAAAACCCTGAATAGTTTAGTAAAAAAAATAGTTTAGTTAACAAAACTCTATAGAAAATGAAGTGAAATAAATTGTCTTTTTTCCCTTCTTAAATATTGTCAAAAGACTAAAGATTCTCAGCAAAATAATACATATAGTGCAGTTAACCTTTATGTAATAAGAATTAAAATAATATATTTTATAAAATAATATCTATCAATGATGGTAAGAACTAATCAACACAACATAAACCATGACTCCATGATCAGATTTAAGTGGGAGGAAGTAAATAAAAATCTGAATCACCCCACTTTCTACATCTGGTTAATGAAACTCTATCTTATCACAAACAGTCAAGTATTTCAACACAAATTTTCCACTTGTGACAAGCTCAAATAATGTATAAATACGCAATAAGCAAAAACAGTTATATATTAATTAGCAAGTATAGATATTAAGATACAAAGTGTATTTGTAGATAAGTGGATCCTACAGAAATTGTTTTTTTAAAACAACCCTGTAAAATAGATAACATTTGCTTAGCAAAATGTCTTTAAAAATATTGGCTATTTTTATATTTTCTAATAGTTAGCACTCTTACAAATAAGATACTTACAAATGAGATATGGGATCAATATAAAAATATATTACTAGAAATTAAAAGCAGTTATGTATATTTTAGAAATGGTCCATTTATTAGCTCCTGTGACCTGTCTATATTATAAGCAAAGCAAATTAAAATACAGAACTATTATAATTCTCTTTACAACAACATGGCAACATTAACGTTTGAAACAAGTATTTAAATAAAATCTCTTTATGTAACTTATGTGTAATGTACAAGACCTAGTGCACTAAAATAAATTGTGGAGTAGTGCTTTGAGAAATTAAACATACTTCACTAGTCACTACTTTTATGTTTGCAACTTGTCATGGAGATTTTTTAAAAAAAATCACATTTGCTGAATCATTTATTTTGTGCATTAAAATTTATTGCAGTAAAAACTCAAAGAAATTTTTTAAAAATTGTATGCTCAATTAATTATTTTCCACCAGAAAATTATTACAGTAAAAACTGTAAACACCTATAAACAAGAACTTGTCAAAAATCTTTCTTAAAGAACAGGGAAATGAATAAATAAATAGAATTAAAGCAAGCTTTCATCAACAAGCCATATACTCAAATGTATCAAGAAATTTATAGAAGTATGGAGCATCATGGAAGTTGTGTTCACTAGTGAGATGTGTGATTACCCTGCCCAGAACCAGATGGCGTCCATAGGCTATTGCCTCAGATCTGTCAGATGCTAGCCCAGCCCTCAGCAGCCAATCACATAAAGCAGTGCCAGTGAAAACTTGATGGAATGTGCGGAACCTAAATCTGGATAAACAGAATAATTGTATTTTTTTAATCAATTCTAAAAAAAATTTTATAAAGATTTTTTTTTATTAGTAAGTGAAAATGCATTTAAAAAAGCAGCCTAACGTAAAGTGTTTTTCTTCTTCTGCACTTTAAACTTGCAGGAATTAAAGCGAAAGCTGAAAAATTCTAAATTATATTGCCAATATTCTTTAATTGTTTACTTGTTCGCTCAGACAAAGAGCTATAGTCAAACATGATTTGCCAGTTCTACATATTTTTTTTCTACTTCTGTTTGTTAAATATTGTTATACACACAGCGCAATATTTTATATTTGGCTACTCCAACAAAATCTTTGAAACCACCTTAAACAGTACATAAAAGCACATAATACATAAAAGTACATAACTATTTGTAAGGGGCAATGTTTCTTATAAAACTTAAGGCAATAAATAAAATCTAAGTTCATGCTTTAAAAAATTCATGCAAGAGACAAAATGGTTAGGTGTCACAGCCTTCAATAACAGTTTATGGGTTGATAAAAAAAAGAATTGTTTTTTTTGCCAAGATGCTTAAGATGTTAAAAAATTAAAGCTATACCAATCAAAAGTATGCAAAAGGTACAATATTTTCATTTTGAATTTGAATTCTTAAAAAATATCAGAAAGCTTTTATAAATTGTAACTGTTACAAAAAAAAAATGATTAAGTATACTAGATTTAATAGAGCAGTAAAGGTTGAGATACTCCTTGTTTTTGACAGCTGTAAACATAAGCTTTCATAGCTTGTCTTCCCAACACAGTAACTCCCCAATCAATAATGTACACCACTCCCAGCCCTACTCCAGGTGTCTAGCTATACCACCACCAGGATGTTTTGATACAATCAAATCCCTTCACTTTTCAAACAAATTAAACATGATGAAATAATATTCAAGGATGAAACCTTGTAACTTAAATTCAAGAAACTGAAACCACAAACAATTCATCAAAATAATGCTGATTCTGTACATCAGCAACAGTATTTTTCACAATAATCACAATAATAATAATAAAAAAAAAACATGGAGAAGAACAAAGTAAAATAAAGAATTACCATAGTATTATTCATGTAAGTAAAAGCTACTTTTTAATGTTCGCAGGGAGCTAAAGAATGTTACAACAGTTAGAGTTACCTCCAACAAAATAGATTTTTTTAAAAACTTGGGAGCCTTAGTTTATGAGCATTAATTAAGTTTTGAGGTATTCAAACAGGTTATACCTAACAACGTGGATGAAAAAAAAGTTATATATTAAGAGTTTGATGGGTGTCAATAGAAAGCAAAACTTGAATGGACCTGCACAAGCTTAAAATTTAAAAAATATTAATTGCTAAGTTGAGTTAGGCCAAAAGAAAATAACAATACTATTTTGCTCACCTCACACTATTTTCATCCTTAATTTATAGGGACTGATACATGAAGAGTAAAATTAAATGAGGATGTACAAAACATTAACATTTATTTCAATATTTTAATGCTTATGAATTAACTTAGAATATTCAATTAGAATTTTAAAATAAGTAATTGCATTTTTAAAAAATAAATCCATTCTTTTATCTCAGTAAAGGGAGGGCATGGACTATGGACTAGAAAAAGGATAATTTTATTTTATAACATAATTTAGTCACAATTTTTATGGTACCTACTGTCATGTATAGAGATAATTGACTATCAATTGTGGCAGTACAAGATGACTGACCAATGAAAATACAGAGATGACTGACTAACATTGAAAATACAGAGGCAGGTGACCATTATGACAGAACAGTTATATATGGCTGTCAACTATGACAGTACAGAGATGACTGATTACTGATATTTAAAAAGATTACAGAATTTCTCTCACAGAAATAATGTTCAATTTTAATTGCATTAGTTATTAATAAAACACTTGTAAAAAAACCTTTTAATAAGAAACTTTTGAATGCACTGAAAATTAAAAAAATAATAACATAGAGCTTGCTTCCTTTAACAAAAGCATTTATCACCAAAATGAGTAAGAGATTTTACTAGTGTCCTATACTTCTATTAAAAGAAGCAAGTGTTTTTTTCCCCAGTGCATTTAAAGCTATACAAATTTTTTTACAAGCGTTTTATTTTCTGCTTCTTTAGTTATTCATAAAAATAAAAAATAATATATTCTTCAATTGTAATCAAAGACAATGTGTCTGAATGTTTCAATGAAATCACTGCAGTAAGTGGTTCAAAAGTGAGTTACATGAATTTCCCATTACCCACTAACAGACACTGAACTAAATAAAAGCTTCTAAAAAAATCATTAGTTTCTTGAAAAATGATTATTGTTAATTGTTTCAGAGCCTGTAAAACATGACATATTAGCTATAAACATAAAATCATTTAACTTCAGCACGAGGCCACAGATCAAAATTTGGGCATACATGTAAACAACTTTAACACATGAGAGTCATTCAGTCTTTAGATCAGTGATGAATATATGATAAGCTGAGTATTGAGGGTTGCTGGGAGTATCAAGCTGTTACATGAATAAATAATTCATCCATGCATTGCTAATCAGCCTGCTTTTACCTAAGGCATTATGAGAGACTATAAAGCCATAACCCATAGTGTTCAACAGATGTTCAGTTTTAATTTATATGCTACAACAGTTACAGTTTATTGGACACTAAATAAAATAAACAGATTTCTATTGAATGGAAAGACAATTATTGTTTTATAAAGTAATGATAATTTAATAAATAAAGTGACAGATCAAATAATATTACAAAAAAAGAAGTATTACATTAATTTTTAAAACATTTTTAAGGCTAAGTCAAACTTTTTGTTTTCAAATTAGTTTTTAAAGAATATTTTTGACTAGGTTATTTTAGTTTATTACTCTTTTTTTTTCTTACTGGACTTAGCTCCTAGCAAGTTCATGGATGTATGTAAATAAAGCTGAAGCAGATTAGTGAAACAACACAAACCATTACGGTTAGGCCAGCTTAACACAACATGGGATACACAACAGGCATCTGCTGAGGAGAGAGTTAGTGTACAAGTATGGCACCACTATTGTGTACTCAGGATATGAGGTTACCTGTACACATTTAGGATTAGGGCTCAAGTGACTAATCTAGCATTTGATATACACCTATTCTGTTAGGTTAAGGTTAATGAATAACACAGATGTTTAAGGTTAATCAATACCTGGGCATCATATTGCAACATTGTGTAATCACAGCACTGCATTATGTGACTAGTAATCTGAGAGAACTATTAGCCTTAAAAAAAATTTCTAGCTAGATTTAAACCACTGAGTCCTGTTAAATGTTAGATGCAATTTTTGGAGGATTAGAAGATTAATAGGTTCAATATAAGGAATTAAAACCCTCATTCAGGTAGATATATGGTGTCAATAATATAGACATATCTGGTGTTGAAAATCTAAGTTTTCTTCTGTATTACCCTTTCACAACAACCTTTTAGGACATTAAAAATATGAATGAAAAAAATAAAAACAAAGGGTTTCTGTGAGTGTGAGAGGAAACACAAAGTGAATGTGGTAAAATCTAATGGTAGATCAGTGGGGCAAACCTCTAGGGGAAAAACTAAAAGCTCTCACTAATTAGTGCAAAAACTACTGTGAAGAATACTTTATAATAGTTAGATACAGAATTTCCAGTGTCATCGCCCCCCCCCCCCTCCCCGGTGAAAAAAGTCTGGAAGAAACACTGGTTAGATAGTCAACAATAAGTCTTGTCTTAATACAAATCTGGTTGCTAGCAAAACTGCATTAAAACCAAACAGGAAGGGTTTGCATCAGGAGAACTTTTAGACAGGAAAAGCCTACCTTCTGTCTCTGACAATTTCCTTAGCACAGTTCTCCTTGTGATACTCTTCAAACTGTTGGCAGGTTTGTTTAGTGCTGGCATCCAACTCACTCAGTTTTGGCAGACGCAGCACTTCTGCTCCAAACAGTAGACGACGCAGCCTAAGAGGCAATTGAAAAATAGTTTAAGTAAACAAACCAATTAATGTGACAGGAAGTCAATAGACTGGGACAAACTAGGATATGGCTCTAACAAATCCTTATGTGTAGTCTTACAACTTTGGTAAAGGATAAACTACTTTATTGCTTATGTGAAGTTTTAGAACTTTTGTTAAGAACAAACTACTTTATTGCTTATTTAAAATCTTACAACTTTTGTTAAGGACAAACTAGTTTATTGCTTATGTGAAGTCTTAGAACTTTGTTAAGGACAAACTAGTTTATTGCTTTAACAAAATCGGATGTGTAGCCTCATAATTTTTAACTTTTGTTAAGGATAATCGATACATTTACACAAAAAAATATAAAACACTTGGTACATTTACACACAAAAACACTTGGTGTGTTTGTAGCCATAATTAGCTGAAAAAAGCAATACATTAACAACCAAGAAAAACTACACATAAGTGCATGTAAACAAATAGATAAAAGTTTATAAATACACATAAGCAAAGTAAAACCATGAGATTTTACATACATAAAGAAAGAGAAAAAAAAAAGCAGTACCAATATTTAAAAGGTGTAAGAAAGTGGCCCAACAGGTAAGTAAAGGTTGCACCATACAAAACACCTGAGCTTATTTACTAGTGACTCAACAAGTCATGAATAGTCAGGTGAGGTTTAAGTCAACAATACCTCACCAACTCACAGTGAGTGCTCAAAATCAACATGGTCGTTGAAACTACCCTCAGAGTTGTTGACCATCACTTGGACATTGGGCTACAAATGGTTTCTTTACATCCTTTAACCTAGCTCTCTGCTGACATCATACAGCTGTTGCTCTATCTTTAGCAATGGTCATGTCTGACCTTACAAACCATTAACTAAACAAAAACTTCACACATGAACTCAAGTCAATGGGGTTTACTGAAGTGTAAGAAGGTGGGGTAAATGCAAGCAAATAAAGCTGGTTGTTAAATTTCTTCCCAACAAAAAAGAGAACGTTTAATTTTACTTCCTTGATGCTGAAAATGTGAAGTTTGATTCATCGAATCTAAGTGTAAAGCACAGAGGGAGAAAAGCCTTGAATCTTGTACAAATACAATTTATCAAGAGCTGCTGGAGCAGTATTTACTTTGCAGGTGTGTAATTTTAGAAGATTTTTTTTTCTACTGAGGTAAGCTAAGATTAGCAAGGTGGCAACATGCTGGAGCTGATGTTTAACACATTCTGCTATATGGAGGATGATTTAACAAACAACTGATGTTGTAGGGCTGTCTCAAATCTGATAAGAACAAGACTTTCTCTATACTTCGTATATACGAGAAAGTAAAAAAGATAATTGCTTTCTTTGTTTGGCTTTGAACACTATAATTGTGTGTTGTTTCCACTCAATGATAGGAAGCAATTACTGTAGATTTCTACAATAGAAACCCCTGATTTGATCTGATAGAAATAGAAGCATGGTTTAAGCTCAACTAAAACTTATTTTAGCACAAACATTTAAATCAATGTTCTGTTCTAGTGAATAAAATATATTTTTAAGCACCATTATTCAAAATAGATTTGCGCATACATAAAATACTTTTTGGTGGTGTGTACATTACATAAAGATAAAATATACATGGGACAAAGGATGAAAAGCAACATTTACAATCTTAATTAGGCCCACAAAAAAAAAAGAGAAAAACAAATTTAGTAAAGTGACTCAGGTAGTATTGACATGTTCCATTCAATAGCTTTAACCCAGCTGATTAAGTTAGTTGCGTAGCAGACAGCATTTACTTTTTTCAGTACTTAATTGTAATGTCAATATAGAAACAGGGTCAGAGCTGAGACCTAAAGGTGCCTAATGAATAAAGGTTTGTGACACAACTAAAAAGAATGTGACAAATTAAGAATTATGATGTAGACAACATAGTTCTAGCGGCAGCATGCATGCTTAGCTTATCCCCCTTGGAACTACCCAAACTATATAAACTAGGTGAGGAAGTAAAAGCCTGGTTTAAGGCCATGGGTCTAGTGCCTGGGAACATGAGTGAGAAATAGCCTGTCTAGCTTTTCTATAGCTGACTACATTAGTATGACAGAGAGAGAGAGAAAGAAAGAGATCTAAAGTCACTAAAAATGACAAATCTGAACAAGAGAAAAGCGTGTGGAAGCAGAAAATAAAAAACAAAGTACTGACACTCAAGTAACAACTATTTCTTTTGTCTACCACACAAAGGTTTGACAGATAATACAAGACATGCAGACTAAAAAACCCACTGTTACACAGAGAAGGTTTTATAATAGTACCTAACATAAACAGCATAAACCCATCTATACTTAGACATTTTCCTGTGTAGCCAGAGAGATCAAGCAAATAACAGTTCAATAAACTTGTCAGTAAAAATGTGAGAACAAAAATAGGTTGCTAAAAAAATCTCTGCACTTGTAAAGTACATTCTTGGGAGTTATTTTAGTTAAATTGTATACTAAAAAATAAAAAATATCTTACAGTAAATAAAATCCACTAGTAATTAAACAAAATTTAAAAAATTAATTATTAAACTTTTTAGACAGTAGAGAACACAACAGCAAGTAAATAAAATAAATTCCTTTATATGTTTTAACTTTTAGTGCAGTGGTTCATAACCTGGGTTTGATTGAACCCCAAGGGTTTGGTGAGTAAGTCTCAAGGGTTCAGTGGAAGTCAAGAGACACAACCGACTCATATGAGTTTAGCATTGCAGACGATAAGACTATTAAGGAGGGGGGGGGGGGGGGGGGGGGTGTTTGGTGAATGTGCATATGAAACAGGTCGAGTTAGGTACCCCCACAAAGGTTGAGAACCACTGTTTTAATGTTAGCAAGGAATGATGTGGGTATGTAAGATTAGAATGTGAGAACTTGTTAACTGTGGAAACAGTAACATGATACACTGAAGACAAAGTCCTGGTTAATAACTAGAGTAGGCCAATTGGTTGTTTGCTGAAGTAAAATACAAACTGTAACAGATGGACTTGTCATTAACATATGCTGTCAAGTCATCAACATATGTTGTAGGAATTGATAGAGAACAGGAAAACCTGTTACCAACATTCAAATTCTAATTACCATGCACATGAAATATATTAAATGCTTAAACTGGAAAGTTTTCACTGTTAAATAAGAAACCCACAATTTTTAATTTACACATGTTTCTAATCCCCAAGTACTTTAATTTGAATACTAATTAATTTCAAGATATAACAAAGACACACCACTTTGAGATCATTCTTTATGGAATAAGTAGTTAAAAAAATATTCCATTAGTGGAAAAATAAATCAATCTTTTTTTTTAAAGTACAGGAAGTCTATGATAAACAAAACAAATAGGATAGAGCTAAAAATAGGATATGGTTTCCACTTGTAGTGTAAGGGAGGTAACTAGTGATTTATTCACAAACAAATAATATTGTAGTTCTTTCTCCTGGTATGTACTATATTAAATGTATAAATAATTCAATTTCTTTTATGTATGCAAACATTGCTATGATTGCAAACTATTTTTTTTTAAACTTCACAATAATTTATCTAAATAAATTAATCAATCAGTAACTTAATATGGTGCAAGTCAAAATAAAGGAATCAAGCATATTAAACCTTCCATCAACAATTTTAATATATCTTAATTTTTAAAAATGCTAAAAGTTGAAATTCCTAGGTCATGTAGAACTTCACCTAAGGAAAGCAACATGTAAAGAAATAGAAATTCTTACCTTCTAATTATTGGTGAAAAAACAAGTCGAGTGTCAAATCCAAATACCATTAGAACTAACAGACCCTGAAAATATGTGAAAAGCTTGCAATAATAATAGGTTAACTTGATTATATTGTAACATTAGGGAATTTAAAAGTTAGAAAAACCAGATGAATCTTGCACACAAGAGTTTAGCTAAAATTTAAATTAAAAAAATGTATTCTTTACAATTTCATAATTTCTTTAAAAAAAAGAAAAGAAAAAAAAAGAAAAACACTAATTTACCTGTCCATAGTTAAAAACACAATCAAGAAACTCAATCTCCACATAAATGCCTGTTGGCTGACTCTCAAATATACGCCAACCACACAAAAACAAACCCTGAAACAGTTTTTAAAATGGCATTGAATTAACAAGGTATTAAAAAAACATTTGAAATAGCCCAACAACCTAAAAAAATAAAACCAGGCTTACAATGAACATAGACAACAGCAAGAGTAACAGCAGTATCATGTGATGGACTGTTTGATATTCCTCTTTATTCAGCTCCTTCACGGACTTCATCTCTTCCTCCTGCGGGGAGTCCCCATTGACCAGCACATTGGCGGTGTAGGACCTGAGCCTGTCCATGCAAGCATGACGCTGCTCTGTGCTGCACTGGTTTAGCAGACAGGTCCTCTCTGATATGGCTTCCATGGCTTCTGCTCCATTCGCCTCAAACTCACTGTACACGTTGTCTGAGTATTTCTCCATGTAGGGGACCAGATCTTCTATGCTAGTTGCTAAAAGGTAAAAATAAAAAATAATATTAATTTAAGAAAACTGTTATAGTGCTGAAAATACAATGCTGTTCTGTGACAATGGAGCATCAATTATTTACTTGGCTTTTAAACTCAAAACATGCAGTATCAACTGTACAGTAGACAAATGTATATGCAATTTTTGTAAAATCAATGTACATTTATATTCATATAGGAATTATGGTACGGTTGTTGATCACCTAAAATGCCTAAACACTAGAAAGGAAATATTTGCAATGTTCTAACATAATACTTTGCACAATTTTAATTTGGAGTTTAAAATTAAATATTCATTTGTGATTTAGTTTTTATTGGACATCTGCTTTGTTCTATGTACAATTATTTTTAAAAGTTTGACTTCAACAAAAATGGATGTAATAAAGCAAGTTTTACAATGATGAACATTTTCCCCTTTTAAAAAAAATTTAACTTTTGTGAAAGAGTCATAAACAATATTCTTTTTATAGGACTTGCGTTTGTGTGACAAATTTCATATTGGTTAGTGAATGTAAAATGCCTTTGGCTCACCTTTTTTCAAAGTTTGCACTTCGTTGCAAGTTTGATAATTTCCACGAACTCTGGGTTTCATGTCAGCAGTTTCCTGAACCGACAAATCATTTTCTTCCTCAATGATTGGCTGCTTATCACTTTCAATACAGCTGTCTTGTCTGTCTGTCAGTGACTGCCTGGCTGCCCTTGCACTGGCCACACTGCTTTGCCTCTGGAGGAGTCTCTCAGCCTGCTGGTGTAGTGCATGCCTCTCCATCCTTTGCCACCAGACCAGGCAGGAGATGGTCATGATAATAGATAGTGAGAGGATCACCAGGGAAAAGGCAGTCTGTGGACAAAGGTTGTAGCATTGTCATATACACAGCACATCTATATGTTGGTCAAATGACATTTTACTAAGCTGATCACTATGTTCCTCATCATCAATTCTGAATGTCCATTTTAAAATACAATTGAAAACTAAATCGGTTATATAATGTTCTAAAAAAAAAGATCACTAAATTGATGTTTATTTGGCATATCACACAGTTAGTCTTATCATCCTTATGCCATTTTATGAAGCTAATCACTACATTTTTCATGTTTTATGTGACTAAAATCGCAATTTTCATACTGTTTTATCTGACTTATCACAAAGTTGGTCATATGATATTCTTTGAAGCAGATCATTATAAACTAATACATTTAAGAATTGAGTTGTTAGTTAAAAATGTCTGTAAAGAAATTACACTTTGGTCATAGAATAACCCTTAACAAGCAAGAGGGATTATGACCAGGAAAGGTTTAATAAATGAGTTTTATAAACATCAGTTATTAAGTAAATTACCTGCAGGGAACCATAATGGAAAGCTGGATCAATCTCACCAGCCAAGTCATGTGATCCCATTAGGAAAATAATGCCAGTCACAAAAACAGGAACTCTGAAAATATTGTGACAAGGTTTATGAGGCTATTTAAGATGTTTTATTAAAGGGACATCATCAGGCAACTGCTTTTAATTACTAAATTAGTTATGCACTGGTTTATGCAATATATCATGGTTTAGTTTTTAAAAATACTATAGTCTAATAGGTATAATATGACTATAAAACAAGTATGTGTATGAGTTACATCAACATGGAAACTCTCCCACTCCCATAACAACATCTGTAAAAAAAGCAGATTATAACTAGAAACATTCAAAAACTCACCCAAAGCCCAAGAAATAGAACCAGATCTGTTTGCGCAGGACAAAGCACAGGCTGCGTATGTGGAGCATACAAAGAGCAACAGCAATAGCAGCAGTCCAACAGCGTGTTGAGAAGACCCCCACCAGAAGAAGGATAATGATGGGGTAGTGGTGCCAGCCTTGTGAGTCTCCGTGGTAGTAGAAAGTTATCATCCCAATACAGGCAAGTATCTGTTGACATAATGAGGCAAGTAGAGGATGGATTAGTCAACACATCTCTACCTGGTTTAAGGTGGAGAAAATATAAACGTAGCTGTGTTACAGCCACATTATTCCTTCACATGCCATGGGTGATACTAGAACTGTTTGACACACTGGTCATTAGGTCAAAGGTCATTTACCTTATACTTTTATTAAAATTCACAGTCCTGAATACAAAAACATCAGACTAGAAAACTTACATGAGAGAACATGAAGGCTATGGTAAAGCGATGAGGTATCCTCCTCCACTTGCCACTCACAAAAAACAGACCCATCACCCACAGCTGGAAATAAAAAACATTAATTAGAAACTTCATCATTAATATCAGCATTATTCATGTCTTAGAGTTTAGTGTGGAATTTTTTTCACCATCCCTGTGAATTTCTCCCCTTTTCATTTTTTTAGTTCCCATATGGCCAATCTTTTTAACCATTTATTTAAAGCTAAACATTGTATGTTGTAGTTAAATGCTCTACAATATAATATTTAAAAAGTAGTGATCTATTAATCAAAGAAAGAAATGTATTTAATTTAGCAGAGAAAAAAATTATGAACAACTTTTCTTTGCAAATAAAATTCACTTAGTAAGGAAAATGAATACAGACATTTTTTAAAATAATTGTTTTGTTAATAGCAAACAAAAGTATGTTCATTTTGCCGTTCAAATCATAGATTAAGTTAGTATTGCAAACACTTTGTTTGACTTACACAGCAGGTAATGCTGATGATACTGACATCTAATGATGTGTCACTGAGGATGTTTTGGTAGTCAGTGCCAGTCACTACAATCAGAGTGATCATTTTGGCAGACACAAACATCAGAGGAGCCGACAAAAATGTCCCTAGCACCAGACCAGTGGCAATCTGTCACAATACAAGCATTTTTATGTACAAATATTAGAAAATATAAAAATTTCAAATAAACTTTAAAATAATACCACTTATCAAAATGATAAGACAACAAAAAGTATTTGAGTATGGTGACTTACCACATCTTCTGCGATGCCATAGTCACTTGCATATAAAAACACAGAGGGTGCTGATGGGAAAGTACCATAAAGAAAACCATACATGCTGAACGATGTTGATCCATTTCCACTCTCAAGCCACCCAACCACTTCCCATGTAACAAGGGGGAGAATCAAGCTGTCAAGAAAAAAATGATTTTATTCTATAAAAACTCATTTTTTATTTTCTATTGGCACCACAGCCTTTTTAAACATTGGGTTTTGGAAATAATGTTGATTTAAAAATATACATTTAATGAAAATTTCAAAAGAAATGCAGAATTACATAACATGAGAAGTAAAGAAATAAAATATGATGTTTCTTCACTTTTGTTTGGAACATATTTTCTGTGTTGGATTGCTTGATACCATTAAAAAAAAATTATTCTATATACCTGAGAACTTATTAAAACTATACTGTTTACAGAGAAATGTAAGACTGATAATGACAACAATGAAATAGAAACTTGCTCTAAGATAAGCTTGTAAGAAAAAATAGGCTTACGTTTTGGCTGTGATTAGAAGTACGGGTACCACTAGCCCTATTCCCAGTTGACTTCTGACTTTGCCTACCATACTCAAACCCAAGTAGAATAGTGCAGAAGCATTGTAAGCATCTCCTGAAATAGAAACAAAGTTTAACAAACATGTTATATATTGCTAAGGGAAGGAAATAAAAGATAAATATTAAAATAAATTAATGATACAACCATTACTGAACGCCACTTAATTTACAATATGGTTGCTTTTTGAGAATAGTAGCTAAATTCATCATGTACAAGACTGAACATGAGAATAATAAGGCTATTTAGTTAAAACACGTTGTGTAAGTTCCTTACCCAACACAGTGAGAATGTCATTTAAAATGATAGGAACAGAGCCAGAGAAGATGAAGTTCCCTATAACACCTATTGCAGTCATGAAAACAATGGGGTTTAAAAAAATCCCCTTGACAACGTGCATCAGGGCTGTGCCAACTTTAGAGCCGCTTGAGTCATCACGCACAGTGCGATGTTTATGTATCTCCATAAGGATGAAGCCAATGGGGTTTAACAGGACCAGGGAAATGGGAGCAATAAGGTAGAGGTACTTCAGGTACTCTGGGTGAGTACTCCCATACAATGCTTGTACTGCAGGAATAAATAGAGTATTTTTTGAGAATTTAATGAGCTGAGTTTACAGGTATTGTTAATCAGTTTAAAGTACAATGTAAACTTTGTTGAGTGAAAAATTGATGGTTGTAAAAGCAGAATTGCCTACAATATTCTACAAAATACATTTGATGGTACTCTAGGGTGGGTAGAGGTTTTTCATGCTTTTTCTATACTGTAATGTTTGTCTAAAATGTATTTTCTTTATTTTTAAGCAAGTGTTCATTTGTTGTGTAAACTTTATGTACTTGATTTTTATGATCTACTACAAATGCAACTAAAATTCTTATTTAAGCTCTGACAGATATAGAAAGTGTGGCAGTGAGATAATATTTAAATTCTTTTAGACTTACCTATTGGGTAACCCAGAGCAAAGTCATTACTTTGTGTGGCAAAGATACCAAATATAGCTGCATATCCCAGATTTAGTGGCCGCTTAACTAACAGTGTCACCAGCCCAACCACAATAAATATTGAAACTTTTGCTATAAGGACCCCTACAAGAAACATCCAGTTCACCTATTGGGAGAATACACAGACAAAAAAGTTGAAATCATATTAAGATTATTCCACTATTCTATTAAAACAATTGATAACAAATAGGCCTATTAAGAATAATTTTTAATTTAAAAATATATATTAGGCCTATAAAAACAAAGTATTTAAGCAGGGATAATGTAATGATTCTGGAAATCTATAGATATAATAACATAAAAAGAATTTACCTCAGAAAAGTTGAGCTCACACATACTTTTGAACAACAAAGCTGGGAGGCAGAACTTGGAGACAAATGTTCCAATTCCTGAACTTTGATTGGGTGAGATAAGTCCAGCCCTTCCAGCTATGTAGCCAGATAGTATGATGACAAAACATTGGATGATAGCTCGATAAAGATGGTCAAATGAAACATCGCTGACATTCGATGACAGAGCAGCATTTAATATTGTTTCATTCATTTTAAAGCTGTTATGTGTTAACTGAAAAAAAAAATCTCTATGTTGTTGGGGCAAATAACATAATCAGTAAAAATATGTTTAAAATCTTTTTGGTTTTAGTAAGAACAGTTAATCATTAGAGAAAAAACTTATCTTGCTAATTTACATGGATTTGGTAAAATAAAGAAAAACAAAACTTTTTAATGCTATTATATAGCATAATGTAGGAACTCTGTAATCTCATTAAATAATTAATTAGTAAATTGATTAAACGGATCTATTTAAATTAGATTGTTTTTATAGTCTAACTCTATGGTATTGCTGGCTAATGTCAATGCTAACCCTAACCCCAGTCCAACCATACGCCTAACCTTATTTTATTTTCTAATTACTAATTATAAAATTAGTCGAGATTACAATACTACTAACAATCCAACACTATTTAATATTTATGGATGAGTCTATTATCGGACATCTGTATCTAAAATCATCCCACACAGAATTGTAGAATAGGTTGGTTTCAATTTTAACATTTTACCCACTCTCCACTTTCAGTTTGTTGATTACTATTACATCCAGCAAGGTTCTACTTAACTACAAATACAATCTACAGCAGTACAGCTGAAACTGTTAATAAATTGGCCTGCTACTACTTAATACTACTAACTACTTGTACTAAAATTAATAATACACTCAAGTCACTCATAAAAAAGACATAGATCTAATACTTAATAATAATAATAGTAATACACTCAGTGTGTCAGTGACTCAGTAAAGTTTACCTAGTCTGAGTAGACTAGGTCCACAGCCACAGCCGAGGCAAGTCCAGTCAGAGACTGGCAGTCAGAGAGGTGAGAGTACACAGTACATTACGTACGTACTTAGTAAAAAAAAGTTATGTAATTGTTTCGTAATAAATACGTACAGATTTAAAATTTGGTAATCAAGAGAATCTAGGGTAATCTATCGTTTTGGGTACGTAAAATCGCCCGCGGCTATTAATGTACGAAAACGTTACCTCATTGTCAAGGCTGTAATAGAAGTATATTGTGATATGTTTGTGTCAAATATTATAGATAAATGAATAATAAACCTAAATCAATGGCTAAATATATTAATATAGGCCAGAAATTAACTTTAAACATCAGTGTCTGCAAGCAAGATTTGCTATATAAACAGCAGCCATTTGTAAAATAGAGTGACTTCCGCCTGAATATAAGACTATAAGTCTATAAAAATAAAACTTTAACAAGATGGCTGCTATAGTAAATAAGCATGGTTGCATCTGTTGGAAACATCGCTGGTGTTCATTTATTACTGAAAAGTTTTAATTCAATTGTTTAAAAACAGGTACATAAATGAAACAAGAAAACATTTTTGTATTTTTCAAAACATAAATCCTCCTCAAAATGTGAAATAATTATTAAAATGTAAGGAGTCACCTGTTTTTCACATTACTAGTCGCGGGCGATTTTACGTACCCAAAACGATAGATTACCGAATCTAGTGACTAGTGCTAGTCTGTAACTGTAACATTCTATTTCTAGAGTAATTTATTTAAACATTTTGGAAATAATTATCTCTATAGCCTAGAGATCTAGAGGCAAATCACATTCTGGCTCGATTCATATTAATTATTTTATAGTCTGGAGTTAGATCTAGAGTCTAGAGACCTAGAACCAGACTAGAGATCTAACTCTTCTTCAATATGTTTCATTTAGGTCAAACAAGATCGGGTTATCATAGATTCTGCTTCCGGGTGAACTACTTACGGTGTGGACTTAAATCTATAGTCATCAATATTGGCCCACTAGGGCCATACACTATCTGATTAATATAAAATTGTAAACAAACTGGATTTAATTGTTTTATCTTCCTATATATACATGGCACAATTAATAAAATGTTATAAAAATGTTGAAAAAGTAGATCTATATTTAGATCTAGATCTAAATCGAGTGGGCATACATCCATCATGCATTCATGGTCGAATTTCCAATTTTCAAAGAAAAATAAAATACAACGAGCCGACCCGCTGCGTATCATACGCCGCTATTTAGTTGTTGTTTTTTTCTACTTTTCAGTAATTCATAATTTGTGAATTCGACAATACCCATGTTGCCACTGAAAATATTTGCTTAATAACACTACCCCCCCTTCCCCCCCCCCCCCACGTGAAAGCAGCCTCCTCTTGGTTACCTCCTCTAAGTTTAAAAACGTTTCAAACTAAATTATCTGCCCCTAATAGCCGTCACCAAACCCGTCTCTATGATTGTAAAATGTAAACAGCGAGACCAGACAATGTGGGGGTGGGGTGGGGGTGGTAGTGATGGTGATAGAGAGAAAGAGAGGGGACTGCAAGGAGGCGCTTGCAGCTTGTTTTCTAACTGATCCCAGAAGAGAATTATATATATATATATAGATATTACAACAGAGATCGAAGTGTCAATATATTTCCTTAACTTGTGTTAAGGCATGGTAATTAATTCACTTTTTAAAGTAGACTATGTCTCAAAACAACAAATGGCCAGTTGTAAGCAAATGGATCGTGCACATATTATGTAACAAAGGCCTTACAAAGGCAGTGGCGGATATTAGTTTACTGATTCAATGAATTTTTAATTGAATAAATTTTTAATTTAGTAATTTAACCTATTTCATTGCAACTTCGTCCATCATGAGACAACAAAACACAAAAATATGTTCAAACTCATTTCGAGCCAGAAATAGTCGAGTTTTAAAATGTTTGATTCTCATTTGCCCGCCGAAAACTGTGAATATTGTTAATTCATATCAGTCGAAAAGGTGAAAAGACATAATCACGGAAGCTTGATAGTGTTGATATGTATTATTGTTTCCAGTGTTTGTTTTAAGTTTTATTCTCGTGTTTTTTGTGTTTTTTTAATTCATATTTTTTATTTTGAATGGATTAATTTTATAGCTATGCCTTTCTTTAGTATATCTTATCTCAATAAAAATAAACCGGGAGTGATCTCCCCAAAACTTTCTCGAATATTCTTATATAAAATAACAGGGGATGGGAACTCGGGCTATAGACATGATTTTTAATCCATTTTAAATAGGCCTACTTGAAGTTTTTAAAATAGAATAAAATCTCGTAGACAAATTAATTGCACACCAAGTGAACGTCAAATAAAAAAGCGCATAATAGTGCGCAATATTATTAGTACTTTTAAAATTTACATTAGTTTTTTGAGAAATCGGAAGTAGCGTAAATTACTACTTCCGGTCAACGGAAATGACTCAAAACTTAACAGGAGGTAGAGAATTAGATCTTTTACTTACATGTGAAATTTCATTTATCTATCTGAAATAGTACTCAAGTTATAGGCTTTTGAAAAATTCAAAGTAGAAAAAGTACCACTTCCGGTTATCGGAAATCGCTCAAAAGTTGATACGGATCTACAATTTTGATAAAATACTTATATATGAAATTTCATCAACCTAGCTGTAACGGTACTCAAGTTATCGTGTTTACACACGGACAGACACACACACAGACATACGGACAGAATTGCAACGACCAGTTTTTCAAACTGGATTACGCATAAAACCTCTTAATTTTGATAAATCTGGATTGATAATTTTTGCCCGATTAAAATAAGTCCTCTATACTTCGGATGTGATGAAGGACTGAGGTGTAATACGGTAAAAATTGTTAAAATTTCAATTGATTTTTGTGCACGATTACAATACTTTCTCTATACTTCGTATATACGAGAAAATAATTAGTAGAAATAATTACTTTTAATTTGCTTAGTACAAAATGAATGAAAGGGACTGTAAAGAAGAGAATTAAGTCATGGAAGTGGTTTGAATATTTGCCTATCTTTCACACTACAGCTCATGTAGATTTTAAAAATATTTTTTGTACGCAGCAGCGTGTATTGATTACTGTTAAACAATCATTTCTGCAGTGGAGCTGTTTTTTTCCCATATAAAACTACAATAAAAGTGGAATTTAAAAAGGTAAAATTGTCAGATTTTTGCCCCATAAGCAGCCTGAATCCCCCCCCCCCCCCCACCCCGCGCAACCGCATTCACTACCGCCCCCCCCGAACGAAAATGGAAAATATATACTTTTAACAGTGTCCGCCCCCCCCCCGGCCCGAAAATGTCAAGTGCCCCCCTCCCCACCATCCCCTGAGAAAAAGGTCTGGAAGAAACAGTGACCGCATTGCGGGATCTAGAAGCATGGAAGTTCCGCCCCTGAACAAAGGGAACATTTTCAACACACCCCCGTAGACCTAGTTAGATCTATAGGCCTACAGAATTTCTCAGTATAATCCACGTCACAGCTTGGTGATCTAAAAACAAAAGGGACTGTCAATTCAGAAGATCGCTTTATCTGAATACATACATATTCATTAGTGACTATTTTTACGAAGCTATGTGCCAATATGTGGCGTTTAAAATATTAAATGGGTTATCCATCCAACAATTAAAAACAGAAGAAAATTGTCAAAATTAGGAATGAAGAAAGCCTAAGGCGTTTTAGGCCTATAACTGTTCTATAGGCCTACCACCCTGCCTGACCCCATTTAACAAAGATTAATTAAATTGTGATCATATTTCTAGGAGTCGTCAATAAATGACATTACAGTTTAAGCGGGGAGGAAATTCATACTTTTATGAAGAGGGGGCCAAAAATTGACTTCACAATTTTGCATTTAAAAAAAATACGAGCCGACCCGCGGCGTAAAGTCATTATTTAGTTGTTTTATTTTCTACTTTTCAGTAATTCATAATATGTGAATTCGACAGTACCAATGCTGCCACTGAAAATATTTGCTTTAAAACACTACCCCCCCCTTCCCCCAACCCCTACCCTATACCCCCCCCCCCCTTTGAAAGCAGCATCCACTTAGTTACCTCCTCTAAGTTTAAAATCGTTTCAAACTAAATTATCTGCCCCTAATAGCCGTCACTAAACCCAGCTCCACGAATGTAAACATTTAGAGTGAACCACAGCTCACCAGACCATGTAGGGGTGGGGTGGTAGTAATAGAGAGGAAGAGAGGGGACTGCAAGGCGCGCTTGCAGATTGTTTTCTAACGTCTCCCAGAAGAGAATTATATATACGAGCCGACCCTATATATATAGATAGATTTTTAAATTGAAAGTTTGAAGTTGTTTCGAATTTTTAAAGACCTTGCATGTGGTTCTAAAGAATAGATGGATTTGCTTAGTGCTGATTTAAAAAAAAACAAAAGGGCAGGGTGTAGGCTAAAGTGTGACGTCATTTAAAAGGAAAAAGTGGGGTATTTTAGAGCCTAAATGACGACGGGAGGGGCAAAAGTTGCAAAAACTGCGTGGCGTCTTTTTAATGGACGACCCAGTTCATCTGAGACTATATCTAAAATAAGAGGAGACATATACTCTCTCCATTGTTTAAAAAACATTAATGACATGGCATTGACAATTAGGCCCTTGTAAAATTAAATGCTTTTTTTTTAACTTTTTTTTTTACTTTTTTTTTGCCAAATAAGTAAGTTCAATTAATTTTTTTTTACTTCTAGCAAGAAATTAAAAAAAAAATTAACGTAAATCTAGTGCCAAATATACATCCCTAAAGGGCTTCACCCTAGTTTGCTAATAGTGACCCGGTATAATTGTTGACATGGAGGTGAAAAATGTGTTTTGTGTGTGTGTGTATGTTTGATCTGTGTGTGTTTTGTGCTATAGACCCTTCTTCTCATTCATTAAATATTTGTTTACCCTTATTGAACATAATTAATGCTATTTTAAAAAAAAATTAAGATAACATAATCATGAGAGAACGAGAATACGTGAAATTATGTTTTTTTTCTTCAGAATATTGGTTTATACCTAAAAAATTAACTACAAAAAATACATTGAACTTGTACAAAAAGTAATAAAAAAAACCAACAGCAGTTATTGTGACAAAGTATGTTTAAATAGCACTGTACACAATTTAAAAAAAATGATTAAAACAGCCATCGAGAGTCCAGCCGGTTTGATGCCATTCATCTGCCATTACACGGATCACCTACAGCAGGGGTTCCCGACCTTTTTTTACTCTAGAGCACATTCTAAAATATCGGTAGGGTGGCGGGCACCACCTATTTTAAATCGACAAACTCCTTCCAGAGCCGTAGCGACCCTTCCCGTCACCCGGGGACAAAACTTTCGATTTGCACCCCCCCCCTCAGACTCTCGATTTGCACCCCCCCCCTCAAACTTTCGATTTGCACCCCCCCAAACTTTCGATTTCCATCCCCTTCAACCTTTCAATAATGTTTATGAACAAAATTATGTCGAATAGTGAGAGGCGGGCACATACGAATCGTTCGGCGGGCGCCATGGCGCCCGCGGGCACGGGGTTGGGAACCCCTGACCTACAGTATTGTATGCAATCTGGTTTTGTTAACAAAGTAATATTGTTAAAAATTTGGAACTCTTCTTTCATAAGGAATCCAACAGAAAAAAAGGTCCATAGTTTCTTTCATACACATTTTTTCGGGTGGTTAGGATGGTGTGTTCTGGATGTGGGAAGAGATGCCTGAAAGAAACACTGATGTGTCAGACATTCGCAGAGGCAGATTTGCCAAATATCGCGAACATGCTGACAGAGAGTAAAGACTGTAAAGACTGCGAAAGACTGCCTAATCTTGAAACCAAGATCTTTCAACTTTTTCTGTGTTGCGCAAATGTACGATGTGCTC